AAAAAACTAATGTTCTGATCGTTTTTGGATTAACAAAATCTGAGCTCCATCTGTGGGCATCCTTCAGGGGAACCTCTCCTAGAGACCCCGTGATTTGGCTTGACTGTTGCATGCCTCTGAGAATTGAAGTTTTCCCCGTGTTGTTAATCCTTCTTTCCTCATCAGTTCATACCAGAAACCACAAGCATCCCACAAAGGCATAGCTTTTTCCTCTAACCCTCTGCATTGCTTACATGCATCATGACTGCTCTTCTCATGAGAGAGGATGCAGAGCCTGAGTTCTCACCACACTTATACTGGAGAAAGTAGCACTGACTGTATGCACCCTGCAGGGACCTCTGAGGCTGTGGTAGGGATGGATCAGCAGTGTCAGTTCTCTGGAGTAAGTCATTCCCTCTTCCTTCTTTGGATAATACATAACTTAAAACACTGATGCAGAGATTTAGTTTGCCATGACCAAATCACTGTATTCACTTTAGACTATGAAGCTTCCACTTGGATTCGGGAGCATGCTGCAGCTCTGCATAGACAGCTGCAGTCTGTTCCTGCTCTTAGATGGATCTGGACCTTTTTCCATTCAGGTTTATTAACTGTACAGATCAGAAACTTTCCAAAAATAACTTCCTTTCCTCCTGTCCTTATCTCTGTGGCCAAGTAAGTTGCAGGGAATGGCTTAGCTGAGCTGTCCTTATTTTACATGTCCTTCTCTGGCATGTGACTGTTACCTAACCAGCAGCTATGAATGTTTTAGTGTGCCCATATAGCACAGCTCGATGTACTGTGCTCATTACTAAATCATAAAACTTATCAGTGTCTTGGCAACGTTGGCAGTGCATTGTGCTTTTACCACATTAATTACTTCATATGCCACAGTGCACCACACCAGCACCCCTCCTGTGCCCACCAGGTCCTGCATGTTCCCACCATCAAATAGATGAGGGGTGAACATCTGCATAGCTGTTGCCGAGCTGCTGATTTCCAGCCATGGCATCACTGTGCCGTGTTAATAATTCAGAAGTGATGGAGAGCTGGAAGAGTGTAAAGTCTGCAGCACTCTTTGTTTCTGGGCAGTGTTCACTGCCTCCTGGTGGCTGTGCTGTTGCCACGGAAACGGCAGTGGGATGGCACGGCAGTGGGATGGCACGGCAGTGGGATGGCACGGCAGTGGGATGGCACAGCAGTGTGCTGGCATGGGGCTGCTGGGAGCAGCAGCACTTGTGTCCAGGTGTGAAACACAGACTCACCTTCCTTCTATCTGGGGCCTTTTCCCTTTTCTCTCAACAGCTTTGTGAAACTTAGTTGTTAAACAAATGATGCTCCCAAGTTCTAGAGTATGTGTTGAAGAGTTCTGTTGTTAGAGATTTTGTAAAAATACGCAGTGTCAGAAGGTGAGTGCTGCTGGTGGTCTGGAGGAGTGGGGGGAGGTCATGTAGGAATGCAATCATGAAATCTTTCACTGATACAAAGCAAAGGCCTGTTTATAGTCAGACGGTGGCTAGAGGAAGGTGGGCTGATCTGTTGGAAGTGCCCTGGTACTTTAGGGAATAGATGTACTGTGAAAGACTAAGGACTGCTTCATTGACCTGTTTTCCTCAATTTTGAGCAAGGCTGAACTGGTCTGCAGCGCTTGGCAGCCTCCTGGTGCCACCCTCAGGCTGCAGGTGGGCTGCTGTGTGTACACAGCCATAGAGCATATCCATCCTTTTTTACTGGCATTATCTATGCTGTTTGTTTTGTTGCTGTCTTAGGTGCTTAGATTCTCAGCAGTTACACTGCAATTACTCTGGAAGTAATGGCTAAAAGCTTTCCTCGTAGGAATAAGAGTGGAACTTGATGGCTGGCTTGAGATGAACGACTGGGCTGTTCTCCACCAGCTGAGTAAGTCTCTCTCTCCTTTCAGTGGCAGACCAGTTAAGGCTAACCAAGGTTTTCTGTACCACGTTAGATCATTGGCAACTGCCTGGCAACTATTCACATGCTTCCTTCAGAGCAGGACCGAAAACCATGCAAACCCTCTTTTCTTTTGAATTCCTTGGCAAATAAATACACCTTTTCTACACCAAAGTTTTATTTATGGAACCAAACTGTGCGCCTACATAGGTATGAATCTGCCCAGCAGAGTAATTCCAGCTGGCTTGTAGGATGTTCTCTGGCACTCAGCACTGATCCATTTTGTACCCATTCTTCTTTTAGGATCTGCCTTCAACAGATGTTACTATGGGAGTAAGCTGTGCTGTGAGGTTTAACTTGCTTCTGCCTGAGTTTTAGTGTACAGGTGTGGTATCCTGTATTATGAACAGGAAACTTGAAATTCCTGAGCATATAATGAGGTTGTTTCTCCTCGCTGCCTCTACGGATCCTTTGGGAGTGCTTCAGAAATCTTCTTTTGCCCTCTTGCCCCCCCAGGAGTCTCCAGTCTCCAGGTTCAACGCCTTGAACATGGAGTGATGGAGTGTATCTACTTCAAATCTGTAATCCGTGAAGCACACTTAAGAGTAAATACTGAGTATGTGTTAGCAAAGCTTAATGCTAGAGTATAAAGTTCAGCATTGGTCATCCAAAATAACACATGCTGCAATTTATTTGCCAGTGCTTTAAAAATCTGATTAAAAATACAGAGTGGAACAACACACTTGGGCAACGGGTGTGATATTTAGCAAACCGTAATCTAAGTAGCTTCTTGCAGCTATGCTTGTGTCTTTGGAAGAGGTGCTAGCTGATACTGATAGACTGGAGCTTTAACCTGTTTGGTTGGTTCTTGAGGGGGTTGGGAATCAGCCCATGGAAGAGTAGGAGTGGACAGCAGAAAGATTTAATTCTTAAAAACATTAGTTCCAAGTACAGTTATTTTCTGTTTTCTTTAGCTAAGGCACTACTGGGCTTAGCCTTGATCCCTTCTGAAACTGGCATGTTATGTGTGCTCTTTTTAATTGAAAAACATCTTCAGTACTGACTGCAAAGTGAGTCTGAAAGGTGAGTCCATTGTCCAATAAAGCAGCAACTGGTAGTTGAAGGAAATGCACAAAATGGAATGGAGGCCAGCACACTGGTACTTCACAGTGTTGCTTTTGTCAAAGTTAAGGTGCTTTCAGTATGTCTGAATTCAGGAAGCATCTATTGATAGAGTTATACAGTTTTTACATTTTTAGAAGTCATTCTTTATTTTACAACTCAGTTTAGACAGAACTACTATTAGGAAAATTGTTAAATCTCAGTCTTGCAAAGTGATTGCAGTTAATTTCCTGTTCTGTGATAGTGCAGTGAACAGCCTCGTTATCCCCAAGCTACTTAGTGTTTCATATGAGGTTCTGCTGTGTGTGTGTTTTGAGGACACTGACTTTTAAAGACATGTGCATGTCTCCCTTCTGGCCTGGCAGCTTGTTTAAAATGAAAACATAGCAGACTATGAGAAAGCAACTGAGAAGCAGTTCATGTAAAACTGTACTGTGCAGGTATGTGAACGGGGTGAGAGTGCTTGGGTGACTCTGGCTGAGCTCTGTGTAATCCTGGTGCACAGCCACGGTTCAGCTGCTTCAGATGCAGTTGAAAATGCCAATTTTGTAGTTTAATAATTGTGGGTTTTGGAAGTGACTCATTTTTTAAGGACTTTAACTTCTAAGTAAAAATTAATCTCCAAATCTTTCAGCTGATGAATATGTAATTAAGATGATACATTTGAATAGGACCGTAGCCTAGAGGTTACAGGAATGCTTCAGAAGAATTGAATCAGTAATGCTTTTGTTCTTCTCATCCTCTGGGAGCGTACCACAGGCTCTAACTAATGCAACATGGTGTTAGTTCTTTTGACTGTTAGCTTGCTTCTTTCTGGAAAGGAGTTGCCTCTTCTTTATAAGCAGATCAACTACAGACAGTTTTTACTTACCGAAATTTGTGGAGGAAGATGACTCTAATACTTTCCACTGTTGACTTTGACTTCTAATTTAGATAAAGGACAATTGTGATTATTTAAGGAAAGAGCTCAGAAGAGACACATTTGAAAAATATAGGACTTAAGAAGAGACACTGGAAGAAATGGATTTTGACCTTAAATATTAATATTGAGGTAAAATTTTCAAGATAAAGAAAATTTCGCTATTAAATTCCATTAAACGCTGCTTTGTGCATGAGTCTCTAAAGTACTGAAATAGATTTTTAAATCAGAACTATTTGGATCTATTTGAAAATACCTCGTTTTGTGTCACAGAGTTCTGTGTGTTGTGATATATCCTATGCTCAGCCCTCCAGTTGCATTCCATTTTGCTATTTCAAGAGTCAAATACATCTTACGTTATTTTTGTTTTCTTGGCAGAATTTGTCAATACAGTATGGTTCCGTTACCAGTCTTGGTCTGTTCTTAGGATCTTTTCAACCAGTAGTATAGATATCCCAGTTGTTGAGTGTAGTAACCCATGTTATTTGTCAAAATAATTGTCCTAAGCCTCTTGGGTAGAGGGGCTCTTAAACACTTACTGTCAAGAAGTATGGTTGTTGCTTTTTTTTTAATATTCTTAAAATCTTAGTGTGAACTAAACGCAGATCCCACTGTGAGACCTAGAAGTTTAGAGCTGTCTTTATGGATAAGGGGAAAAGGCATTAGGCAATTAAGGACACTTCAGGGGGCTGCATCCTGTTTGGTTACATTATGAAAGTTTCTTACCTTGTGAAGATGGAGTGGTGCTCTCTTCAACTCCGCCACCACTTCAGCTTGCAGTGGCAGGATTTACAGGAGTGCTTTATTGCTCTGATGAGAGCTTGACTGCCACTCAAGAACAGATATAGCCTGTAGCTATCTCACTGCATTTATGCAAGTGTTTGATGAAAGAATATGAAGATAGATGCTTTAAACATGTCCCTTCTATCCACTGTCTTTGACAGGCTTATTAAGGCTCATCAAAGAAAGAATCCCTTATTTTAGAACAAACCTGAGATGCAGTTTGCAATTGAGCGCCCCTCAGAGAGGATTTTGAAAGTTTACATGCCTCTCTGCTGTGTATTTTCAGGTGCTCTCACAGTTGGCCTTGTGCGACAGTGTCAAACCATCCATGGACGTGACAGGACCTGTATTCCTCCACGGCTGCCTCCTGAGTGGGTCACTACGTTATTTTTCATCATAATGGGAATCATTTCACTAACTGTCACATGTGGTTTGCTGGTGGCTTCCCACTGGCGAAGAGAAGCTACTAAATATGCCCGCTGGATAGCTTTCACTGGAAGTAAGTGACCTCAACTGCACAGTTGACCTGTACACAGGATAAACTGGTGGAGTCTGAAATAACACGTGGTGCTGTCAGGGAGCAGTTCTTAGGGCTCCTTCTTTACAAAATACTCTTTCTCTTCAAATACTGCATCTGAGAGGAAAAGGAAATTATTCAAAAACTGAGAGATTGATATCTTAAGTGACTGATAATTGAGAGGGATTGATGGCCTGTGAGTCCAAGGTGAGAGAAAGGAGGGCCTTGTATGCCCTGACCCCTTTGCCTTCCTTGAGGAGTGCCATTTGCTGACCTGTGGAAATGAGCAGAAATAGCAAGAGGTCAGTCCCGGATAATTCTTCCTTCCCTACGCCCCTCTATCCAGCACTTTGAGCCAAATGGGATGACTGGGAATTCCCCTGTGTAGTTGATGCATCTGAGACTCACTGCAGTCTGAAGTCCATCCCCACTTAAGGTGTTGCTGCTGAATACCTCATTCAACGTTGACACTGGTTCAGTCCTGCTTGATGCTCACAACGGGTGTTTTATTCACAGTATCTGCATTCTAATTGGCTGTGGGGGAGGACTGCCCACTGCAGAGCACCTGCTGTGCTTCACAGCACTGAGGCTTGCTTCCCTTAAGTGTCCTGCAGCAGCTCTTCAGCACAGGGAATAGCACTAATGTTTTTCTGCCTCCCTTCATTGTGTGCTGCATGAACGCCAGCATAATTCCTCACAGCAAAGACTGAGCCTCCTCCAGCAGCCCTGTGTTTCTACACAGGGAAACGTATGCTGTGCCTACTTCAGTGCAAAAGTAAAAAACATTTAACCCACAAGTAAGGGAATAGCTCTCAAACTTCTTTTTCCTTAATGTGTATTCCAGGCTTATGCCAGCTGTAAAATGGTGCTTTAATGGTGGTGATGATGGCATGAAAAAATTCAAAATCTGACTGCTTTTAAGTTGACATATGGACAACAGTGTACACACTAACTAGAAAATGCAAGCTTGTGGTTTATACAAACATAAGTAAGGTTTAATGGAAGTCTGTGGCATCTAATGACATCTAATATAAATGAATTTAAGGTTGTTTGGAAAAGGGAATAATGTTAACAACAGCAAAAAAAATACAGCAAACAAACAAAATGCCCTGAGCTTCAGCAGAGACACTTTGCTGAGGACTTGTACAATCAAAGCTGTCTTTCTGACAACTTTTCTATGCAGCATATTAAACTGTCAGTGCAGCAATTGCAGAGAAAGGAACTATTGGAGTGCTTATCCATTGTGGTTGGCTTTTATTCATTTTCCAATGAATGGCTAAAATAGACATACAGATTGTTGAATGTCCCATGCCAGCTTTTCTAGTTGCCATTGTCTATTAATACATATTTCTAAGGTACACAGAAGGGTTTAAATTTGAAATGCTATATAAGATTAAGACACTTGCAGTGAGGAGATCTCAGAGCTATTCAGTTCTCAAGTATTTGGTTGTTTGTGGGTTACTGAGGTTTTTTGGGTACTATAAAGTATTTATTTATTGAGGTTTTTTTTCCCCACAGTTCACAGCTTGCATTTTGATTTTTACATATTCTTTAAAGTATTTCCAATAATCAAATCCTTGCATCTCTAATTTTCTACAACTTTGATGCTTACTTCAGATAAAAATTCTGATACCTTAGAGCTTGTTGTTTTGGTGTTTTATTTTTCCCCTCTGTGGATTCCTTTGGGCTTGCAGTAGGGTCACTATTAGAAGCCTTAACTGTAGAAGGATACTGCTATGTTTCAGCACTTACCTTTGGTATGAGATATTTAAAATGAAGCACATCAATTTGTCCTCTTGCAACTCAGAATTATTTGTAATTCTATTAAGATACATTTGCTGTGTTGCTGAAATTTACCAGCGGATATTTATCTCCAATACATATGACTCTATGAACTCTGTATTAACAATGATGATGGGAAATTTTATTCCTTAACTCACTTGTAAGAAAAGAAGTGAATGGAAGGCAGAGTTATTTATTCTTCAGGAAGTCAATGTAAAGAAATTTTGTGGTTCATTGTATGGCAACACAGATGAGTATTCTATTTGTAGATTGATATTAGCATGCATGCAAACGTGTGGCATTAACTACCATGAACCTTCCTGTGAAGTGGCAGAGTGCTCTATTATGAAAACGTGGGTAATTCATTAGAACAGAGTAGGGAAAACTTCATAATTGTATTACATTTCTTCTGCAGGTGATTTCAAGACTGAACAGCCCAGTACAGGCGGCTAGCAGATACTCTCCTCGCAGAACTTTCAGAACATGACATAGGATGTGCTGTCCTAAGTGGCAGTGAAGTCTGCTGGGATTGCTAAAGGCATCTCTGGGACTGGCAGCTCTGTTCTCTTCAAATGCAAGGGGGGTCTAGATGAAATCATCTAACGACAAAGGAATCTCTTGCTCAGCCCTTTCCTTGCAACTCTGCCAGCAGCAAGGAGAGCCAGGCAAGAGGTCATTCTTGCCTTGCTTGTGCTGGAATTTGACCCCAATGGGTTAAGTCAGTTTGTTGCAGATCCCCTCTAGCTACCTTCTGTCCAAGGTGGTGAAATGCAGTCCAGAGAAGTTACGAGAAAGTCTCGTTCTTATCCATAGGTGATATCTGAAATACCTCTGTTTTTGAGGAAGAAGATGAAGACCTCCCTTGCAGAAGAGAAAGGTCTTGGAAGAGCAGCTCCACGTAGCTGGTTTAACAATATAATGTAGGGAAAAAGAACTTCCTGATTCTTTTGTCTTGATTTTTATGATAATCATATGAAAGACTCTTAAGGGACTATTTGATGTTTTCCTCAATTGATAGAATTCTGTAGAGTAAATTGGTGCAAACATCTTCAGCACTTCATTCCTTTGCTCACTTTACAGAGCACAGTATGATAATTCAGGGAAGAAGAGTCCAGGTCATAAACTAGTGCTGATTGCTTGGCATGCCTATACCAACACCTTCAAAGAGAAGCAAAGGTAGGATAGTGTTTTTCTGCTACAACTAAAAGATTAAGATAGTATTAGATTGATTTTAGATATTGTTTTGGATTGTGATGACTTAATATTCAGGCTGTTGGTTTCAGCTTCTATTGCAGTCTATTTTCACTTAAATATTTTACCCAGGTTATGTCTGTAGATGGGATCTATAGGTCCCTGAATGAGCCTTCACCCGTATCGCTCTGTCCTCAGCAGGTTTTGTTGGCACTACTGATGGCAGCAGAGAAAGCTGCTTGCTTTTCTTTTTGTTTCTAGCAAAGATCACAAAGGAGTAGCTCTCCTGAAGTAAGAATCAGAAACTTTTTATCTCAGCAATGAAACCGTTCTCCTCGATTTCTAAATCATATTGAGATTTAAGCTAACTGCATTATGTACTTTTTTTAGTGGAAATCTTGCTTGTAATGATGTCATCTTCAATGATGCTTTTCAACAGTGCACTTTCTAAATATGAGTTATTGCTGAGTGGTCTTCTCTATCTTGGTTAGCTAACGGGCACACAAAGGACAATTTTACTGTCATACATGCTCTTTTCCGTTTACACTTTGCAAAGGATGCACCTGAGAGTATTTACTAGCATTGTATTTGCATCTTTCCTCAGCCATTGATTGTTTCACTACACAGAAACTTGTCTTTTTTGGCTTCCATGCAAACTAGCTTTGTAGGTGGGAGGGAGCTTTCAATCTTTCAGGCCATGCTGCACGAATGATAAAAGTCTTCCTTACGGGAAATGCAAAAAGTTTCATATTCTTCTTGTAGGGTTATTCAAGACTCACAGTATTCCTAACTGATGTGATAGGTATTGTGACCCGGGTGTAGATGCAGTCAAAACTATCATTGCTCTTTGAGCCCCGTTAACATAGTGTCAGATTCACACACTGTAATGAAGTATGGATTCCATCTTGGTGTTCATTTCCGTGCTGCCCAGGTCTTTGTGTGCATCTTCAGTAAGAGGCATTGTAAACTTGTAGCCGTGCCTCGCCTGTTGATGGCAGCCAAAAATCTATCAGCTCTTCGTTGCATGGTATTGTTTACTTGTTGCTCAAGCCAACTGTCTGTTGCCATCCCAACTCTGTACTGCTTTGTCACTGGTTATGCCCATAATATGGTGGCATAGATTGGTAGCAGGAAAGTAACCTGGGTTTGGTACTGTCTTGGTACATGCATCTCTGAACCATACTTCTTTTTTTTTTTTTAATGTGCTTTATCTGGGTTCATAGAAGTTATTGCCACTGAATGCTCAAAACGATTTTGAGCTTAAGAATTAAAGGATCTAGACCTCTTCTGACAGCCACTGGAAGTAGCCAAAAAATGGTTGTGTTCTGTTACTGAATACTTTTGTTAATAGAAATTGTAATGGTTGTCTTTTCTGCAGTTTTTCCCTGAAATTGTAAGAACAGACTTTTAAGGGAGAAGTTCTTTAGGGGTTGCTGGATGGAAATCCACTGAGTTTATACTACCAGATATGAACAGATATTTTCAGCTTGTAGGAGAAATTTCTACCCTCTAGGCAACAATTCTTCTTCTTAAAGAATACACACTGAGTTAACACAGTGCTTCCTCTCTTAGATCTTCTCTTTAGTTTCGGTGTTGTTGTTTTAGTACATTTATCATGTGGTCTTTTCTTACTATCATCTCAAAAAATTGCCATAATTTGGCTTCCTAGTCTGACAAAGAACTTGATGAAAACTGTTTTTCATTTGCTATTTCAGTAGATTAAAAATTCAGACCACACTGAGTAGAATTGCTCGGAAGCCTTCATAGCACTATTGTTATTTAGAAGAAAAAAGGTCTCTGGTTACTTCTGAAATGTGGATGTGAATCAGCATTATTCACACTGCCTGCATTTCCAGAATTTATTTATTTTGCTCTTGTGAGCTGAGGGAGAGTTGAGGTATCTGTGTGCTTCTGTCCTCAGGCAGAAATGCAATGAGTCACTGGGCATGTGCTCTCCATGGCAATAGAGTGCCACCAGCAACTCTCAGACCTGCAGCACTGCTGGGTTTGTGTATGTACAACATGCCTCAAAGAGCATTTGCTTAGTAAAGAGAGATAAAGATCTATTCTTCAGCCTTATCCATGCGGCCATCAGAACTTTTCCGCTCGTATGGTTCTTGAATGTGATAAGGGAGATGTGAGCTTAAAAGTGCACGTGGTGGTTTCAGCATCCTCAAGCTATTTCCAACATGCTTACTGCTGTTAAAATGTAACAGCAATTCTGTAAATAACTGGAATGTTCTTCAGGGGCAAACTGGATGTAGTAGAAAATGCTGACTTATGGTAATGTCAGCCATCCTCAGAGCCTTGTTTAAACTGTTACTAATTATGTGTTGCATTAATAAGTACTTGTTGTCAACCACTGTTTTCTGGACCACTCCAATGGAGAGCTCTTCAGCACTTAAACTGATCTCAAAAAATACATACCTGGGCTTCCTCTCCTCAGCTGCACAGCCTGCTGGTTGAGATACAGCTTTAAAAGGGGAAATATTCTTTAAGGATTTGATTGTGTAGAGTGGGATTCTGTGGATCCATAACCATATATTTAAAAGCTTTACGATGAAATAATATTTAATATGTGGTTTCTGGTTCTTTGGTTGTTTTGTAGCCTAATGTGGTAGCACTGAGCACGAGTTTAGTAACTGCAGCTGCCAGATTCGCTCGTGCCCTTTTTTATCCTTAATCTGCTGCTGTAGTTTTATTAAAAGCAAGACACAAGCTCCCTCTAGTGGAACGATTGATGTATTTAGTTCTTCTGATTTTTATTTATTCCCAACTAAGTATTTTAGTATAAGCAGAGAGGCTGATTCTTATATTAGCAGCATTTGACTCAAGATGTGTGTAAGCTGTTTCATGCGTTCAGGAATGCAAAGAACAGCTGATGGTTGGATGTGCATTATGTGATCAAACCATCCTGTTTTGTTTGTGCAAATCTTGCATAGGCATTTCTTGAATTCAGCTCCATCATGTTCATGACTAGTCTCTGCCACAGAACATGACTGTTCTTCCATGAAGCTGAGACCTGTACTATGTGAATCACAATGTTTTAAGCATTAAGATATATGTGATAAACATTTCATCTTGTATATAAACGTGGAGTTCATTAAAAAAATCTTTTAGTACTGCCACGTAACACTGGAAAAACCAGAGCATTAGCCAGAAGAAGAGTAGTGAAATTGCATTCCAAAATATTGAAGCTGCTCTATGCCATCATATCCTCAGCTGGAAAGAGTAGAGACTGCCTTGTTAAGAGCAAGTGAGCTGCTGAATTTGCTTACGGTACCTTTGGAAATAAAAGCATTGCTGACTTGTACAGGAACCAGCTAGCCGTTACTACTGCCATGGTAGGGGTTGTTTGGGTTGGTTTGGTTTTGTGTTGTTTTTTGCTGTTGCTTAAGTACAGTTCCTATATTTCTTACTAACTAAGAAAAAGCAGCAATCTGCATTCAAAAGACTGAATAAATCAGTATGTAGTACGCTACGGGCAGAGGCGCTGTAGTTTGGCTTGAATTTTCTGAATTTTGTTTTCTCATTTTATATATACACTTCGAGGACTGGGAGATGGTGATGTCACTGTGCTTCATATTAGGAGATGATTGTGTGAATATTTATAGAGTTGGTGGAAGAACAGAACAAGTTCAGTGCCTGTGTCCCTCTGATATAAAATAAGGATGTTCCACGCACAGTAAATAATATTTGAAAGAAAGTTGAAATACATGAAAGTGAAATAAGAGTAAGGCACTAATTGATTTATCTAGTAATAAAATTCTATGTTCTAATACTGATGGAAGAAAAAGAAAGGATGGGGAAAAGACAGTGTCTAATGCTATAGTATTGAATACGCACTCAAGCCAACTTAAAAGATAATCTTTTTTTATTGTGAGAAATCTCTTGCCTCTTAGAGATGCTGTATATATATTTGGAGGCCATTCTCTTGCTAGAGACAGTATGGATCTGTACCTTGCTGTGTTCCCACTAAGTAAGGTTACTTATCCAGAGCTATCTACAGGAGCACTGGTGTTCTCATCTGGGAAAGATTACAGCACTGCATTTTCTGTACTGAGGAATGCTGGCCGCTATTAACATCTGAAGGGCTGTGAAATGTATAATGTAATTCCAATGAATGGCTTTAGTAGGGATTCTGTGCTTGTTTGTTGGTGGGGTGTTTTTTGCGTATTCACACAGGGTCAGTTGTGTGTGAACCACATACCTGAGTTTAACTACTCAAATGAAATCAGTCCCATTGCTTGGTTCTCTTAAGTTCACAAAATTTGAACTTTGAATGTTTTTCACTAAGAATCTTAGATTAAATTGAATCCGAAAACTTTCTTTGAACTCCAATGGAAGATCTTAAGGAGATTTTGTTACTTAAGAAACAATCATGAATTTAGGAAACCGATGTATTTTAGTGACAGAAACCATAGTAACAGTCTCTGCAATGTTTAGCAAAACTTCTACAGGAAAAGAGTTTGTGCAAAAGGGGAGAGGATGACTACAATTGGTAGAAGACAACTTTGATAATAAAAAGGGAATTTGAATGTTAGTTTGATATGGGGGGAAATGACTGTCTAAAATATCTGGAGAAGTAACTGACTACATTCATGGATAGTGATAGAAGTATATCTGCCAAGCTTTTATTATGTAAAAACAGTTTATGATCCGGTGAGCAGAGCTGAAATACCAGCGTGGTATTTGTGGGATCTTCTCAAGTGTTATCAGTCATTTAAAGCCAGTTAGTGATAGTGGGAATATCTCAGCTTTTCAGTTTGCTCAAAATGCTTTGCTTTTCTGTACTGCTCTATGAACTGGAAAATATTTTGATTCTAACACTGTTGTTTTGGTTTTTTTTTTCTCTTTTCTTTGCAGTGATTCTATTCTGTATGGCAGCCCTAATATTTCCAATAGGATTTTACATCAATGAAGTCGGAGGTCAACCATATAAATTACCCAATAACACAGTGGTTGGGTCTTCGTATGTACTGTTTGTCTTATCCATTTTCTTTACAATAGTTGGACTTCTATTTGCTGGCAAAGTTTGTTTACCTGGCTGATGAATGTTGAACTGCGGGACTTTGTTTTGGAAAAGAGCAAGACATCAGAATTGCATTCTCAGGAGGATGCCTAGATGTGACTATCAAACACTCACTGAAAAGAGGAATGCTTTGACTTTTTTTCACTATGCACTTTGGATTAATAAAAAGGAGAGCCTTTCCCATAACCAAATACAGATAATGCTGACTAATCTCCTGAGCATATGTAATGCAGTCAGGTCTGCACTGTGATAGGAACTAGTGAAGAATGCTTTACACTGAGAAGCATAATTCCCCATGTTACTGTACTGTTCTAGTTTTTAACGTCTAATGATTTGGAAGTCAAAGTATTTATGAACTTTGTGGTAGACCAGAGGGTTGCAGAGAAATGCAAGCGAGGCTGGCCTCGCTGTGTAGGAGATTAGTATTTTACATCCTCTGTCTCATGAGCAAAGCCTTTGGCACCAGTATGGATCAGTCTTTCGTTGCTGCACCAAGAAGCCAATAGAGCAAACGTTCTCCAAAATGTACGTACCATCCAGAAGACATACATCCCCTCCTCCCCCATAAGCTGTAGAAAAACACTAAAGAACATTTTAGAGGGGGATTTCTTCCTTATATTTATATAAATATATATATAAATATATATATATTTTGCTGATGCAGTATACAGTGTGTGTGTATGTGTGCGTGTGTATATACACATATATGTATATATTTGTATATACACACAAATGGTTCCTGGAAGAGAACTCAGAACGCTTTGCTAGCAAAACACTGTGGTGTGCAAAACTAGAACTCAATATAAAAAAAAGCCATTTCTCTGAAGGCCACATAGCTGAGAGTCTTCAGTTTACCTCATTCTTTGTAGCAGCCCTTGATTTTAACAGTTTTTGTATTAGGTACAAACGATCCCATGCCTTTTTAGGTGCAATTTTAAGTTAAGCTAAAATTCTTTTTATGGTAATTTATTTGTATATGAGGGTGGAAGGTGAGATCATGTCATACCTTAAAGTTAAAATTCTAATTTTGGGAAACTGACACTATTTAAATTATTAGCAACTGTTGTACAGAGAGTCTCTTTTTCTACTGCATTGTTATATTAACAGTCATTTGTGTTCAAACATAACTGTTTACTATAGATGAGCATTTCTCTAGCACAGGTAAAATGTAATGTTTAAAGTAATGCAAACACTATTTCACTGCAAAGACAGATGGATTTATTCACCTTTACAAAAAGAAAAAAGAGAAACAAAAAAAAAAGCAATATCACTGTATAAACAGCATATGCCTCATTCACTAAAGTGATTATAAATGCAGATTTAAAGGCCAACCAGATTTAAAGTAAATGTTCCTCACAAAAAAGCAGTTTTACTTTTCAACACAGGAAAAAATCTTTGGCTCCGTAGGTGTTATCATTCTTTACTACTCAGTCTACCTAGCAGAAAGTAACATTTCTGTTACTGTCCCAGGAAGGCTGCCTGCACTCTCAGTATCTGCTTTCCAGTTAATCCATGATTTACCAAAATAATCACTTATCAGGTAAGCGTAAGGGTTTGAAATGAGATGTTCTGTTCAATTCTTTTAAACTGTGTACCAGTTGGTTCCTGCAGGATTCCTGTTCTAGCACTTCTCCCTGATTCTGCTGAATTGAACAGTTGATAGTTCATATTTTAATGTTCTTGAACAAACCTGTCATTCTAACAGTCTGTGAGTGACTTTTTTTTCCCTTACAAGTGGAAGTGTTCATAGAATACTAAATTTTACTGCAGTAGTCTAACCTGTAAATACAGTCAGGCCCCAGCTATTTGTAAATGATTTGGTTCCTAACTTAAGCCTTTATCAGTATGAATGTTCTAAGTCCTTCCAGTGGATATTGGAGGAAAGATCATAGAATTATTGAATATATATATTAATGAAGATAAATTATGGAGATAGATATATTAACAAAAAATAAAATGTCAGGTTAAGCTGCTGGATATGTCTAAATTTTCAGCATTACTGTGTGTTTAACCAAAGCTGAAGTATTTGCTCAAACTTAGACTGAAATTGTGACAAAGGAAAGCTCTTCTGTTTTCAGAAATATCACTTTTGTAAATAGTTCTAGGTTCTTGTAACTGGAACATAGAGGGTGGAAGAGTTTCTTGGCTGCCAAGATGCCACCCTTCGCCTCCTTATTTCAGGTATAGTAACATTGTGTATGCAGTGGATTTTGGCTTCAGTTAAATGGATCATCCCATAATTAAAAAATACAAATATTGTTCTTTAAGCATAGCCAGACTGTGGCAGGCTGGCTGGGAATTGATCTGATCTGGCAATGCTGTTGCTATGAGTTATTAAATAACAGATGTACCCAGCCAGCTGTTTTTATTCATAATTGGAGCATTTCAAGTCCAGAAATAGATACAGCCATCTGCATTAAAAGTAAAATGATTCCATCAGTAAATGAAGAGACAGCTGTCAACAGTTGCTTTTAATGTCACTAAGTACTATATAGTACAGTATTAATTTATAGCAGAAAATCATATCTTGTAAACTGTATATAAAACACTGTTTTATGGTGCAATCATTTGTCAAACTTCTGTCTGTTACTTTTGTTTGAAAGATGTGTACATTATTCTTCAATACCTAAGAGCATCACTGTAAAATCTGCTGAATATTATTTATAGGTTCTATTTGCACAAGGTTTAAACTACAGAAAGTTCGTATTGAACATGCCTAGACATCTGTAGACTTTTTCAGTTCATGAAAAGGAAAAGTTCCCATGCAAGTCTTCTCCAAAGGTAATCCCATATTTATGTTGAGTGTTTACATAAACTTTTCTATTTCTGCCATTGGTTTTTTGAAGGACATTTTGTGCATCACTAGAAATTCTTCAGTCTCCTGCTTCCAAATTCTCCAGGGGGTTATTGCTATGTGCACGTTGTTTATTCGGCTTACAAAGCGTGAGATCAGAAGCTTGAAATACCTTCAGAATGAAAACTGTTGGATGTGTTGGTGTAAATCTTACGGTTGAGACACGATCCCCTCAGAGCCATTTGTCCCAGGGGTGAGCAGAACGTGCTTCCTTGAGTGCACAGCCCGCCACATTCAGCCTCACGGTGCTTTGCTGGCAGGGACACCCGTTGTACCAGAGCTGGGCAGGGCTGTGCTCCTGAGCCCGACCCTCTGGCCATGCCAGCTGGGCCCTGCGTTTAATGCCTGTGTTTCAGAGCTGTTACTTAACCACTTCAGAACACACCTGTAGATAATAAAATTGTCCTTTAAAAACTGTGTGAAGGATGAAAATAATGAAGGAAGCGGTGTCTGCCAGCGGCTCTGCGGCCCGGGCATCCCGTCGCTCCCTGCCCCAGGCCTGGCTGCCTGCGTCCGTCCGCCCGCCTTTACCGAGGAGTGTTTTCTAAGTGCTTACAACATTTCTTTTTTTATTTTTTTTTAATCGATGATTTCTGAACAAATGTTAATACAAACTGTATAAAAATGAACATAATTTTCTTCACACTTGTATTTTTGTTATCAAGTTTATCAAAATAAATTGTCTACTAAAATCCCCGGCCGTGCCTGCGCTGACTGAGGGAAGCCGCGCGGCCCGTGCCGTGCCCTCCTCAGCGCCCCCTGGCGGCGGGAAGCGGCGCCGCTCCGTCTCCATCGGCAACGCCGTAACACAGCGCGCACACGGCCGGCTGTGGAGGGGCGGGAAGCGGCTCGGGCTGGCGGTGCTGAGCGGGGGTCCGTGCGGCGGGGCGGTCCGCCAGACTGCCGGGACGTGGGGAGGAATAGGAGCTGGAGAGCCGTCTCCCGCTGAGGTGAGTGTGGGGCGGGACGACGCGGCAAGCGGAGGGGCTTCTTCCTCAGTGAGGTGAGGGGCGGGCGGGGCGGGGGTCTCTGCTGAGCCCCGAGGATTTTGCCTGTTTTTCTGTTTGAGCTGCGCTGTCGGTCTCCCAGTTGCACGTACAACTAATAAACTGCCTGAAAACCCACATCAAATAGCTTCCGCAGTGTTTTGTATAGGTGGAATAACTTAACTCCTCGTTGAAACTGCTCTCTGACTTGCTGCTGTCCTACATGCTGTGTAATCATGGTTTATAAGTTCCCACCAATTTTACTGCTTTTTGGAATGCTGTATATTCTCGAGGTGTTAAGCGTTTTGCTGTGATGCTGTCATGTTTTCTTTTTTCAATGCTGAGTTTATTCATGTAATGGATGCACACGGCAGGAAAGCAGCACAGTTGTAGGGCAGTGATCAGTTCTTGGAAAAATGGGGTAAGGTCGGCGTTAGGAAATCCTGCTGGGGCTTTGTGAATGGATAGAGTCGGTAATTGCAGCTTGTGTAACTGTGTACTGTGTCCCTTCAAAAGAATATCAGATATCTAATGGAACACGTAAATGACAAAATAGAAAACATAAAATCATAGGACAGTTACGATTGAAAAAGATCACTCAGATCTTCTCATCCAACCCCAACCCATCCCCACCACCCACCCCACTAAACAACGTCCCTCTGTGCCACGTCTCTGCAGCTCTCGGACACCTCCAGGGACAGTGAATCACTGTTCTTACAGAGAAGTTGTTTTTCTTAATATCCAACCTCAACCTCCCTTGTACAACTTAAGGCCATTCCTTCTTGTCCTATCACTGTTACCTGGGAGAAGGGGCCAACCCCCACCTCACCACAGCTTCCTTGCAGGGAGCTTTAGAGAGGTATGAGGTCTTTCCTGAGCCTCCCCCAGTCTGAACTGACCCAATTTTCTCAGCTGCTTCCCTTAAGACTTGTGCCCAAATGCTTCACAGCTCTGTTGCCCTTCTCCGCACATGCTCCAGAGCTTAACATTTCCCACATTAAGAACTTTAAAAAGGCGGTATGATAATATACGAATATTCTTGATTATAGGGTCATCCCATAAAATTTGGTGTCTTATAGGGTGACCGCCAAAGCCAGTGTGCAAGGTGACCATCCACTACAGCAGGATTTGACTATGTCTGATCTAGAACCAGATAATGGGTTGCTGGTCATGTGTGCTAATGAGACACAGGATCTGCTGGTAGGTGAGTTTTCCTGCTAAATGGAAAGCTGGAGAAGTAACACATACCCACTATAAATACACAGCATGGAAAATAAGCTGAAAAACAGTTGATTTGTTTCATTTGCAAATGCATACAGATAATGCGTTTGATAAAATCACAGAAGTCATGAAGCTGCATAGGGTTTCTTTGGAAAGATGCATCAGTCTGTGAATGTATCAGACAAATTATAAAGTAGATTGATAGTTGATACTGTGTTTTTTCTTTAGAAAAGTGGAAGATGATATATTCCCCTTCAAAATCTGTGAGGGAGGTTTTGGGGATGCTTACTTTTTCTTCTTTTCCGGTAATTCACAAGCGTATACCTTTATGTCTTTTACTGAACTGTTTCTTGGCTTCCTACCTACCTCCCCCAAACTGAGCTCTTTCTTTCCTTCCTTTAGCTCACAGTGGGCACTGTTGTGAAACCTTTTAACTTTGTATCTGAAGTTCAATTGGAAATTCGCTACCTGTGTGGTTCAGGACTATGTTGACTCAGTCGTGCTGGTCATACTGAGTTTTCCAGGCTTTTATTCTTACGATGCAGTTCATATAAATAAAGCAGTAAGCCTATTTCAATTGCAGGGCATTTTACTTGTCCTAAAACTTAGTGGTCATCAGTTGTACATGTACCTAAAATTATTTTGTTCTTTGCTATATACAGCCTACCTGCAGCCATCCTTAGAGTTTTGTCCCACTTGAATGACACATTTCATTTTTTGTGCTGTATTTATTTTTTTCTTAATTGATCTGTAGACAACAGGAATGAAGAAAATGCTGCCTAGAAAGGTGCAAACCACAGAAGAATGGCTAAGAAACTACAGTTTAGAATCCTTGCAATTAACATTAGAGCATCTGGTGAATGAAGGCACTATTATTTTGTAAGTACGATGTTACACTTCCTTTAATTAGTGCTGATCTGTGTGCATCTCTGATGTTAATTGCACGCAGTGTTCCAGGGATTCAAGGAGTGGTGCTGAGGAGATAGAGCTGGCAGAAGAGGCTGTTACTAATTTTGAGGCCAGAGTTTCTGAGTAAGTTTTTATCTTGTTCATGGTTTTGATGCATAACTGTACCTGTGCCATCCGACCAAACTTTCTGCAAATCTGGTTTAAAATAGAAGTTTTAAAATAGAAGTAGCTTTGATTTTTTTGAAAAGGCAAAAGATTTTTCTCACTCTGTAGTGCTATTCTCCAAGTTGTAAAACCTATGCAGTAGGTGATAAAAATAATTTGGTTAGCACAGAATAGTGTTTGGGGAAAACAAGTACTTTGTTTTGCCTCAGTTCATATATGTTTTAAAAATCACTCATTTAAAATTAGTCTAGAGATTCTGTGTGTGCTGCCTTCCAGTCACAAAGCTGTATTTCATGAGTATCTTTAACAATTATATAGATCATTTTAAATGCATCTCCTGTCAATAAGATCTGTGTGATGATCTAACTTAGTTTTGCCTGGTGCTTCAACACGTGGCACACATCCCTCTCCTTCCTCTCGTTTGAATAAATCAGCAACTAATGAGAAAACATTTCAATAATCTGGTTTTTCAGCCTTTTCCTTCTCTAGTCAGTTAAACCTTTTGGGGAAGAAGTATTAAAATGGCTTGCCCTGTAATTGTTGGTTGTGTGAGAACACTGAAAACAGTACTTTCAAAAGGTGATTGGACATGATGAAGGCAAATTGTTGATTGCATGCAAAATAATGCCTTATCTAAAGCTGTGCTATGGCTTTTGTCAGGGCGGTTGAACTTTATCAGCAACGAATTCAGTGGCTGTTGAAGGACAGCAGAAAGGTAACTTGAACTTTCCAGTTTGTGTTCAGAAGAGAGCTCTATACAGTATTAAAGAATATGTTAACCTTTGAATACTAGTGAAAAGAGGCGTTCAGAAAGAAGAAAGATTATTTTTATTGCTTTTACATTGGTACCTGGGATTTTTGCTTTCTAGATGTTGCCATTTTATTTCTCTTAGCAATTCTAATAGGGACCTCCCAGCACCCTTAAAGAGGAGTAGCCAGAGCCAAGCTTAACTTTTGGCTGGAACTCGGCTGCTGTAGTTGGTGCCTCTGCCACAGCTGGTTAGTGACTCACTGTGCCCAGCTGTGCCCATGGCCAGCAATGGGAAAGGGACATAATTCTGTCTCAGGTGGGACAGGGAAACGAGGCATCCCAAAATCTGCCATAGTGATTTAACCTGAAGAAGATGCTGTGCCCAACATTAATTTTATTGTTGGAAACGATTGATAGTCTTGGAAGGGAAGCAGTGTGACTCACTGATAAGGAGAAACAAGGAGTGTGGTAGTACTCTTTTGTTTTCTTGTCTGTCACTGTCTCATCTTTATGCTTGAAAGCTTAAAGTGAAAATAAATTTGTGACACCCAAATTTAAAATGCTACTGTACAGAGTATACAGAAACATTTTTAAACTTTACATAAGCTCAATATTTACAGTGACTTCTTTTTTAAGGTGTTTGGCCTTGTAAAAGGAACCAAAGTTGGACTTGTGGTTGATGTGTCTGGTCTGAGTGACAGACCTAGACTAGAGGGTTTTCAGAAAGACCTTTTGGTGAGTAATAATAGAGCAGACTTTGGCTATTGTAACATGTAAATCAAGATTCATAGCTAAGGGGAGGGAAAATCCTTGAATTCGTAATGTGCAATAAAGTCTTCTACTGTAGAAAGCTATTCTCTAAATGACTTTGAAATTGCAATCTTTGTCTAGATCCAAATAAATTACTGCAACTACTATAATAATAACAGCAGCTTTCTCAGTGCTTGTACCAGCATTCTCTTTGATTCTTAGCTTGTCTAAAAGAAGCAACTTAAGAGCTAGAGCCGAGCCATATATAGAGTACAATTTCACTTCCTGCATTCAGGCATTATTTCAGATGGATTTGTATTATTCAAATTCCTCATTTGTGCATTTTAAATAAAACAACTAAAAAGAAAACTCAGGTTTTACTTGGTCCTAATGCCTAACCTGTTGTTTAGCCCTACCCATGAATATATATTAAACATTTTAGTAATTACTTGGTTAATGAATGTGCCCTTTGTGGAACAGTACGTTCTGTTTTGTATGCACATCAACTGAAGAGAAGAAAAATATTCCGTGTCTCCATTAACAAACTGACAGGATTACTGTAAGTTTGCCTGTCTTGTTTCAGTACTCCTTAGCTTAGTCACTTGTGTCACTTGTTTTGGAAGCATTTCTCTGTGGTAGCTGAAAACATTGCTGTCAACTGTTTTTAGTGTATTTCTGGCTTTGTTCCTTTGTATAGTAACTCTACTAGTAGCAGTATGGATAGCAGTGCATTAACAGACTTTTTATTTGTTAGTCCTTAATAGATGAACAGCTGTGTTATAAGAAGCAATTGTACTGCCTCTCATTTGGTACAGAAACTTCACCTCTGTGGGAGAGTCCAAAAAATGTTGGTGTTCATGTGTAAGTAAGTTAGTTTCTCTGTAAAGGTATTTCAGACCAGGTCTCCATTTAATTAGAACAATGTGGAGATAATAATTAGTGTTCTTCATCTGTTGCCCCTGTGCCTTGCAGTAATCTTCGTGGTCAGTTTTATTCAGCTGCTGCACGTTGAGTGCATGTGTTCCTTTTTTTCCCTAGGCTAGGTGAAGCAAGACAGTGGGTACAGCAGCTGGCACCTGCAGGAGGCTGCAATTTGCTGAAAGCCTTAAAACATGTCCTTATAGTGAAAGAGCTGAATTCTCTGGTGATTATAATACGAAGCTGGTAAGTCCAGCTTTAACTTGGATACAGAATTGGTACAAGAATCTGAACTTGTTAGAAAAATAGTAATGACCTACTTACTTAGTAATGAGCTTTCATCCACCAGTCACTGTGAACCAAGACAAAATTTCAGTGCTTTTATTATCATTTCTAAACACATTGAAATGCCAGTAGTAGAAACTCAGTAATTGTTGGAAGAGAGGAGGTAAAAATTATGCTAAATGATTGGATTTAATTCCCGTGATTTGTTATTTCTTTCTCATTTAATGTTTTCTTTTCTGTCTTCTTCAGTATGGCCTTTTCTTCCCTCATTTGGTTACTGCCATTGCTAAGAGATTTTTCTTTCTCTTTTCCATATTTACTTACTTACTGAAAACAGCCCTGATCAGTCTCTGGAAATACTGGCAGACTATGCTCAGCAATGTATGCTAGGGAGAAAACTTCTGGTTCATGCTGTTACATATGATTGTGGCAGTCCTGCTGCTATTGTAAGTAACTGTCAATACTCACTTCCTTAAGTCTCCTGTCATTAATTTCCTATTTTGTAAATGACTTTACTGAGATTTTGAACGTGTCCTTAAAACAGGAGTGGCAAGAAAGCAATGGAAATATCATATAATCTGTTTGGTTTTCTCTACATGTACCTTAAAGATTCTTTGTCTGTCTATAATTAAGAATTGAATACTGACAACCCATGTTAACCACAGAGATTACCAAACCAAAGTAATTCTTTATCTTCCTATTTAAATATGTAGGCAACCGTTAAACAGCTTGCAGAAGTTGTCAGTGGCCGCTACCATTGCTACTCTTCAAAGGGAGAGGTAGGTGACAGCTAGAGAGGCAAATGTTTAGTGACTCTTCACTTTTAGAAGACAAACTGCTTATCATCTGAGTAGAAGTTTATAGCAGTGCCTGGTGCTGCTTGCTCTGGTCACAGAACTGCTGAGGATGTGGCGAGTTCACCTGTTCGTTGTTTCTGCAACTCAAAATGTTTTCCTAAAAAGCACAGGAAGTTTTGCAAGTATTTTTCAGTGACTCAAAGCTGACAATTAGGATGAAAGTAGTGATGGGTTTATTGGAGACTGATTCAAAATAGTAAAAAATAATGTATTTTTAATAAACTTCCATATGTAGAGTCTTAGGTACATTTACACTCCATTTTACCACAGCAGGCAGTTCTGCACGGCTGCACACACATCAAATAGTAAAGCTGCGTGTGGTTCATATTTGAGTAGCAGTTAACTTTATTCCCCTTGTTTCTGTACGTACAGAATTCTGACAGTAGTGATGTTAATCTGCTGCTTCAGGAATCACACAAGGCTCAGGACCTACTCCACAGTATCAAGCAGACTTTTCAAAGGCGTGTTGATGGCTCACTTATTAGTGGAATAGCAGACGTAAGTGTGTGTGTATATATATATATCCCCACAGGTACCTTGAAGTATCAGAGGTAGAAGTCCTTAGTGTTCACAGGATGAAAAAAAAAACATATGATTGTTCAGGTACTTTGATAAGTGAAGTCTGAATATTATATATTGGCCATCTGTTGTAAGAGCAAAGTAAGGCCAAAATGGCAAATTCTCCTTTTCTCCAAGAAAATAAACTAAAGTGCTCTTGATGAAATTTGGATGAGAAAGTAAATACATCTCTTGTTAATTTTTCCTCCTTCTGTGGAATATTTGGAGAAATTTTAGTTCTACTTTGGCCTGATAGAGAGATTATTTTCTCATATCTTTCTTTCAGCCTGTGTAGATGGTCAGAAATGGAAATATATCTCTTTCTTTTGCTGTACTGTCATCTCTGTACTTCCCTGGAGCCTGGAAGCTTTGAAGTTTGCTGAGTTCACCTGTAATTGCTGATCTTTCGTGCTGAAAGTTTGTCAGTGCTGTTCTATAAATCTGTGGCTCTGGAGGGACTTTTGTATTAACAAAATAGTCTGTTCTCTGTCACAACTGTGAAGTGGACAAGATTGCTTTTAAAGTGGCAGTGAAATTTTCCATCAGGTGTCTTTGCATGTCTGGTTATCTGACCTGAGACATTCCAGGCTAGAGGTAAAATGGTCATCTATGAACAGTATTTCTAGCTCTGCTTCTCCTCATTCTCTCTGTTGTGTGCATGTAATACATACATTTTTTTTTTCTCTCATCCAACCTTATAAATATTAAGAACCATTCAGACTACATAGGAAGTCACAGAAGTCACCCTGAAAAAATGCTGACTGTCCTATATCCCGAAATAAAAGCATGTCATTTCAGAGACATATTAATTAAATCTTTGGTATGAAAAAGTGTCTCCAGATTTCCATTCATTTATAAAAGATAGGTCTCTTACACATTTTTTTCTAAGTGAAAGAGTTCTAATGTCCCATAGAAGTTTGTTGACTTGTTTGCATTGTTGTGAATGAATGGAGAATGTGTTTCATTTTGATTTTCAGATCAGTACACATAGGAAATGGAGAAGGCAAGATCTGGTTTGTGTATGATGCTGATGGTTTTCCTACCTTTTTTAGCAAAATAACTGTCTGTTTTCCCATGTACAGCTATGATGTTTTCATTTTCCATGTGGATTTTTGCATGTGGCTGATGGAGTGAAGTTACTGGAACACTGTCCTGCAGAATCTATTTCTGGGAGGACCAGTCGTAGCTGTTTTGCAATCTCAGCACTCTAAACATCAGTAAAACTAAAATTTTATGCTGAATGTTTAGATTGACTGTGAGGGAGTGAAAATATGCAAAAACTTGCAAGATGTTTTCTTAAAATCCATTTTAGGTTTCCACAGAAGTTGCAAATGCAGCAATTCCTTGCTTCCTATCAAGGCCTCCAAAGCATGAAGGACCATTAATTATTCAAACACCACGCTTCCTGGCCAGAACTTCAACAGAATGGTTAAAGACAAATGGATTGAAAGGTAGCACAGAAGGAAAAGCGTAACAGATAGGAAACAGGAAATAAAGATAGAGAATATGTTTTATTTAATTTTTTTTGTTCCTTGCTATAGCTAAGAAGTTAAACCTTTATCAAGTTTTGGCTCCCAATGCTTTTTCTCCTGTGGAAGAATTTGTACCAATTCTTCAAAAAACAGTATCATCAACTCTACACGAGGCAAGTGATGGGGACCTGCTCCTTTTCTCTTGTTGGGTTTTTTGTTTGGTTGGTTTGGGTTTTTTTGTTTGTCTGTATTTCTTTCTACTGCTACTTTTTCTAATTAAAATTGGTGCTTTATAAGATAATGACATTCTGTGGGTTTTGACTGAAATTTGAGATGTGCAGCTGTAGCAGATCAGAAACATATTATTCTTAAGAATAATTCAGGAGGAAATTCCATACTCTTGTAACTTATATAGGCTTCTGTAAGCAGATAACTGTTATTTATCCTTCTAGAAAGCTATGATGCAGTTTGAATGGCATGATGGAACTGTGAAAAATATTCATGTTGACCTGCCGATATTACACAAGTATCAGGTGGGTTTTAGTAGGGACACAACCTTGTCAGGGTCAATTACCATCTAATTTTTCTGTATTACTTGCAAGAGCAGCATTTTAGGCTTTACTGTGTTCCTCCAGCACTCTTATCATGCACGTGGATGATTTATCTTTCCTAATGGGAGTGTTGAGGGAAAATGATTTAGATGTGTTTTCAGCATTTTCAGCATTGGAAAGCAGAAATCATTTTCAAGTTCTTTATAGAAGGCTCTCATACTTCTACTTTGCAGTAAGGTATCAGTAATATGTACAAGTTGGGCATTTGTAGTTAATGTTCTAGCATATGCTACTTATATTATATTATATTATAGCATATTATAGAATATAGCATTAGAATATTAAAGAATATAGTATAGAATATTAAAGAATATAGCATGTATTCTTTATACTTGGAATGAATTCTGAATATTGTGACAGCATGTTGCTGCAAATCACATCATTATTTGAATTAGTTGAATACTGAGCTGCACTTGTCTCTGCAGAGTCTTGGTCTCCACTAGTCAAAATTATTTTGTGTGTTTGATGAATACACCTTTTGCTGGTGTGCCTCCTATGAGGAGAATGTAGACGTTGTGTAGCAGGGACACTGCAGTAAATGCCACCTGACTCTTGGGAAACCATAACACCAGAACCTGAGTTCTAAATCCTTCCAGTGACAGCTTGCGTGGAGTTTTTTTTCTTTCTTCTTCCAAAATGAGTGTGCTAGGAGGAACAGCTGCAGTCTGCAGCATTGCTGGGCGTGAGTGGGCAGTGAATGCTGCAGCTTTGGTTCTGCAGCTTAATGTGAACGGTGAACTACGGTGGAGGGATTTGAATCCTGGGAAAAACAGGAAGATTGTGCAACGTGATTTGATGAGCAGAGGCTCACAGTGCTTTCAGATCCAGAATTTCACATCTTGCAATATGGACAAGAACTGTTCTCAACCTGGGGCAAAACGTTGTAATCACAAAGCCTCGTTATGCTTTTTGTTAGCAGGAAATTAGTGGGAAACTACTTTTATGAAAGAGTATAAGAGTGTTGAGCACACCCTGTCGAGTAGGCTTGGAAGGCTGGGTAGAGTTCAGCCAATAAAGCTGATGATACTAATTGCCACCTTTAGTTTGACAGATCTGGGCAATACTTATCCAATTCTTACTCCTTGCCTTCCAGTCTGCAACTGTGTGTTTAAACACTGGTTCTCAATAGTCTTTAAGGCCTTGATGGTGTGATTTCCATAGCAAGCAGTGCGGTGTCTGCATTGTAAGACTGAAGGGGTCAATGAAGAAAATTTTACAAGATAAAAAGTAGAAAAGCATCCAGCTATGTACTGTCTCACCCTAGAGATAGAAAGGTGGTGATAAATAAGAAAGATGCAGAGTAGTCCAGGTTGTTTCCTTTTGGGTAGCATATGCAGCAGTGTCTACATTGCAGTGTCAGTAGGTAAGTCTCTGGTAACACCTTATAGTTTCTTTCTGAGTTCCATGTCCTTTTTCTACCGCGATTTGTCCTCATGCATGTAATGCATACATGTGCTTGTGAAGGTCGTGTTCTGTAGAGTTGGGACAAATGGCCTTAATGTCTTCAAGTCAATATGGTGTTTAAAAAAATGGTATGTGTTTGAAAATATTTTAAGTTTATATTTTAACTGTTACATGTTATTACAAATGTTGCCTGAAGGTGGTTGGTTGGTTTATTTTTTCTGGCCTCTACTTTGAATCATGCTAACAAAGTGAAGATGAAGAGAATATTTTAGACCCTATGTTGGTCATTTTATGTTTATCTCATGGATTGTATTTGCTATCTTTACTACTAATAAAATGGTATCATTAAAATGAATGAGAATCATTACTATGTTTAATGTTAGTTCTGGATTAAGCATTTGGTTACAAAATACTTACTTGAAAATCTTTATTTTTATCTTAAATTTTCTTTATTTTATCCACAGAAACTCCTTGCCAAAATGGTAAGAATCTATGAGAAACGAATTAACTGGCTGTCTGTTGCTAGCAGAAGAATTTGGGGAAGTGTTTGTGAGAGGAGGTATTGTATTCTGGCAGTCCTGGTTTTGTATATTGTTGGTGATTTTGATTTGTCAACCCCTGCTTTACGTGTAAATGGGCACTGAGGATCAGAGGGCACAAAACAGTCAGATGTAGAGACAACAGTTGCAGATAGGACCAGTGCAAGCAATCCACTTTTGACAACAGACACCGATATTCATTCATTTACTAATTTAGTGAATTTACAGTTATTATCAGTCTACAAAAAACTGCAATATCCATCAAATAAGACAAGACTCTTAAATTTCAGTTATCCAGCAAGTAAGCGTTTGGGGAGTGGTCTGTCTTAAGCCACGTATATACCTGGTGTTTCTGGCCAAATGTCGTGTCTATGTCAACTCTCATACCCCTTCCTATTAGTAGTGATACCCAGAGTGTTTCTGTACAGCCTCTTATGGATTCTTATCAGAAAGATAAGTTTCAACCGAGTTTCAAATTTCTGCCTCCAACTGAACTGCATTGCAGTGCCAGATGACAAATGCCAATGCAGATTTATCAGAAAAAACTTCAGATTTTTTCCCCGCGTGAGAATTGAGCTCTTTAACTGATTTTGTTTGAGGATCATCTTCAATAATAACAACAATGATAATTAACAGTGTGTCTGAATCTTTAGCAGAGGTCTCCCACCCAACTTCAGTTGCGTAATTGCTCTTATTGTCTTGCTTGCAGACACTGAATATGAAGTTTCAGAGAAGATGGCTTAGGCCACTGTTACCAGGGAACTCTTTGTTCATTCATCAAGGACTGAATTGTGTTGGGCACACCTGTCCCACTGACTGTCCATAACATCCGTGATACTTTCCATAAGCACTGCTCCCAAGATACCCCCTTTCCATTCACAGTGACCATCCTGCATGGTCTTTACAAGCACACCTTGATATGAGACCATACTGAAGATCATCATTAATAGTTTCTTTTTCCCAAATAGTTAATATCAGTTCCAGGTAACATCAATCAGTCGATGTCTGAGCAGCACTGTTTGTCAGTGACTTGCTGGGAGATAATTCCATTTATCTTTGGAATGATACTGTGTAGCTTCCTGCAATGATGATTGGAGAAAGGACAATGAACTATCCAACAACTCTTCTTGTTGGATAACAGCCAAGTCTCAGCCTTGTTCTGGATATTCAAGTACAGAGAAGAAAGAGGAGCTGATGAGGGTTCAGTAGCCAGTATGTGCCTACGTGTGCCAGTACACTGATTATTGCATAGCTTAAGGAAGAAATCTCTGTTAATATATTTTAAGATCTCACTTTAGATTGTACAGATTATTGTTTTTATATAGACAGTGCTTATACATTTTTATACATAGCTAGATGGTTTTTTTGGTGAGCTCAAGAATGCAGTGAAGATGACAATATGCAATTAATTTTGTTTTTTTTAGAAATAACATGTTTCTTGTATAGGGTGGTTATACTTGTTGATATATCAGTGCCAAACTCCACCTGCATCATCCATATCCAACATTCTTTGCGACTTCTACTTGAAGAACAAATGTCAAATAAGGATTGCTTCAATATTATAGCGTAAGCAGCTACTTTTGGTTGTTGTAAAATAAATGTAACTTTGCAGTGAAAGAAGTGTGTTGGTAGACTGTCGTTACCAATGGGGATATTTTAGAATTTTACTTGTATTTCACATGTTATGATGAAGTAGTTGCAGGAGTAGCACTGACAAAACTGCTTGCTAAATGTATGGATCAGATGTATAGAATTAAATTAGTAATTAAAATAATCATTTTGTTTTGGACTGACTGAAGCTGGTTGGATGAGATTCTTGTATTGTTCATAGCAATGTGAATGCACGTGGCAGAAACTTTTACTAGAAGAAGGTTTTGGAGGTGTCTCAGCACTACTGAGAATGCACTTTAAATTTTAAAGTGACTCCAGTACTTCTTTAATGCTTAATTCTTCTTAAACTTCTGTTCTCACACTGCCAGTCAGAAACATATGACAGAGCAGCTGGGCAGATACCTGACTGACAGCTAAAAAAGACAGACTTATGGAGGTTCAAAATTTTGGGGAGAACAGAACCCTTACTTCATAAGATGAATGCAGGCAGCATCTCTGGGTTATTGGTCTGGGCAGTATGCTGTTTGTCTGTTGTTGTTTTGTTTCAATTGCAATCCTGCCTTACCTCTGCTGAGCTTTTACCAGCTCATTTAGCATTCTGATCAAGAAAAAAAAAAGGAATCTGGCCCACTGCTTTGAAAATACGACTACCCCTGAGTGATGGATAAACGTGAATAACTAAATGGTGTGAAACTGGAAACAGATAACAATTTTACCTGTATGACACCCTAAATCAGATTTTTTGTCAGATAATTCTGCTAGTTCTTTTGTTTGTTTTAAAGCACAATGTGAGAATTCATTGCTGTTTTCTCTAAAAGATTTGGGAGCCACATTGTGCCTTGGCAGATGGAACTGGTTCCTTCCCAGCCTGAAAACTTACAAAAAGCTTGGAGGTAGGATCAAATTCCTTTCCCATACTTAGGAATTAAGTGAGCATAGATACTGTGAAACAGATAGAACAAAGAAATAAAATGAATCAGCATTCTGAACAGTTTAGACAATTAAGTATCACAAAAATACTTCACCATGAACTGTTCTATAGTAATTGTTATGGATGGTTTGTAGTGAAAATTGTCATAAAGTTCAGTATGCCCTAGTGTCTTTGTATTTCATGTGTATATTGAGTATGTCAGTACACAAATACAGGAGTTTTTAAGAAATGCACAGGTCACAAAAAGAATTTTAAATTACTTCAAATTCAGCTGAGATCTGGAAGCTAAACTGTTTTTCCCCATACACACTGAAACTAAATCTCATTATCCACTTCGTGGAGTTATATCCTCAGTAGTTTCATTATACCTCTGTGGTTTTCTTTTATTCCTGTCAGTTCTGCTATTACAGTTTTTTCCCACATAAAATTAAGAGGGAATTCTTTCACCTCTGTGCTCTGAAACTTACCTTAAAAAGTAGTTTGCTGTAGTGGAAATACAGAAACTAGAACAAATGTTTTGAATGCTTGTATAATCTGGTTTTGGTGGCTGTTATCAAAAAAACTACAGATCCCAGAGCAGTATTATTTAAGATTCAGAGTTCTCTCACTGCTTTTAGCAGAAACAAAAGCTTTTTTCAGTTCACTCTTTGAAATGTAAACTTCTCAGGTGGGTATTGAGGTTGCAGTGCAGTGGGAGTAGGAATTTCATGAGTGCTCTCAGAAGAGCTGTGGAAGTAGACTTCAAAGAAAAGGATAAACACAAATCACAAGGAATTTACCTGCTGACTACTGGAATACCTGATCAGGAAACAGTGAGTATCTTTACAGGTTTTACAGTTCTTCTGTAAATTCCCATCAGAATTAATCTCAATTTTATTTTTTCCTCTCTTTTATCCTTTTGGCTATTTTTCATAATTTGTTGGCAGAATACTTCATTACATATCTATGACCGTACAGGTCATACAGCTGTTCAGGTTATAGTCCTGTGCTGAATTATGCAGGTTAAGAGTGCTTGCTCATCAGTTCAGGAAAAACTGGAGCAGATGGAAACTCACCTGTGATACGGAGAGACTTCTGATTTTGATTTATTTTTGCCTTATAGCACACAATCAGTGCCTACGTGGCTGAGGCTTGCAGAGGTTTTGATTTGCAGCTTCATGTCTGTCTGTTCAGTGTAATGGAGGATGCTGACTCCTGTGGGATTATTCCAGCCCGCTATGCTACCCCGACAGAAACTGCCATTGCTTTTAAAGAAATAGTACAGGCTGCCAATGGGAGATTTCATTGGTTTGGAGAAGCAGGTAAGTGAAAAGGAGAGACAGCACTTCATTCTTTATCGTTCACTAAATAATATCTATCATTGCTTTTTTTTTTACCTCTAGTTAAGTCTAGTTTTCAGTTTAGTTTAGCACTGAGATACAAACATAAGTCTTAGTTTAATTAAGGCTTTTGGCTATCTTAAAGAATATTATAATGCAGCATTAATTTGAGTTTTTCTATTCAAATTCATAGAATCGCAAGGTTGGACACGACCTCAAGATCATCTAGTCCAACCACCCTCCCATTCCCAGTACCACAAGCTACTAAACCATATCTCGTAATTCACTGTTCTTTCATTCACTGTTTTTTGCTAAATATTTTAAAAGTACACAGTTAAAATTTATTTACTAGTGTAGTAGGCAAAGACTGCATAACAAATGGGAAACAGGGCTTTTTTATTTTTTGTTGTTGATATTTGACATACTCTACACTTTTCTGTATACTTAAAAATAATGACTAGCATATATTTGATTATCAGGTATTTTTGAAAGCGATGATATCACTGTTCTTGTATCTGAAATGGAAAAAGCAAAGAACTACTCCCAAAAGGTATGAATTATATATGTCTTCTGAAATTATGCTTTTCTTCAGAAAAAAAAGGAATAGTGTTTGTTCAACTGGCAGTGCAGGAAATTGGACAGCATGAAATTCCTTGTAAGACAGAGAGGAAAACTCGAGAATGTGAGAATGGCCACTTAGAGCAAACACGGACTGGGAAGCAGTGATACAGTAGCACTGCAGTGATGGTTGTTAGTGTCCATGGTTTCCTATCAAATATGAGGAGTTCACATTTGAAGTGATTTTCCTGTTTGTTGCCAATCCTATGATAGAGGATTCTATCCAAGTGCATAGATACTCGAGTAAAATGGTTCATATACTCCTTTAAATCACAGCGTAGGAAAAGGTTGTCAATTGCACAGTACATTTCTCTAATATTAAAAAAAAAAAGGTTTCCTGAAGCATAGTAAGGGTGTAGAACTCTTCAGTCTCTCCCCATATTACATGCATTTAACTTTTTCCCCGAGATATGTAATACATTTGCTTGGGCAGCATCCAGCCTGGCTGTATGAAAGCTGTTTCTTTCTGAAGTGTGAATAGAAGGATATGTGCAATGAGATGTCTGGGCAGGTGGCAGGAGCAGGTCTGAGATGAAACTTTTTGTTGGTGGTGCTGTTTTGTATGATTTGTTTTGTAAAGAAGAACTGGTGAATATTCAATAGGATCTTAAGTATTTTGGTATTATTGTTTAATGGCTGAATGTATTCAGTTCATCTTCTGCTCATTTCTCCTGGGCTCTGTGCATGTAGCATTCCTTTTTCTTTTAGAATGTTTGCTCAGAGCAGGGAGGGTTTACTTCCCATGTGTTTTAGGAAGTACAACACAAAAAGGTTGTGAGTTGTTAAGCATCACCTGATTAATATTTTTATGATAAATAAAACAAATAGCAATTTTATTAAATACAGGATGTCAGTCTTTGAAGTGTCATGTTTATGAATTACTAAGCAGTGTGAACTTCCATTTCAGTGTGCGTTCTTAGTGGAATCCTTAAAGCAACGTTCAGGAAATCAGCCTGCTGATCCACTTATAGCAGAAGCAGACGCAACCGTGGCTGTCACAAAAGAGAAAAGAAGGCCGCAGAAGTTGCCATCTCCAAAACCTACAGCTCTGAGTCTGGCTAGAATGGTTTGAAATCCTTCACAGTTCCATTTTAAGATACAGTCTGTTTTAATTAGTGATATTACACAGAATCACAGAATTGTAGGGGTTGGAAGGGACCTCCAGAGATCATCGAGTCCAACCCCCCTGCCAAAGCAGGTTCCCTACACCAGGTAGCACAGGTAGGCATCCAGGCAGGTCTTGAACATCTCCAGAGAAGGAGACTCCACCACCTCCCTGGGCAGCCTGTTCCAGTGCTCCGTCACCTCACTGTAAAGAAGTTCTTGCGCATGTTTGTGCAGAACTTCCTATGCTGCAGTTTCTGGCCGTTTCCCCTTGTCCTGTCTCCACTCACCACTGAAAAGAGTCCGGCCTCGCCATTCTGCCCCCCACACCTTAGATATTTATAGACCTGGATCAGGTCCCCTCTCAGTCTCCTTTTCTCAAGGCTGAACAGACCCAGTTCACTCAGCCTTTCCTCATAGGGGAGATGCTCCAGGCCTTTTTTTATTATATTATATTATATATATTATATAATATATTATATATTTTATTAACTGGCTATCATATGCTGGTCTTTGTGAGAGAAGTGCTCAGGCTGAAAATTTGAAGGAAGTAATAACAGTACTGTGACTCTACTATGAATTTACATTTTAATTTGCATTCAAAGTGCTACATAAAAAAGTACACCTTACTAAATCCTGTGAAGTAATTAAATATAACTGTAGTGATTAAATAACACTGTAGTATCTAAAATTGTCTAAATGGCCCCTCCTCTGACCTTAAAAATTCAGTGTTTAATAGAAGCAAAGGCAAAGCAGAAACATGCTTTATGAAGTTGCTTTTATTTAGCAAGTCCATCCATTACCATACTATACTCTCCTTCATGTCACAAAAATGGTCCAACCTCATCTGACCTTAAATATTAGTCTTCAGTTTAATGGCAGCAGAAAGTCTGCAAGAAAATTAAAACAGGGCAATTAGAGTTATTAACCTAGCAAGAAATTGCAAATTAATGTGTCATAATGGCAACCTGCTGGCTAGTAAGAAGAGCCAGAGTAAAACAGGAATTAGAGAATAATGGAAGATAGTTCCAGTTTTGAATAAGTTAGGCAATTGTGGTACTGTATGGTTAAAATACTTCTTAATTTCTTCTCTCTTTGTGCTTATAGCACATCAAAGACAAACACTGTGCGGAGAAAAACGCCTCCATCAGAGTGCCAGTGTGGCGTCCCACCAGTGCAAAAGCAGAAATTCCACCAGGTCTGCATGGATGAGGGGCTTCTTGTCTTTACTTTGTTTGGGAGTTGCTAAAAATAAAGTACTAAATTAGAACTGAAGGATTTAAGCTTTTAGAAACACTAGCAGTATTTATCTGAAGACAGAGCAATAGGGAACATTGCAGTTTGTGAAATGAGTTGTAGATGTGATCTGTCTAGATTAGGAGAGGAAGAATGCTGCCCAGCTGTATGACTGTTTCCAGGTCATTTGATTGAATATCCATCCTGTATCAGAAAACATAAATATATGTGGTGGAAAGAAGAGCCTTCCTTTGTCACATGCCTGAAAACGTAATTAAAACCCCACCTGTCTTTGTTTACAATTTATACGTTCTTTTGAAGTCGCAACAATTCAGAGATTTATTTTTAGTTTTATGTATTTTTTGTTAATTTTCTTGTAAGCAGTTGTTCTTGGTGTGCTCTTCTACTTATTTATGATCCAGCAATAAAGGAAAACTGTAACACAAATGTTAGGTTATCTGAAGAGCTGCATCCTGCAGCTACTGCTGGTGCATGGAACAGCTCTTAAATTGATTCCAACCCCAATTTTTCAATTCTCATAATTTTCTTGTTTTGTTCTTATATCTTTGCTAATATCTGCAGGGTTTTGGTTTTTGTTTTGTTTATTTGTTGAATTTTTGTATTAAATTTGGGCCTTTAATACCGACTGATTGATGTCAGATTCTTGATATTCAGTAACTTTTACAGATCTGGGTTCATATTTGCACGAGGTGTTGTGTGCCATGATAACTGAATGTTGCAACAAATGCTTTGCTTATTCTAAACCCCTAATCTTTTCAGGTTATTTAGTATGACTGATCATATTTATAACTTATATATAATTCATAATTTATAAATTACTAGTGGCAATTCATAAATTGTAAAGATTATGGTTTGATTTGTATGTGACAAATTCTATGATATAGATTCTTCCTAATTGTTATCCAAGAAAATTAAGTATGTGTAACTGTGGCAACTGAAGAACTGGATTGCATGTCAGAGTTTTATCCTCAGCTGAATGAAGTCATCATTTACGGTGTTGCTGGTTGTTGTTTTGTTTTCTTTGTAGTACAAACAATAAAACAATGGCCTCAGGCTGAGAACAGAAGAAAATATAAACCAAGGAAACAGCCAGAGTGTTCTGTGTCAGTATTTTATACTGACAAAGGAAGAAATGTGGGTATGTGTTACCAAGGTGTAATGGGTGAAGCCTTTTTACTGGCAGTTATTATAATATAAAACTGTTTGGATACTAAGTCGTGCATAATCAGCTGTAAATAATGAGGGGAAGTGAGCGTCCCTTATCAAATAGGGGTGGACTTGGGGATTTTTAATTTGACTTTTGGTTAAATGCTCTGCGATCTTCTGGTCAAAGATGCTTCAAGGAAAAATGCTGTCATGCCTTAGATGATGAGAAGATATTGTTTGGATTTTTTTAAAGGTAATGTTGAAGATAAAATGACTTATTGTGTATTCCTTCATACAGAAATTTTGAATTCTTGTCAAATGAAAAATCGTGTGTGAAATACTTGGGGTTTTTCTGTTGCTGTTTGGTTTGTTGGTTTTATTTTACCAACAGGAATATTTTCGTGTGGCTCCAAAAGGGCTATGAGACCACGTGTGAAGAGCTATGAAGAGGTAACCTAATGTTCCCAAGTGTTTCTTGCTAGGTGCAGTATTCCGAAGTTATCCAAAGACTGTTTGCATAAGAAAGCATGTTCCCTCTGTCAGATTGCCAAAAAAAGAGGAAATCTGTTCAAGCAAAGAGGTATTTTGCTCCTTACCAATAAATAGCCATTTTAGAATTGTTAATATGAATTAATGTGAACATTTGAATTGTGATTCTGTACAATGTATTATTACTTGAATAGTTCTAAAATTTACTAACAACCAATTGCACCTTTTGTTTGTCTTACAAGTGGCTGACAAAGTATAGTATTAAAAAGCTTAAACTGGAATTGCCCAGACTGATGTTTGGTCCAAGCTGCACTCACCAAAAGAAAATTGTGGAGTCTCTGCACAAGAAAGTGTCAGCAAAGTACTGCACTATCTTCCCCAGTGTAGAAATCAATGTAAGCTTTTGTAGATTTTATGTACCTACATCATTGAGAGGCTTTGTATTTGCTAAAGCAGTGCATATTAATCAGTGTTTGTGAGATGCCAGTCTTACGTCCCCTCTACTGTTTCTTGTTTTTCATTCTAAATGAACATTCTAGTAGAAAACTAGAGAAGGCCTCTATTCACCACAAAAGATGATTAATATATTTGAAATGTGAACAGCATGGGATCTTTAGAACGTATGGCATCTCCTCTGTTCAGTATGAATAATAATATAAAAATTTATTTTTAGGGAGAGCTTTGAGAAATCGTATGTGAGGGGAAACAACAAGAATGTTGTATATTGCTTGGTTTGGTTTGTGCCGTGACCAGAAAAACGTAACAGGTTAAAGTTAGGATATTACTGGTTTATTGTATCTATGAAAGTGTCAGAAGAAGTGCAACAGATGCATCTCTCCAGACAAGTTATTTAATTTTGTTGCTTGAAACAACGGGCTGAAATAAGAACCAGGTTTTCCTAATTTGGGTAAAGCAGTTGTTTAGTAGCAACTGAGTTATAGAAGTTTTTTATGCTTTTTCATAGAGTTAAAGATTAAAAAATCCTAATGAAGGGACTACATTCACAACAGTTGTTAACGTAAGGTACTTTTGTATGAACAATTTTTCAGGGGGTTGTGAGACATCTGCAGGTTCAATCTAAAGAACTGGAAATCTACATTGAACAAATGGAGAAGGTGTTGCTACGCTATCTGCAGAGAATACAGTGGCTTCTGTCAGGTATTGCTGTGCATCTTTCCTACAAAGCATGGCCTGTCGTGTCTGTCCTGTGATTTGGAGCAGCATAATTGTAAAATTCCATTTCTTGATTGCTTTTTGTTTCAAACTCTGCTCTGGAAACCCAGTTTTCATTTTTCTTTAAAAAAATATATCTCTTGTTTTAGCAATAAGCTTATGTTTGTAGACAAATTCATTAATGAATTGTGTGCTTGGCACATGATTTGAAATTATTCGAGTGGTAGCAGCTGCCTCTTTTAATTTTAACATAGAATCACTGCTTTTGAAAACTATTTTGATTCGTTACTCATAAATAATTTTGTTAGGAAATGGTTACTTTTTTTTTTTCTGTATTGCAAAGTTCAGCCTGTTTTTAGTGCAAGTTGTAATAATTGGCTAGTAACTAATGCTTGTTAGTACTAGAAATGGTGGAAGAGATTCCTATCACTAATCCTTGAACAACCTCGTTTCCACTCATATTAGAATTTGTTAAGTAGAAATGCATCCAGAGTAACTCCTGAAGATGGAAAATTTTACCGTGGGCTCAATAAAATCATATGTTTAACATAATAAGTCTGTGTAATAACAGTTTTAATGATTCTGGTGCAGGAAGTCGAAGATTGTTTGGTACCATTTTAGAAGCAAATGTCTGTGTTTTGATTGATACATCTGGTTCCATGGACCCATATTTGCCACATATCACGAAGGAACTTACCTCCCTTATCTGGGAGCAGCTGAGAAAAAATGAAGTCAGGTATAATAAACTGCTGATAAACATCGCACTGCTTCTGCACTACTTCTGTAATTAAGAAACAATACCTAATAATCTGTTAGGAAATACTACTTCTCTGAAAGAATGGTCAGGCACTGGAATGGGCTGCCTAGGAAGGTGGTGGAGTAACCAACCCTGGAGGCGTTCAAGGAACGTTTGGACACTGTGTTGAGGGACATGGTTTAGTGAGAATTGTTGGTGATTAGTGGATGGTTGGACTGGGAAAGACCATGGGTCTTTCAGTTGACACAGAATAACTTACATTTTCTTACCCTTTATTCCAATAATTGGTGGTTGGTTTTGTTCTTTTGTTTTTGTTTTCTGTTTCAAAAGAGTCTTATACAACATGACTGCTAAGACTGGTTAGATTTAAATGTTGTGGGCCATCTTTCTCCCAAGGTTTAACCTGTTGAGATTTGCAGAAAATACAGAGAGTTGGAGGGAGCATCTTGTAGAGGCAACTGATAAAACATGTCACGATGCTGTGCAGTGGGTGTCCAAATTCCATGCTCATGGTAATACCTGCATCCTTATGGCTTTACAGGTTAGTAAATTGTGTATAGTGTTGGAAATATCCAAATAATTTTCCAGGACGGTATCTCTGATAAAGCAAATTTTATTTGCAATTCACTGGTGGGCCTCCAGCAAGCAGGAGTGCACACACAAAGCAGTGTTACATCTTTTATCTCCTATTGCCTGACGCTGATCTCTTTCTCCTCTGGTTCCTCATTGGCTGAGTACTGCAGGTTCACACTCTTTCACAACACTTCACTAATCATACAAATACCAAGTAAACACAGATCCTTGCCACCCAAACACAAATATCTTAATTGGTTAATTGCCTTCTAACAATCGCTTTTCTTAACAAACATCTGGTTATAACTTTTGGATGCCCGCTTTACAACAGAAACATAAACATAAACATAACCTCTTAATTGTTTGATTACCCCCTAGCATTTGTGCCCTTTACAGTGCATCATTGTTCTGTTCTGTGCTTGCATAGAGATAAGCTTGGAAGGAGGATGGAAGGGAGTGTCTTGGAGCCTGCCTATGGCATCCTAACATTCCCACAGAGTAGGATGGTTCTGCTTTGTGTAAAGGCCCTGGCTCCTCGAAAGCTTGTTAAATGTATTTCACTTCTGCTGGCCTAATGAACAGCCTTACAGTGTGTTTCCCAGTTCAGAATACTTAACCCACATTGTTTACAACATTTAAAGTCTGTTGCAGCTTTGTGAGAAAGAATTTGTCACATAATTTGGTAACTATCTTTCTAAAATATGTTACTAACATGTATGTAGTATTTCTACTTTTCACATCAGCTATTTCTAAGGATATGCTACAGCTTACTTCTTTAGATCAATTGCCCTTTTCAATATCCAATGCAGAAACAACATTTTATCCCAGTCCCACAATAGTGTGTTGGAGATGAAAAAGGTGTTTTGCAGTGATAAAGCACTTCTATCTGACTGATAATATTTTAGGAAAACTATTTGGTCACAACATGAAACACCTCTTATACTGAAAACATTTAATGGATCTGGAATCAAGCCACACTTTGTCTCCATAAGGCTCACAAATAGAAACGTGCACTCCCCATTCTCAGTTTAGGAAAAATGTCAATAGTTGCATCAGTCCTTGTGTTCAAACAGTCCCACAGAGAGAAAACAGCCAGTACTGCTTATGTACAGCTGTTATTATGGGATATTTGGCATAAAGCAAACAGGGATCTTAAAGAAGCAGTGATGGTTGGAATCACATGGATATTGAGTGTGATTCCTGAAATTCAGAAGTAGGGAAAGAAACTTCTCTTTTAAAAATTCTTAATGCAGAAATTAACTGGTAATAACAGCTTAAAACAGAAACTGAGAGAACTTGCAATTTCATGAGACTTAAAATTTAAATCTGCATAGAAATTTTAGCCTAAATTAGTGATTCTTTTTATTGGTACTTTTAAAGACTATTTATATACATTTTCTGGATTTCTTGGCAGATAAGTGCAGTAGAATTGTAAGAAATGTCTACATAGAGGTTAAATTTGCTGAGCCAATTATTGTAGCAAGTTTTCATGATGTAGAAAGGCCAAATCCTAGTTAGCCTGATTTTCAGATATTAAGCATCTTTTACTCCTCTAAAGGGTGATGAAAGTCTTCTGTCAGCAGTTCTACAGAACTAGTTAATGGGATCGACTCATCTTCTCTTATTTCAGTAACTCAGTTTTTGATGGTGCTCTGCTTGTGTGTATTGTACCTCACGCTACAAATTATCTGCATGTTTATTTTCATGGAGGAATATATATTTGATTTAGTTCATTTTAGTGAAAAGGAAAAGACAGAACTAACTTGATAATGAAGCTGTCTTAAATGATTGGACTTGAATGTTTTCATTTTAAAGTATTACTTTTCATTTAAATATTCTAATTATTTGTTTTCTGCTTTTTAGAAAGCTCTCAGTTTCCAAGGTGTAGAGGCATTGTATATATTGACTGATGGAAAACCAGATACCAGTTGTAATCTGATTTTGAAAGAAATTGAAAGATTGAGAAAGCAACAAGATATTAAAATCCACACCATTTCTTTTAGCTGTGTAGACAGGTATGTGATACCTAGCAAGAAGAAAAAAAAGACAATCCTTAAAGTGATTATTTATTGCCAGAAGGCCGAGTTCTCAGTGCATGCCACATGCTCAGTTCAGTGAACAGGACTGAGCTAGGCAGGCATTCATACCAGTGGGAGTGGGGCAGGCTGTTCTGACACATGGTCGCTGTGTGGCCTGCATCTCCTACATCTACTTATGGGGCATATTGGACAATGGCAAGTAATAGAGGCTTAAAGCAGAGAGTAAGTTGTGGAGCACACACAAAATTTTCCTTCCTCTTATGGAATCTCCCAGCTTTTGGTTTTCTTACCCTTTGTGAAATATTACTGCCTTTCCTTGCCAACCAGCTCTCTGATTTTTTTGGTTTATCTTCTTATTCTGGTTTTGTTGGTACAATGAACCTCTTGTTAAAAAAAACAACCTGTCTACAGAGGTTATGATGACTAAGCAGTGTATATTCTTCCTTAGTTCTTCAAGTTTAGAAATGATACAGCAATTTAGAACCAAGTCCTCCAAATTGCTTGTTTTGATTTAATATTTTCTTGAGGAATTCTCAGAAATTATTTTTCTATTCTTGCTTTCAGATAAATAATTTTCATAAGTGACATTACTTTATTATTAACAGAGAGGCAAATGAATTTCTGAAGAAGCTTGCCTCCCAAACAGGAGGGCGCTACCACTGCAGCTTTGGAGACGTGGACGGGCAATTAGCAGCACACCGAATGCTGACAGAAGGATTCGATGATGAGGATGTATGTTAAATGGTTTGGATCTTGTTGGATTTGGTTTTGTTTCATTCTGACTTAGTTCTTCATCTGTACTCAAACTGCATTTAAAAAAGAAAAATCACTAGAAGAATAAGACAGGAATCTTACAATACTTCATATTGAAATCAAAAGGAGAAATCCTAATTTCTGGCAGGTCTGACTGCGCTCTGCCTCAACCAGGTGACCAAAACTTCTAAAGAAGTGCGTAACGCAATGTATATTTTTGAAAGAGAAGCAGAAGCATCCTTTATCTGGACACTTTTTTTTTTATCCACATCATCTTCAATTACATCTGTCACTGTAAAATCCTCATACAGTGTTTAGCACATTAATGTTATAAAAGGAGATCTTAATGATTGCCGCAGTAGAGAAGTTCGTTAATGAGCAGAATCTTATTTAATACAGAGTTGCTCTGCTCTTTGTAATCCCAAGGCCTCTGCAAACAGATTGGGGAAAGGAGATGTGGAGCTTTGGCAGTTCATAAAATGTGTAGAAACTGAAAATAGGAAGTAGATGCAGGTTAAAGTAGATTATTTTAATTCTGTTTTCAGGATCCAGTTTTCCCGTACTTCGAAGGAGATGATTTAAAGAAACTTACTGAGGAAGTAGCAAAAGCTAGAGGTTTTTTAAAGCAGGCAAAATCTTTGAGGTGAGTATCAAGAATCTTCCAGTAATTTTTATTTCATGAAGTAAAAAGGAAATCTGAATTCCAGTGTCTATTACTTGCAATAGAACTGCTGTTTCTTCCTTGTACTACCAATTGCAGGTTTTTTTGAGGCTTGGAAAATGGCATGCAAATGATTTCTCTGCTTTAGATGGACTTAATTTTAAAGTCTTAAAAAGCTACCGTCATACCGTTGTGGTCCCTCCAACACTTGTATCAAAGGGAAATTACATTAGAAACAACATAGGTTGTTCTTCACCTTTTGAGTTCTATCATATGTCAAATCATTATATTTCTCTATGTATGGATTATGAAAAAATAAAATGTCCTTTATAGTACCTCCTCCTTTAGTCTGACTTCTTACCCTGAAATGCACATTATTTTTATTTTGCAAAATCAACATAGTCTCCTTCAATGCTACCTCGCCCTGATTTCTCTAACCACCCCATCTCGCACTCTGTCTGCTGGAATTACATTGTCACACGGAATGATGTGAGATCTGTTCATCAGCAACCCATCTGCTTTTCAAGTTACCATCCATCTCCCTTTTTCATTGAAGACCTCTAAAATGTCAACTGGCTTTTTTCCTGGGAGGATTACCTAAGCATTCCTCTTCATTCCTCTTTCATGTTGTGATTTACCAAAGGATCTGACCTCTGATCTCATCTCTCAATCTAGGTCTTTTTCTGTTTTCCTAGTTAGTATGACTCTCTGTCTTTTTCCTTTTCCCTTCAAGTCTTGGCCTGCCAGATTTTGTCCTGTCTTCCCCTCTTTCCTTTCAGTTCTTTTCAATTACCTTATCTCTCTGCATGTTCAGGTTTTTTTCTCCCTTAGTTTTCCTTTCCTTATCTTTAGCATCCTCACTTACCACAAAGTTTCTCTTTGCCTTTTCTGTTAACAGCTATTTAACAGGTAACGTAATGCCAAGCAGAGGTATCCCAGTGGACTCAAAACATACTGAGCCAGTTCCTGAGAGCAATACAACTGTTAGCACTGCGTGCCATCTGTATCTCAGCCAACTGAACTGGCTCACGAGGCACACTGTTTCCTGCTGCATCTAGTAGCATTCAGAGCTGGGTTTGGTACCTGCCTAGAGCCAAAGGAGAAGACAGTAAAGTTGTGTTGATCCTTATGTCCTTTCATGGTTACGCTTCCTAACTGCCAGAAGCAGAAAGTGCCATTTTGCTAATAATAGCAGGCAGAAGTGCTTGTAAAAAGATTCAAAATGCATTATACCTCTGCAATAAAAAGATTTTCTGTGACACAAGTTCATGACTAAACAGACTTAAAAAGCTACTTTATATTTTCCTGAAAAACTACTGTAATTGTGTGATTATTTTTTTTTCTTTCAAACAGGCTATTACTACAAAAATGGAACATAAACCCAAAGGACAGTTCTGTTTTTAAAAACAGTGCTCAGGTAAATAGTCACCATAAATCATATTTTATACATAGCTTAAAAATTTCATTAGAAGGATAACATATCATAAGCTGACTGTGAAGATTATTAATGGGAGCGACATTTTCAAAGCTGAAAATTTTGCAATGATTTTAGTGCTTGGCTGAGCTGGTTCCACAATATAACCTCATATACACAAAAATTAGTCCGAAGAGAACTACGTTGTTTGGGATTAAAGGAGCCAGGCACATGTGTTTTATGAATGGCTTTGTTTCTTCTAAGAGCAAATGGCTAAACACCTTGGAGGGTCAGTACCTGATGTAGTGGCTGTAATAAAAAATGCTACATGGGCTGCATGATCTATCATTCAAATGAATAATACTGATTGGGAAAAGATGCTATTAATACTAGGCAGACTCAGTAAATGCTGTATTATTTTTACAAGATAGTGGGAGAGATAGCTGGACAAACCAAACCTCTCACAGAGCCAACGTGCTACTTTTTAATTAGCAAATTAAAAAGAGAAATTCCTGGGTGTGAATGTAACAGTACTTTCTTAGAGTTAAATGCAAGAACTGGCAAGCATTTGTCAAAGAGCTATTTGAGGGGAAAAAAGGGAGACAACCACAGAGAGAGCTGCACTAGAGAGCTCCAAGTTGTTCATCAAGGATTGGGTGAGGCAGATTTATTTTCAGACTGTGTTTAAAATCCTTGTTTCTACAGCTGTAGTGTCTGTTTTGGTTTACAAACATCGCCTGGTCATTAAAAGAGAAGAAAAAAATCCAGTCAGATCTGCTGCTTCACAGAAAATAAAATCTGGAGCATGTTCAAATATGGGCAGAATTCACAGTATAAGGGGCCTGGCCACTATGAAGGGATGTTTGGAGAAGAAACAGGATAACCATCCTGCAGTAAGCAAGTTGTTACAGGCATGTAGAGACAGAGGCTGTTGTTTCACAACCATCTCTGTCTTTGATCCTTCCAAAATGAACTACTGACTGTAAAGCATATTGGAAGACATTCCTGTTAATGTACTTCAGAAAGTACAAAATGTTGTAGCATAGCTGAGCACATAAGTAAGGTAAATTCTAAGTTCCTCAGGTTACTTTATATAGTTTTTCCAGTATTCTTTTTCAGTTGTGTCTGTGAACTTACATGACTTATGTATTTGGATGTATTTAAAAAATGATTCCTATGTTTGACTTGTAGGATTAAAATTTAGGCCAACAAGGGATGCTGAAGATGTTTGGAGTGGTACCACTAGCCTGCCTCACTTCATTGCATACTTAAAGCTTCCAGCTGCAAGTATAAAGAGGGAAGGATGTACTGTTGTTTTTTTCTTCCTCTAAACTTCTGGCAGAGGAGAGCTCACAAATGATAACTGTTGCCACCTTACTGCATTTACAGGTGTTGCAGAACTCAAAGTAAATCAAGACTTGAACTCTCCAAAGTCTAAACATAAACAGAGGATAGTTTTTAATGTAATGAATATAAATTTTAGAGAATGTAATGGTTTTATAATGTAATAGTTGTACAAGAATCAGACCCCTATTTCTCCACAGGTTAGGAATAATTATTTCACCACATCACACTAATAATTGCTTCAATCAATTGATGGTATGTCAAAGGTGTATTTTTTTGGCAGTCAGTTTGAGACTTGTTGGCTGGTGCTCTCGTGACTAACAGATGTGACAGATGGCTGTGATACTAGAAAGAGAATTCTTTTCTTCAGTTTGAATAACAAATCCAAGAAATAACCCTAGTGCAGAAAACAAAGTTGGAATGACTTTGCTGAAAGAAATTTGCTAATAATTATTTTTACTCTTTCTGTGTTATGTTGGCAGTAGAGAAGGACCAGAGTGGATGATTCAGAAATCATCAGGCATGGACATAAGGAATATCTTGATACTGATTAACACCTGGTTATGTTTGTATAATCACACACTGCCAATCTTCAGAGCAATTCTATTAAGTTCTTGTGCACTTCCTTTCATAGAAAGATTAAAAATGTTTCCAGTGCCATTTAAGAAAATCCAGTATTGAGGCACATATTTTTCCAGTTTATGAAACACACATTTTTTTTTAATGAGGAACTCAGTGGTGAAGTTCATTAGCATTTTGTAGCTGTTTACTTTTGTCTTTCAGAGGGCTAGAAATTCATGGTTTTAGTATATGTAATTTTAATGAAAATTGATCCAGACTGCAGAATTCAGATACATGGTGTGAGTTTATTCAGGAACCATTCTCTTCTCCTGAGTGCCAACTGATGGGAATGACTCAATAATTTGATATGGGAGATGCCTCTTTTCTTTTCCTTCTTCTGTTTTATCTCCATAAAGAACTAAAACTTTTTCTTTCCATCTCAGAAGTATCTTTTTACTGTTGTATGCTCTGTACCATCTTACTCCTGCCTTCCATGTTGGCACCAGCCTACTGTGGCAGACTGCAGTTAAAAAGGCACATTGTGCTAAGCATCATTTTCCACAATTCTTGATAGGATATTTCAGTATATTTTCTATGTGTTAGTATGTGTATCGCTGCTGAGATGCTTTGGTATAAAGTCTTAACTGTAAATCAATAGGATTAATTGCATTTTTATTGGATGTATATAAGTAATAGATGCTGACTACTGATAAAAGGAGTGAATATGTTGAAACAGTAAATCCAGGCTGAAGAGACAAGGTTTCTGTATTGCCAACAAGAGATGCTTATTTATTCCTTGACAGATTTAAGAAATGTCTCAATGCTGGAGTGTATATTTTGATATCGTTATAGAGGTCCTTAGGAGGTAACACTGAATGTGATCTCACAGACTCTGTATGAAATAAGAATTGAAACATGTCAGTGTGCTGTGTTAGATTGCAGTCCGGCAAACCTCTGATTTACAGCCTTTTTTTTTCTGTATGGTATTTGTTTTTTGTATTTTACTCATTGGAAACAACTCAGTTTATCCAAAGTCTCACAAACTGATCATAAATGGATCTGTGTAATCCTGAGTTCACTGCACTGTACACTAACATTCTGAAATTACATATACTTAAAACATTGCTCATTTGTTTGCATTGGTTTAGTCTGGACATATGTTCATAGCTCTTTTTCTCTTGAAATGCTCCCAGGTTCAGACTGTAAACTTAAATATGTGTAGGAATTCAGGTATCTTCTTGCTGGTGCTGTGAGCTAAGAGTTTCTGTTCAAGAAAAATGCAACAGAAAAGGAAGGCACAGATATTTACATTAAAATTTGTGTAACCACAGAAGATTCTAAAAGAGTCAGATGTTGCAGTATGTAGCCATTGTATTCCATCCTCCTTGTTTTCTGAGGGTTTTCATCCAGCCTCTTTCCATACTTCTGAGATGTTGCAGGTTGATCAGCCCTGCTGCCTGCTTAGAACAGCTCAATCCTTCAAAATACAGTTTCTGTCTCCCACCTATTGCCTACCTGGGTCAGCAGTGATGACCAGATTAATCGAGTGCTCTGTTATTGACCTTTCTATGTTGATTTGTCACGTATATACCACTTGCTTTCCTGGTTTATGCTTTCTGGAATGCGATTTATTTTATTCAAAATATAATAAAAGAGGAGTTTTATAATTGACAAAGCTGCATACTTTTCTGCCATCTTCTTTGTAAGTCATGTATTTTCTGTGATTCACTAAATATTCTGATTTATATGCAGTGAATTAAAGTGAATTAAACCAGTTGCTACCTTGACGCTCTCAACCATACATCAGAAGACTGCAGGAAGAATTGGTGATCTCTGTGTGAGTACAGATGTTCATATTAACTTGGTACGGACTGGCAATTCAGGAACTCTTTGTGTGTTTTTCAGCCATAGAGCCTCAGAGGAAAACAGGCCATACCTGACAGAGAGCTTTTGAACTAAAAGAAAACTTAACCTTTTTTTCTGCATATATATATATATATTTCTTCTGTTTTTCAGTTTTTTTCTGTGACTTCTGTATCTAAGAAGCCAAGATGTCATCCCTGTTCTTTCAATGGAAACACTTTTATTTATGATTTATTTATGATTTATTTTGTACTGCTTTCCTTCAGACACTGTACAACCTGTCCCCTTTTTTAACACCTTAGAACACATAAGGGGCATGTTCATTATTGCTATTACAAGATGCTTGGGTTTTTTTCTGTAATTTCACCCTAACTTAGCAATGTGGGCTCTCAGGTGCCATTTCATTTGGCCCATAAATCAGTCCATCTCTGTAGCATGCAAAGCAACCACAAATGCAAACTAAATGAGAGGCTAACTTGAAAAGCACTTTCTGTGGCACGTTCCAAGGCTGTACTTCATAGTATTTATGCATGCTTTATTCCGTCCAAGAGGAAATGGTGAAATATGTAGAATCATGATACAAGTAAATACACAGACACAGGAAAAGGAGGAGACAGTGTGAGAATGCTCGTGTATGTTAATGAAGAACAGAGAGATTTTAAAGGAATCTGAGATCTCAGGGTTACAGCTAACTGTCTGACACTGAAACTAAAAAACCTTGATTTTTCAGACTTTAAGGGAAAGATGTTTGAAGTATTAGATGTGCTTGTTCCTAGCCGTACCATATCCAATGCTATTAAAAAGAAAAAGCCAAATGAGAGATTATGAAAAAAACAGAGCATAGTATTATATCTTCAATCAATACACGTGTGACTGTATTCAGTTGTTATACAGAAAGTTATAATTGCATTCTGATACAGAAAAAATGTGTTTACGAAAGGCAAGTGATTGAAATGCACAGTGGTGAATGCTTGTATCTTTTTGTCTAACAAAAAATCAGAAGGAACTTGCTGCCCAAAGGTTCTTAATTTAATCCTAGCATACCATTGTTCTTTTGCTGTGTTAGGTACAGAAAATATGCCTTCTGTTAATAATGGGAATGAGAATCTGCATATTTCTCTAATGGCATGAAATTACAGAATGACCACAGGTAAGGTGGTAGCCTTTGTATCTTACTTTTCTAAGTTAGAAAGGACTGTGAAGAATGTTGTGCTATCCTACAGTAGTTAATGTGTCATTTGAATGATGCATACTTTCAGTATGCATCAACATCTGTTGCATTAATATTGTGTCTGTTTCAAGTGCTTTAAAAACAGTGCATACAAATGTTTTTTCTTCCTCTTGAAAATGAGAGTTTTCCTGACAGTTTTAATCAGGGCTGAAAAACACCAAGTGCTTTGTCTCTATTTGCAGTACATAAAACTGAAGAGGAGTGGCCATAGCTTTAAGTTACCTGAATCTTTCAGGCTTCCAGGTCTTCCAACTCTGCATAAGGACTTTTTATTCTTTACTGTATAGAAAGAATTTAAGGTCAAATGGCATAGATTTTTAAGTGGTCAGTTTAAACTAAACTAGATCAGCAGTCAGTTTTAATATACTTTGTTTATACTACATTTTAAAATGTGAAGGGATCACTAAAGGAAGTGATGTGAAAGATGTTACCCAAGCAATAGTCTTGAAGAGTTATACCTTTTTCTTTGATTACCTCCCAGCCAACTGAAACAAATTATTGCTTCCAAAGCTTCTTGTAAGCCACAGTATCCAGGCTCTTTCTAAACTCAACTCCTTTCTAGCTCAGACAGGAGCACCTCTTCATTTTGGTTTTACCTGTAAACAAAGGGCACTACAGCTCATAAAAAGAAGCACTCAAAGTGGCTTATCTCATATCTCAAGGCTTAGTATACCAAAGCAATGAGCAACTTCTAGAGATTCACTGCAGTCCTTTAATGTTGGTCTCTGAGTCCTTCCATGTTTTGGTCCCTTGTCGCTCTGTAAAGTCACAGAGGCTGTGTAGCTCCCTGGCCTGAGTAAACACCATTACTTCATGCTGATTTCACACTGGGAGAAGATTGAGACAGGTGTAATATCCTCGTACCCTGTTTCCCACAAAGAACTTGAGTCACATGAACTCAACCAAAGTCAGTGGTGGAGCATTTAAACCAGACAGCAATTTATAGTACCAGTGACAGCCACAAACACTCAGTTTCACAGGTCACTCCTGATGCAATCAGCCTTTACCTCACTATACATGCTTCTTCTGCCATCTATCCTCTTTGGTCATCACAGCTTTTGATCTGATTACAGTAAAAAGAAATAAGATGGAAAAGAACAGCAGTGTGGTTTTCTGACCACTCTTTTAACTGGCTAGACTTCTGAGGCTGTCTCATGGTGAGAAGGCAATGTGTTCCTTGTTCATCATTCTTATACGTATTAGGACATGGGCAGAGAAGATCAGGTCTGCATCTGGTTTCAGCATAGTGCCCCATGCTCATCTTAAAATGTTGTTCTCTCTTGTTTCAGTCACATTATCTCCTTTTTCTCCCTTCTGTCTCTTTAGTTTTTTCAGAACACGACCTAAGGAAGATCACCACCCTTAACTTTTTTATAATTCTATCAAGTTCTCCTTTTTCTGGACAATCTCAGTAACCATTTTATGTGAGCAACTCACCTGCCACTTCAGTCTTTCATGTCTCACCTCTGTTTTCTTGCCTTAGCTTGGACATTCTCAGCTCAGTGTAGCTTTAGGAGAGAGCTGAGTCCCTTAAGCTTTTCTGCTGTTCTGCCCTTGGGCACTCCAGAACATGTAATCCTGCCTATGACTCAGGACAAACATCCGGCTGTCATGTTAACTCAGACTCATGTCTAGTTCTTCATGCTTAGGTTACATCTCTGCTAAAGGCTCCTTTCTGTATAACAACTTCCACACAATTAAAAACCCTTATTCAGGTTCCTGTTATTTCACAGCCAGAGCCAGAGCTCTACTCCCTTCCTGTAGCCTGAAAATGTAGTCCTGCCTTGCTCATAGCTAACTGTTGTTTTCCTGTCCCATCACTCTCTTTATATCCTTTTGATGACTTCTCATCTTCAGTTACATTAAAAATAATCTATTGCTTCCACTTTTCTGATGTGTCTTAATTGCTGATACATGCCATTCCATATGGTGAATGGACCATCGCCCAAATCATCACCTTAAAACTCCATTGCAAATCCTACAGTAAAGGCATAGACAAAGACCGCTGTCAACTGTGACAACCACTAGGCTTTCTCCTCTCTCTAGTATCTCTTCTTATATCATTAAAAAATAGGTTCACTGATGAGGGATGTATCTGTTCCTGAAGGAGTTGCTAGAACGTATGTCCTTTGCGATTTACCTTTTAAACTAAAAGAAATAATGTGCAAATTGTATCTGTAATACAACCATTTTCAATCTGATAGCTGTGAGAATGTGTGTGAGGTTCATTTTCCTTTTTAAGCTTATGAATATTTTATTTCCTTTTTTTTTTTTTTTATGAATTGTCTTTTCTTGTGCCTCAAATGATGAACTGGAGACTGGAGTGGATATATAACTTTGTAAGTTGACTTGTTTTGTGTAGTCAGAACTGTGATATGAAACAATCGTGGCCTTAGAGATGGCTCTGCAAAGGAAGACAATTTGGCAGTAGACTCAAAAACAAAAATGCCTGGGCCTCCAGGTATTTATTTTTATACAAAGACAACTCTTAGCTCAGTCTCTCTAGTCTGGCCTTCTATTTCTGAGATTCTTTTAAAGTGACCTATTGCATTTTTTCCTCCTCCTTTTGATGACAGAAAAGCCATGGATGGGCTGAAAACTTGAGCATTATAAAGAAAGTAAACTCTGTTATCCTTTTGACGATACCACATCCCTCTGTGGTCCAGCATTCAGCGCTGGTGCCCACAGCACTAGGTGCAAATGTGTGTTCCTGTGTGTTCCTTTGTGTCCTGCAGTCATGCAGCATCTTGTCTCAGCCAGGCTCTGAATCTACTGAATCAGTGGTCCTATCAGCATGCAATTTAAAATCAGCTTGTGTAAGTGTACTAGATTCCTCTGTGAAACAGTGCAATTACCTTTCAACACTGCTTTACAGACTGGATGTGAGTAATGTTTTGATAAACCATCATGATACTTCAGAAATGGGAACTGTCTCTGTAAACAAAGTAGCAAACTTTGTGACACCTTCCTGTTGTGTTCCTTCCTGTTGAATTTTCAGCAGTCATCTCCTAGAAGTACTGCCTGTTTGCTTATTTCTGTTGCCTGTATGAACTGCAGGTGGTCACAGGAGAAAAGGTAGAAACTGTGTATGAGCTGTCATTCCAGACCTGAATGAAGTACTAATGCAGCAGTATTTCTTGTTGTAACTTCAGCTTCTGTTTCTTTCAACAAGGCATAGCAGGACTTAGGGAATCAAGTATGACTACCTGTATTCTTAATTGAGAGTGAGGTACAAAATAGCATTTCTGGAAGCTCTTCTGAGATGGCTCCTTCTGGCCAAAGGGGAACCAAAAATCAAATTAAAGTACCCTTGTTGATTTTCACTGAGCAGCACTGACCAGATGCTGTGACTTGTGGAGTTGTTCTTTAGTAGTTCTAGAATTGATGGAATAACTCTGTCTTTCTCAGATAAAATGGTGAAACCTATCAATGCTGTGGCTAGCTCGACCAAGGGAATTTTGTATTCCTGAGGATTTTACTCTGATTTGGGTTTGTCTCTCATTTTGCAGTCTGAGAAGTGCAAATTTACTCGACAGGTTAGAAGATTCTAATGCAGACTACAAGGACTGAAATGCATGTATGTTGTACTAAAACATGTTTGTCTAGGTGTCAGTCTGTGTGCTTGTCAACACATGACTCCATTAAATACCATTAAATTGTATTTAAATTACAAAGTCACCTACAAGATATTCTTAATATGCCAACATTTAAAATAGAAGTAATTTATATTCAGATTTGGGAGTGTTCCTTTAGCATCTTAACTACAGAAGCCTAGTTTGAGATACACCTATTTAAAATGCTGGTTTTGATTTCTCATTGTTTAATTTATAAAAGGTTTTGTGCTTTAAAAGTACTTTAAAATCTCAGAATCAGAGAACTTCCGTAATAATTAATCATTTAATTTATTATTAATTTTAAATGCTTTATTTAAGAGTAAATCTCCTTTTCCTCTTCTGTTGTGTACCAGGTAGTTTGCTGCCTATACTTCACTTGGAAATGGGAGAATAACTCTTGTGCCTAAAAAATTGGATTGGAGATGAAGGTAGAAAAATCAAGGTGAAAGAGCTAAGTATCACAGCCAAAGAATGTTTTTATTTCTTCTCTATACCCAAATTTAGATTGAAAAGTGTAGGTAGAAGGGAAATGTACTTCATTTCAATCTGCTACTGGTTGAGAGGTATCCTACCAACATTTCATAATGATTGAATCATTAAGGTTTGAAAAGGCTGCTAAGATCATCCAGTCCAACTGTCAGTGCCCCCCCACCATGTCCACTAAACCACGTTCCTCAGCACCACATCTGTCTTCTTCTTCACCTCCAGGGACGGTGACTGCACCACTTCCCTGTGCAGCCTGTGCCAGTGCCTGACCGCTCTTTCTGAGATGCAGTTTTTCCTAATATCCAACCTAAACCTCCCCTGTGCAACTTAACATTATTTCTTGTCATATCTGTATTATCTCAGAGAAGAGGCCAACCCCACCTCGCCACAGCCTCCTTTCAGGGAGCTGTAGAGAACCTCTCCTGTGCCTCTTCTTTTGCAGACCAAACCACCCCAGTTCCCTCAGCCTCTCCCCCTGTGCTTTAGACTCTTCACAGCTCCGTTGCCCTTCTCTGGACATGGTCCAGGGCTTCACTGTCTTGTAGTAAGGGGCCCAAAACTGAGTACAGTACTGAAGATGTGGCCTCACCTCCTGCATCTGCTGGCACTATTTCTGATACAAGCCAGGATGCCACTGGCTTTCTTGGCCACCTGGGCACACTGCTGGCTCATGTTCAGCCATCTGTCCACTAATAGCCTCAGATCCCTTTTCTCCCTGCAGCTTTACGCTCTGCCCCAAGCCTGTTGCATTGCCTGGGGTTATTGTGACCCAAGTGCTGGACCCAGGACTTGATCTTGTTAAAGCTCATAGACTTGTCCTCAGATGAACTCTTCCTGCCACCTTGGTGTCATCTGTGAATGTACCGAAGGTGCACTCAGTCCCCTCATCCAGATCATCAATGAAGAAGTTACACAGGACCACCCCAGTACTGACCCCTGGGGAATACCACTGGTGACTGGCTGCTAAACAACTGTGAGAGATAAATTTGTTTTCAAGCATTAGTGTTAAGATTTTCATTCCAGTTTTCATAAGAACCTTTTTCTCTGTACTTTTTGTAATCCCCAGGTGAGACGTTTTAGTAATCTAGTGCCATTTCTCTACAGAATGATGTAACAATAGTATATTTGTGTTGTCTAGTGTCTTAGCAATCCTTTTACAAGGTAACAGTAAGATATTTAGAAGGATCTGATGTGGAGTTGTTTTTTTTTTCCTGAAAAGGAATGTAAATTATGTACAAATTAAGCCCTGCCCTTTTTTGGCTCACAGCCCAGCCACCAACTACAAAGGAGCAGGAACAACAAAAGGACCTGAGCACACCTGAACATCTCTGCCTGAGCGCCTTGTGTTACTAATTGTTCAGCAAGACAAGTCTCTTGGTCTTACTTGGACAGGAAGCACGGGGAGAACGCTGACATCCAGGATTCTACCAAGGGTACTTACTATTTCTTTAGCTATTTTTAAAAACCTGAAACGAGTTGAATCTAACTAAAGTTGAATCTAACTTTCTAGGGAGGAGTAATTTCTACATTTATACATTTGGAATGGCAGTAGAGGAGCTAAGAACTCATGCCACACATGCTGCTTAAGATGTAACTATGCATAATATGTAGAATGCAGAAATAAACTTCTATATAATCTTCAGAAGCAAGGATGTTACTGATTCTGGAAATATTTTTTTTATGCATTTGTATATATTGAAAATTTGTTAATTTCCAGTTCACCTGAAGCTGATGCGTGTTCACATTCTATCGGTGCCTTTTAGGAAAGAGATAAGTTCTCCAAACTTACGTGATAGAATGCTTTTTGCTTTTTGATCTACAGCTAACTTAAAATATGAGGAGATGTTAATCAGGTGTCAGCATTCAAATATATGCCATTTAACAATATGTTTTTAATGGCATATGAGACAAGCTGGACTCTCGCTGTCTTTACAGTGTACAGAAAAGTGTATCTTTCAATGGACTGCCAAGTGAAATCATTTCATGTGGCTTAGAGCTACTGCAAAGCATGGTTTAGAGATGAAAATTTTATTTTCCTTAACACAGGATGCATATCTGTTTTATTTTAATAGTTCTTATTTAAGTTGTGCTTGGAAATGTAGGTTATTTTTCATTTTTTTAAGTATCAGGATATTTTTCAACATAAGGAGCTCGTTTCCATTGTTATGCTATTGAATTTAGTGGGCTGATGTTGGTGATGAAACAGTATAGCAGCGTGGAGACTGCTACAGATTATTTCTGTGTGTCTGAAATCAGAAGAGCAGCGTAGAAAGAAAAAAAAATATGAAAAACAAAATTTAAAAAATGTAAAGAAGTGATGACAAAATAGCTGTAAGTGCAGGGTTACAGCCTGTGGGATGCACTTCCTGTGGTTTTGTTAGTATTTCTTTGTCACTCTGGAAGAGATGCAGCTGTCAGTTCCCAGACATGGCCAGTTCTGCATAGTCTGTGCTGAGCACCAATGTAAATGACTGAGAGTAAAACCTATGCCCTACTGCTGTAATGTTTCTACAAATACTCTTGAGGAGTGTGTGGGGATGTTGCTATTTGGACCCATTCCTGTCTACAGGAGAACCACAGTAATTTGCATGAATTGGGTCCATGTTTTTTAATCTAAAGTGGCAGGCACACAGCTTGCCTCCCACTTCACTGGTACTTAATTTGAATGTTTTTAGGTGTATATACTCTGTATTTCTATCTGGGGACATGAGGGAATCAAGACAATAGGGCTGTCTGATGCAGGAAATTAACTTGTTAATTAGTTTGTTAAAATTACTTTCTTGTGAGTATGCCATGATTTGGAAAACTGTTAATTTTAATTGCTGAATATAAGTGCCTATCTAAAGAGAAATGATTCTTGTAGAATAAACTCACTTTTCATCCAGAAGAAAGTGTACAGACTGATAACTCCTGTGGAATTGTGTATCATGGAATGACCATAAAATCACAGAATCATTATGGTTTGGAAAGACTTCATCTGATCCAACCATCCATCCGCCACCAATACTGTCCACTAAACCATGTCCCTGAGTCCCTACATCCACCCTTTCCTTAAACACCTTTGGGGACTGTGACTCCACTGTTTCTCTGGGCAACCTGCTGCAATGCCTAACTGCTCTTTCTGAGAAGAAATTCTTCTTAATATCCAACCTGAAATTCTATGATACTCAAATCAGTCTTCTGAAGTACATAAAACAGCTGTATATGAATGACCTGATGAAAAGAAATATCAACAGAAGTTGGTAAGAAGTTGGTATCTCTAAAATCCTGTAGTTTCTCTTCATTTCTATATAACATGAAACTAACAGATAAAAGATTTTATTGGAATGTAAAAGTATCCAGATTCATTACAAATTTTACATAGAAATACTGTCACCAAAATTATGAATATGCATAACTTTGGCATATTAAGATAATAAAATAGATTTAAATAAAAATAGTATAGTTACAAAAGGATCATTGTAACATGAAATTCACTGAAATTCTCTAAATTCCAGAGTACTGTGCAAGAATTTTCAAGAGACTTTTTATCTTGCAGCCGTGATGCAAGAAGGATCTACAGAGGAGCTTCACAGGGACCTCCTATGTGAGAGCAAACTAAGTGAGCACACCAGAGCACTGCTTAAAAGCAGAAGGACAGTGGTGACAGGAGGTGGAGGCTACCTGGGATACAATCTGGGATGCGCTCTTGTCAAGGCAGGAGTTGCTGTTGTTCTGTTTGACGTACGAGAACCCAAGTGGGAAATTCCAAATGGTGCAGACTTTTTCAAGGTATGTTGAAACTGCATATTTAACAGCAGTGCAATAAGTCATACTACTTCTTGCACATACTAATACTTGCACATTAGCAAGTTTTCTCTTTAGGAATTTTTAATTAAAAAGGCATAGAAAGGCACAGAGTTTGACTGTACAAGAAAGAAGAGTCATTAAATGAAATGAAGAGTCAGATCAGTATAAAGAAAATAGATTGTTTTCTCATGCAGTGAGAAAAAATGCATATACAAAGCCTTGCCAAAAGTTTGCTTCCACTGAGTTTGCTAAATAGATAAGTTAAATCAGACTCAAGAAATCTTCTAAATAAAAATACATGGTGGTGGAATTGTGTTCTGGAGTATCACACTAGTGATCAGACAGGTGTCACACAGGCTTGCCCTGTACCTGCTCTTCTCAGAGTAACCATTTATGAGCCCTGATTACTTTTGATTCCTAACAATTCAATACATTTATTTATTATGTCTGCAAAAGAGAGAGAGCAAAGAAGACCTAAAATATTTAATGGTCCTGTGGGGAACAGCAAACCCCAGTACTTCCTGTTGGGGGGGGGAAGCTATTCTTCACATTTGCTTCACCCAATCAGGTTTGGGAATTTGAGTGTGCAGGCACGCACTAGCATGGCTCCTGCCACCTTACACAAGTTCTAGCTAGACAGGGTATCATCTAGCTAATCTGTACTGAGTGTTCAGTATAAGATCTCTTAAACACAGTCACTAGAATTAGAATGTTGGTGGCAAAGCTGAAAGTAATCACAACATTCCTGTCCCAGGGGCTGTCAAGGTGGTGATGCAATTCTTCTTGCCATGTCACCATGTGAAAAATGCTGAGGATGGCAGAGGAGGACACATGATGCTGCTCTGTGTGGTTGTGTAGTGGACAGAATAATGGGCCAGGCAAGCTCCTAGTCTGACCCAAAATGGCTGTTATGATGCTCAGTTTAAGAAACAGCTTTTAAAAAACTTGGAGCAGTGATGGAGTATTGTCAACAATTCGAAAACCATAGGCTTGATTTGTTCATAATGTACATCTACATAATTTGTTTGAAGTTGGTGCACTGATGCCAATTTACATCTTTTTGAAGAAACTCAAAGGATTTGTCTCAAGCAATTTTCTGAGAAAATTATTATAGTTTAATTTCAAAAAAGTAATTCCTAAGCATAGGTGAATTATCTACAGAATGGAACTACAAGGTAAATAAGGTATTAAGGCACAGATCACTAAGGCAACTTGATCAGTGGAGATTGCTAATATTATTTAGACTGTGTATCTGTGTCAGCGTTTGATTGACAGTAGGAAGTGTAAGTCAGCCATGCTTGTGCAATATTTTTGCAAACTCAGGTGAAAAAAGCTGAGTTGAAGACTGATGAGATGATCTTTTAATCTTATCTCCAGCCGTATCTTTTGTTATTCTATCAGTTTCACCATGATAAATAATATCTAATACTTTAAAATCTCCTAATTTGTAAAGAAGTGCACTGTCTTTTTATTGAAATATCACACTAACTTACACAATTTAAAATTCACATAGTATATACTCTTCTGTTTTAACCTTGAACAAAACTTGCGCTTCTGAGTACATAAAATAAAGCTCAGATAGGCAAAGTGACTTGTTCAGATGGCAGAAGCCAGATCTTAAGGTGTAATTGCTGTCAGAAAATGAGTTCTCCAATTTGGTGATTCCTTGGCAAACAGCTGAACTCTCCTTGCTATGTTTTAGCATCATTTGGGCTTGATTCTCCTGCCCTCAAGCACATGCTGCTCCCATTCAAGTCAAACAAGTTTTGCCAGCCTGCAGGACTAAGTGTGAAAATATGTGTTGTAATTGAGGCTATCAAGAGTCATGATTGTTTTGTAATACAATATTAAGAAAAGTCTTAGTCATGGATTTTTGTCCAGGTTTGTGATACTTTATTTAATGTTAGTTGATGATATGAGAAATAGATCAGAATGACTTTAAATTTTTGTTAATAGCCATATTGAATATTGATGGTATGGAGAATGCAACGAGCTCTATCAGTCAAAATCCATTTTTTTCCTCATTTTACAGGGTGATGTGAGGGATTACGAAGCAGTGCTCAAAGCATGTGAAGGGGCTGACTGTGTTTTTCATGTGGCTGCTTGTGGAATGTCAGGATTAGAACAAGCAAGTACAATTTTCCTAACATTTTCTCCCTTTATTCTTGTGAAAGAAAAGATCTGTCTGCATACAGAAGTCAGAGAATATGGTTAAGTGGTATTTAGGTGAAACAGAAATTGATTATGAGGGTCAGGTGATCCATGTAGGAAACAAGGGAGGTGTTCCTTAAGGTAATAAATGTCAAAGCATGAAAGTAATGTGCTACTCAAAGCAGAGCAAGGCAATTAAAAATGAGAACTGCTAGAAATCCCTGTATGTCAGAACACTGTGACACCTACAGAGAACAAAGGCCATAGGTTTTCTAGATCTGTCAGTTGCAATGATTTTATTGTGAATGTGACTTGATAAATTAATTAGATTTTATGCAAAAATTTTTTATAGCTTCAAAAGAAAGAGCAGATTGAATCCATAAATGTTGGTGGCACTGAAGTCATAATTGATGGTATGTACTTAGACTTTCTTTATTTGCATCTGACCCAAACCAAGTGAATTTAAAAAGCTTCCAATTGGATATTTTCTGTGTTGATATGGCATTTAAAAGAGGCTCTTCCCCTCTTAATCTCAGAGTATGATATAAAGCTAGGTGTGCATAACAGGGCCCTTATGTAAGATAATCTACAACAGATTTAAAATATTTCTTCCTTCCAATGCAGAAAATTAACTTTTTGGATGGAATGAAACAGATTCCTTTACAACAGGTAGGAGATTTCCACTGGATTGGACTGAGGAAGGTTTTCAACCTGGACTTCATTCCATGGCAGACCAACTTAAACTCTCCACCATGTAATAGCTTATCTTTTTCCTTCACTATGTGATGAAGAAGAATGATCTTTTTTCTTCATAGAAACATCATGCGAGAGATTAAACTTTGTTCTAAGCATTTAGGTGCCATAAATGTCCTAAGTATACTTAGCTATTACGTTACCACTTTACTATATCTATCCCTGTTTACCCTATCTAATCTGACCCTTTTCTATTATATATTGATTTTTAACTAATATCTGCTAACAAATGTCAGATTTCCTCCTGTATATTCAACTCCAGAAAAAAACATTTAAAAGTATATTGTAAATTCCAAAGCTACCTTCTCTTTACTTTTCCATCAAAACCCAAACAACAAAAACAACAACAATCAGAAAGCAAAATGGAAAAAATAGTTTTAATATAGACCTATTTCCATTCTGCCTGGGGATTACTGTGGGCTATTACTGAACAAACAAACAAAAAAAAACCAGAATAATTACAGTGAAGTGAAGTGGCAGGCAAGTAAAGGTCTAAATGAGCGGGAGGGAAAAGGTTGCAACATCTTACCTTCTGAGCCCAACATCTGAACCCACAGAAACATGTCCCGTCATATGTCTTCTAGACAATGCAAGAATCTGGGAGGAGTATGAACCTTGTGGCTCCCTATTAATCTACATTTTAATAACACCTTTTATTATTGTATTTTCTTTCAAACATTTACATCAAATAATTGCTTTTATCATTTTCAAAATAGCCAGGGAGCAACTGGACTGACTGCTGTGTAGATTCCAAAAATGGTAACTTTGTTAATATTCACTTAAACTTCAGAAGCATTGCTAAATCAAAGGGAAATGTGTGTTACTGATGTTTGCAATGACATATGCAGCAGAATTTAGACATCTTACTCTCAGCTGGAATCCTTAATTAACACTTTGTTTTGGAAATTACACCAGTTTCATTTGTATTCAGTGTACCACTGATTATACATTGACAGTGTATGTTTCTTGCTAACCTTTGTTGGCCATTTGTCACTTATGAACAGACTGACACATACACACTGGAGAGAGCTCAGACATTTCCTAAGATGACAGCTGGCCTGTATGGATATCCGTGTAACTGTGGTGCAAGAAGCAGAACTGCTTGCTGCACTCTGCAGGGCAAAAATGATGGTCTGCAGACAGGCTGCTGTCCCAAATCCCGACCCCTGCGAAGACGCAGATGGTTTTCAGAGCTGTTAGATCACCAGAAACATTTGTACTCATCTCCTTTTTATTCAGCTTGTAAAATCAACATTTTAAAATAAATGTTTTTAAAAGAAAGCAGACTTTATTTTCCCTGCCAAGAGATTTCCTCTATCCAGGAGATGACAACAGTCTGGTGGAGACATGATAGCTGTGGATAAAGCATTTGGTGATTGCAGTGTGAAATGTTTGAACAGCACATATGTGAGATGAAATATTCCACCTGAATGAAAGATTCCATTGTGTTAAAAATATATATATTTTTCTGTAAGTGTAGTACTTGTTTTCAAAAGGAGTTTTCCAGTTCATATGTTGTTTCTCACTCTTTATTTTTGTTATAAACAATGTATTTTCTTTTAACATTATAGTCTGCAAACAAAGAAATATCCCTAGACTGATATATACCAGTACAGTGAACGTGGTATTTGGAGGGAATCCTATTGAAGAAGGAGATGAAGAAACTGTGCCGTATTTTCCACTGGAAAAGGTACTTTGTTGATGTGATGGCATGACATCTGCTGTACTCTGAAGAGCAGATTATGTGAAGGTTGATCTGGAAGCATTAAGTTAGATTAAATTATATGGAGTTATTTTTCATTACTAAAAATTGGCCCATATCAATGAAGAAATACTCAAATCATTGCTACCTTTATATACTATAAGTAGCCAGATTGAGAATGTTAAAATACCTAAGATGATTAAAGAAGATGGAATTTGACATTTCCCAGGAAGATTTTTAGAGGAAGGGCTTTCAGGGAACCAGCTGCTTTGTAAATGCTGCACATCATGGCCCCTGTGAGCCATTGCACTGAAAAACATTGTTAAATATCAAATTCCACATCTTTATGCGTGCTCATTATTGCCTCTTTGATATTTCCAAACCTTGCTTTCTTGATGCTTTCTCACAGCACCTCATGGTTGCTCTGAAATAGTTGCCTTCTTTGCTATAACCTTTGAGGAATGTTTTCTAGCTGAAATCTGGAGCTCAAAGCATTCTGGCCTCTCTTGTGCTTGTCATTTGTTCTTTCCTGCTCCCAGCATCCTGCCTGCAGCTAAAAGCTGTAATTTTAGACTGTCCAACAATCCTAAACAGCGCTGACTACTACTCTGTTGGAGCCTCCTGAAATAGTTGGAAATGTCAGTGCAAAGCCTGCACAGCACCTCAGGCTTCTAATAAAGCATTTAAGGCATTTACAATTAGTTGCATGTTTTTGAGCCTTAATCATATGTTTTCTTTGATGATGACCATGAAATAGCAAGCAGCAGAGGTGCAGGAAGGAAGATGCAACTGCAGTGTAACTTTTAGCTGTAATTTTCTATATAAATTATAGCAATACAGAATTCAAGAGATGTCTAAGTCACCTAGTGTGGAGAAGTAACCACCAAACCAGCATGGGCTGTGTCCAGAATCCCAATTAATACACTTGGATGCATTTTACTAACTTAATGGTAAAAGATAAAACTGGGAGGTGTTTATGATTATATAATTGTAGTTATATAAAATATATTGATTTAGAAATATGTAAAAAGTTTCAATAGGAAATGGAAACATTTTTGGAAGGTCTAGTTTGTTTTATTTCACATTTAACTTAATTATGTACAGCTTTAATTATATTAAAAGGTCTGTAGGTCTGATGCCTACAGACTGGCTAGATTTAGCTGTTATCAGATATAAACATTGTCTGCCGTCGCAGATACAATAATGTGATTAAAATGTTGATCATATTCTGCCTTTCTTTATAGCATTTTAATCATTACTCTAGAACGAAGGCAATTGCAGACCAAATGGTTCTTGCTGCTAATGGGACTTTGCTAAAAGGTACTTCTAAAACATTTGGGTTTTTCCTACCATTAGTAGTGCTATTCCTTTCTCTGTTTACTGGCTTATCAATAAATAGTATATATAAAATGAGCTGAAATAAACCTACCAGTGGATGACTAGTGTTCATACCAAGACAGACAGGAAATTGTACACCAACAACAGATGGGAAAATCCAGCCTATGTTGCCTTACTTCTTCAAATCATTTTAAAACATTACCAACTTTACTGGATTTGTGCTTTTATTGCCCATTCTTTCTGTCCCTTCAAACATCTCAGCACTGTCTGATAAATCGTTTTCATAATCCCCAGGAGCTTGCTGTCATCTTGCAAAAATAATTGCTGCTTCTTAAACAGACTGGCAATATCAGGATCATGTTGAATTCTAACATTCCATATGTGTGAATAATTATGACAGAAAATCTATGTGTATGCAGCAAGAGAAATATTTAGCCTTGCTTTTATATACATATTCTTCTACTCTTGCCGATTTCTCTGAACTGAAATTTAATAAATAAACATTAGAAGGGGATGCAGCTTTAGCATCTCTGATTACATACTGAGCACAGGCCCACCACCTGTTAAACCTTCCCACACCAGAGGTGGAGCTGTGCCTGTTCCCAATCTATGTACTGATTCACGTGTAGAGTTAAAGTATTAATTTTAGTCTAGAGTATTCTGACTAGTCTGAAAGCCTCTCTTCAAGAGACCTCTTCCATTCTTTTGCAGCGCCATCGAGCCTTAAGCAAGCAAAGTGTCTAAATGCAGTGAATGGCGTGTTTTTGTTCCTGCAATTATGTTTTGTGTCTGCAATTATGGAGACAGAAGTATTTTTAATAAACTTTTATCTATAACCAAAAAAGGAAAATTCATTCAGGCAGGAGGCATGGGCACAGGGAAGTTCTGCGGTGAGAGGATTTGATTTCCCAGGCTGCAAAGGAAGGATCTTCCACTGCTACTGAATTCAGTTTTACAGAGATGAAAACGAATGGGAAGCACAATCACGTAGGGTGGTCAGACCGCTCCCTTCCTTTCAGAATGTATCATTCAAACAATATATGTGATTTTCCTGTCGTGTGCTGGGTCCGAACTACCTGCTAACCGCACTCTGCTCTTTCCAAGGAGGCGCCGAGCTCCGCACCTGCGTGCTCCGTCCGCCAGGCATCTACGGCCCCGGGGAGCAGCGCCACCTGCCGCGGGTAGCCGTATGTGTCACGTGGTCAGCGCGGCTCCGCAGGGCGCTGTGAGGGCGGGACGGCCGAGAGAGGGGCGGCGCGGCTGAGCGAGTGCCCGTAAAAACTGGGGAAAGCTGGGGCGATGCGCGTGGTGACAAACAGCGGGGTGTGAGCGCAGAGAAACGGCAAGGATGGAGCTGTATTTTTAGGTGGAGAAAAAATGCACAGCAGAAACAACGTGTAGAAGAGCCAGGTTTACAGTGCTGATCATTTAATGAAAAGAGTGTTGTTTTAAATCCACTTTCCACTTTCAGAACAGTACATTCTCATCCAAACACCATTACGCCATCCTATTTCACTGCTGCATGTCGGGGCAACTGTCCTGAATCTATAAAACCCTACTTGTTGGTTCTTTTCCTTGCAGTGCAATCCTTGTGCTGAATTGTGCACACATGCAGCAAATTCTAAGCATTCAGGCTGATACAAAATGAAAATAAAATACTGTGTAATAAACACTCTTCACGTAGTTAGTTCTTTTTTTTTTTTTTTCTTTTTTCTTATAGGTAAATATCCAGCGGAGACTATTTAATTTCAAGTTTGGGAATCACAAAGTTCTGATGAACTGGGTTCACATAGGAAACCTGGTACAAGCTCATTTACTAGCTGCTGAGGCTCTCACCTCTGAGAAGGATTATGTAGCTGTAAGTAAACAGTATAAGCATCCTATCCCAGTAGCCTTAGCTTCCAAGTAAGTTTCACTTTTGATGCTTTGAGATCAAAGGTTCTCCAAAAGATTGTGTGCTAAATTCTCAAAACTCTTGTGTGGATCCACAAGCACACAGACAGTGCAAGTGCAAGTACCTTCTGTTGATATTTTGACTTTTTTTTTCTTTCTGATTTTGAAACGTACTAAAGAGTGTGAGCACTGTTGGAAATCACAATGAATTCCAATGGATAAATAATAAATAATAAATATAATATAAAATAATATAATATATATAAATATAAAATATAATATAAAATAAATAAAATAAATAAATAATTTGTTGAGCTGATGTGTATCAATTCATTGTGTGTTTGCTGGTATGCTATTCACCAGATCAACAAAGATAGGTGGCTATGTGAGAGAAAGAAAATTATGTTTTTGTAACTGTTTTTCTCTGCTTCTTTAACAGAGTGGACAGGCATATTACATACATGATGGTGAAAATGTCGTATTTTCTGAATGGATTGTTCCATTGGTATGTATTACATACACAGTTAGCTCTGATGAAACCTATGGGCCCCAGCCATGTTGCTAACTAAAAGACCATACTAACTAAATGAAGTTCAGTGCACATTAAGTACTGAATTGTCGAAGATAAAACTGAAGTCTGTCCTTTTCTCCTCGCATGTCTCAAAGTTGCACTGGCTTTAGAGGAAGCTTTATATATGCACTGCTGTGGAGTTTGGCTCTTATTGTTTTATGAGAGTTTAGCTAAGTGCATGAAAACTACTTTTAGTCCCTGAAAGGCCTCTTCCAGCTATCAGCTAATTCTCTGTTGTCAGCTGGAGCACAAAAAGGAAAGTTATTTAGAATCCTATGGTAAGAGTTAAAAAGAGGTAACATTATAACCAAAAGGCTGGGATATTAGGAATATGCTGAAGTTTTTGTCTTTCAATGCCTGCGCACAAAAGACTTTTCAGGGAAATGACTTCAGCTGAACTATGGGCCTCTGACTAAATACAGTACCTGGCTTGGTCACTTGCCCCTTGGAAATAGCATTGTTTCACATTTGCCATACAACTTAATTTGTAGAGTATAAGATGGACACCAAAGAGGGAGTGGTGCTGTGTTTTTATGTACTGATGGGAAGATTAACTGGAAAAAGTTTAGATGTATATTTTCAAAATTCATTTTTCCATTTTCATGCTTCATTGCCATCCTCAATTCAATCCAAATTCTCTGTTATTCTTTCCTTTTATGTCCCTTCTAGTTTGAAAAATTAGGATACAGTAAACCCTGGATACAAATTCCTATTCTCCTGGTTCATATAGCAGGTAAATATAATAAACTACATATTTGATTATTGTGCTATAATTTAAATTTGTTTTGTTAATATCTGTAAAACTACGTAATGTTTTTATAGAATTCAGGGACTGGGCCATAGGAATTATCTTATTTTAATTAACATAATCACTTATGCCAATTGATATTAATAATACCCAGATACGGTTTAAAGGCTATTAATAAACTGAATTCATCATGTACTTAATAAACACCGCCTTGCAGTATCTTAATTGAATCCTCCGTGGTCAGTAGGAATTACAGGATGTGTAATGTCAGTGTCATCTGTTGATTGTTATCTAGCTGTCTTATTCAGTAACTTTCTGTCTCACAGCCGCTGTGATGGAGTATCTGCATCTGGCATTAAAGCCATTCTTTAGCTTCACACCTTTCTTGACAAGGAATGAGGTAAGTATATAACACGAAGGAATATTTATATATTTCTGATCAGAGTTCTCATGAAATGTGTGATATGCCCTCTGGATACTGGTGGTGTTAGAGCTCAGTCTCTGGCTCAGGGATTAGTCCATTCAGGGCTTAGGCAGTCAATTTCTGGCCTCATTTTTGCATGCCATCCTGGCCACTACTTATAATATGATCAGAAACTAATCCTCACTTGAAGACTAGATAGTCCAGAGTGACAACATAGGGATAGAAGACAGAGTGAGTGACATGGTGCTGGGACAAGAAGAAAACAGGTACTACATCATTTCCAGAGACAGTCCGATGCCATAGAACTAGCTGTTAATGAAGGTGTACAGTCTCAGGTCAATGTGGTAGCAATCATCACACTGTAAGGTTAGCCAATAATTAGAAGGTTCATTAAAATAATTATAAATTGGAATGAAAAGTCAATTTCCTGCAAGCAAAAATTTGGACAAATCTGGACAAATTCATTTTTATCTAACTTATGTTTTTATATCAAAATGCTTCACTCTATCATCTACAGTTTTTCTTACTGTATTTTAGCGTGTAACATAATAGGAAACAGAAGGGATTAATGGACCTTAGTAACTGATGCTATAGTTTTTCAGTCATTCCACATTTGCGTATCAGTTTTTATATTTCTACCTTAGTTTTATATCTGAAGCAGAAATAAGGCTGTGCAGCTGGCGCACTTTCACAGGCACCCTGCTTTCAATCATGGAGGATGCATCCATGCAGAAGTGAACGTTTTCCAGTTCTAGATGTGCATTTCTGCAAAACTGGGAAGCCGCACCATCACGATACATGCATACATACAATTCCATTACATATTTGTTTGTACACATGAGTCAGTTTGGGAGAAGTGTGCTGACTTGTTGTGGGAGATTTCCTTAGGTCTTCCTTGCAGAGCTTATCAGTCACAATTGAGAAATCAGTGGCATAAACTCCTTTTCCACTCAGTCCACCAAGGATCTTGTTGCACTTTGATTCTTTGTCAGCAACATAAACTTATTCTATTAGCTCTGGACAGAATCAGAACTGAAATATGTATGTTTTTGAGTGTCTATTCATGTTTTTAATTCCATGTAATATCACTGTTGGCATACGTGTGTTGATGTTCTATAAAACCAGATGTGAAGTCACTTCCATAACTGTCCTTTTGGATTTTAGGTCTGGAACGTTACTGTAACTCACACTTTCCGAATAGACAAGGCACGAAATCAACTTGGTTACAAACCAAAGAAATTCTCATTTGCAGATTCTGTGGATCATTATCTTAAAACAAGACCTGTTTGCCAGGAAGGTCACACGTTCCTTAAAAAGCTCTTTGTTTTTGGTCTTTTGTTAAGCTTGATCATTCTTTCCTTCTTCTAACATCAAACAGCTATCCACCTGTTCCTGAAAAACTGGTTTTGTTTCTGGGGATGAATGACCTGCTCGTTCTGTATTCCTTAGTCGCTGTGAAAGTTCTTGTTCTCATTCGTTATTCTTCTCATTGTGATGACTTCTCCCTGGTCTTACCCAAAATAAAAAAAGTGAAAACAAAGCGCATCAGGAAATGTTCCAAAGGACAATGCAGTGACACAGAATCAAAGGAACTCACCACTGATGGGTGAAGGAAGAGTTTGAATGCACTGGATCACTACTGGATCACGTCATACTGAGAATGATTTTCTAAAAGCAATCATCCAGAAAGGTGAGGATTTGGAAGAGGAGGAGCCGTCATAGAAGCGCAGTGCTGTAACAAAACCAGTGGCTCCAATGAAGAGAAGTCTGTCTCAACAATTGCTCTGATGAAGCTGCTACTACAGCTACTGCATGTTAGTGCCAGGAATTACGAAGACCTGGGAAATATTACAAAAATAAGTGAAAATGTATAAATGACAGGTGCTAAAGGACAAAAGTCGTATTTATGTGAAACAGTTCTGTTGTTCAAAAGCAGTGTAAAAGCTGTAATAAAATGTATATATAAAATAATGTTCAGATGCAATAATAAATCTCAACTGAACCAAATACTGCTTTTAAGGAGTCTGTAGAAAGGGAGGGGGATGGCAGGTAACTGGAATTTAGGAAGGAGCTACTGCTGTCTCTCTGCATGAGTGCAGCCAGGTCTGCAATGCTGCCTTGTGCTGGGATGTTGTCATTCAGTGAACTGCTGTTGTGGTGTCAGCAGGCAGACCAAGAGCTCAGCCCTGAGTTTGGGTCCAACCTCTGCCTTTCTCCTTAAGATTTCCTTAAGGTCCTTAAGATCTCCTTAAGATCTCCTTAACATTAAGAGTTGCTTGCAGGCTGGACTGTGCTACATAAGGTCCATGTGTTCTACATGTATACATATAATGTGTTTCCCAGATGAATTTTCATGAGGTTACTCTGGATCAGGAGAGGCACCCTTGCCAGGGTGAGTCACAGAGGAGAGTGATGGAAAAGCTCTGCCGCCTGAATATCTGCACTCTGTATTTGTCTTGCCTTTGCATTAGCATTTTGTAGGAGTTTTAAGACTGAGAAGTTCATGGAAACTCTCATTGTATCTTTAAATCTGCAGGGTACGCAGGAGTGCTAACAGCATCCCTACCATAAACTGTTCCTATCTTGAATGATACCCAGTGACAGGAAAACATGAGCAACCACAAGTTAACTCTGCAATGCATGTAAGCAAAGATTTGTTTTACCTTTTTTTTTTTTTTTTAAAACAAATAAACAACTAGCTCTCTGTGCAGTGAAGGCAGAAAGGCAGAAAGCCTGATCTCTGAGGGACTGGTGTTGTAAGACTGTCTTGTCCATATAAATAGAACTCTACAAACAGGACTGTGGCAGTGGCACTGATCAGCCCTCTCTCCTACTCCTTTCAGGAAGTGGAAAGGAACTCAGTATATAAGAGACCTTTAATCAAATGTGGATAAGCCCAGTTACATATGAAGCAATGCAGCTGGCTGACAGGCAAGTGCTGTGGCAGGTACTGCATAAACCTTGCTTCCTTTGAAATGCAGAATAAAACCCACATGTATAAAGTTACTTCACAGCGAGAGCGTTTTAACTACATGCAGACATATTTAATTTGCCTTTAAACTAGTTATTTATGAATCTTGCATATATCAGTTTTATTAGACTGATGGCTCAGGACTGCATCCCAGGTGACACCGACACTTTGCAGAGCAGAGCTCAGACAGCTGGCTGAAGCACAGTGAGAGGAGCTTCCATGGGCTCTTGGTTTTGGGTGTTCCTCAGCAAGGAGTAACCACGAAACTTGCTGGCTCTGTGGCTGCAGTTTGTGGGGAACCCTGCTGTTCTGCTCCTGGGATGCCAAACCTCTGAGCTGCTACTTCAGGTAGGATGCTTTTTACATCTGTACTGCAGTAGTGCTGATTAACGCTAACTGGTTTCGTTAATTTCCTGTTATTACAAATCCAGCGTTTGAATTTTAAGACAACTTTTTGTATCAGTATGGAGCAGCTGTCACACTTCTGTCAGTCTTTACGGAGCCCGTTTGTGCTGGCTACTGTTAGAGTTACGTGTGCCCTACCATAATGGCAAGTGTGTCTTTAAAGGATTAAAATTTAATACGAACATTCAGCCATGGCACAGCTGTGATGGAAAAGGTAGGAGTGCTCCAAGTTCAGTTTGTTTGTGCCTGGAGTGGGTAACTGTACCGCCTGCAGCTCCCGACCCCCCGACACGCTGCCCATAGGGCAGGGCAGGGACCCCGCAGCCCGCGTCCGTGCGATTGTTTCCTCTGGGATTTGCCGCTGTTCCGCAGGTGTCGCCGATGCTGTGCGTCTCTCCGAGCCATGTCCCAGCAATGACTCTCCGGACATTGACCGAGAGATGCCGTTTTATTCCCGAGCATCCCGTCCAGCAGGTAGCTCGGGGCACACGGAGCCCGGCCGCCGGCAGCGCCTTCCCGCAGCGGGCCGGAGATGCGCGCAGGTGAGAACCGCCGGCAGCTGCTGCCGCGGGGTCCCGGGGATGCCGCGGGGCTCAGGGAATACCGCTGGAGGTCACGGGACCCCAGGCGTGCCGCGGGACGAGCGCCGTCCCACAGAAGGGCAGGGGGTCCCAAAGGCGCCGCGAGACGAGCGTGACCGCGGGGTGCTGCGGGACTCCGCCGCAGGGAGCGGGGCCCGCCGGGAAGCCGGGCGTTAAGCGCGGGGTCGGCCCGCGCCTTTGGGGCCGTTCCGCCGCACGGCGGCCCCGGAGGGCGCCCCAGAGGTGCCCCGGCCGCCGGGCCATGGCCGGGCTCCGGCTCCCGGCCCCGGAGGTCGTCCGGGGGAGCGGCGGTTTCCGTGCTGGCGTGCGAATTTGCAAGTGAGATGCAGAGAATAGCGGCGGCGGCTCGGGTGGCCTTTAATCTTTTATGGAGGCGCGGGGAGGGGATGCGGTAACGCTGCCTCAGTACCGGCGGCCTCTGACACGCCGTGTCAGCAGCGGGTACCCTTGGCTGTCGCTTTACGAATGGAAAAGACTCTTCTTGTTTAAAAAACAATTGTTTTACTCCTACTTTTTGCTCAATACACCCACTGACCGGGTCTTTGCTTTTCTGTCACTTTGCAATTGTGCTTTAGTTCTGTGAGAAAGTGAGGAGTCAGATGGGCTGATCCACCCTGTAAGGACATCAGATAAGTAGCAAGCCTTTCTTTCTGTCTGAAGTACTCAGCTCCAACCGCTGCCAATAATGAAAGCGCAGTGTATTTTAATTTACATTCAGCTGATTCTTAGTATGGTGTTGAAAACATCAGTGTGCTCAGATGGCTTTGCAATAAACCGTGGACAGGTAAACAAAGCACTAAATTCATTTGCACCGGGGCCAGTTTTGTTCCACTGTTCTGTTGGGCCTTGGTTGCTTGGTTTTAAAGTATTGAGACTTAAATGCAATTTACTGAGTGCTTACCTGACAGTTCAGGATTTAGGTATGGCCCTGTTTCATGTATGACCCCTAAAGGCCATCACCGATCTTTTATAACATGAGACAACCAAACGTAGCTTGGTCTTCTAAAGAGGAATCTTTGGACGTTTGGAACCAAGTGTTTTGCTTTGTCTTTAGGTTGCACTGAAGTAAGACCTTGCTGCCGCAAGTAGAGCTGGTTGCCATGAAGCTTGCTGGAATTGTGTGCATCAGGGAACACTATGGAGCAATTTTCAACATGGAGAAGAAACTGTTGTGTACATCTGGTCACAGAGGACATTATTTCAACGACAGAAAACTTCCAGTGAGTGGGGCAGCAAATTCCTGGCACCAACCCCCTAGCTCTGGAGTGAAGGGAAATGCTGGAGCACTGAAGGATAAAACCATGAGAGCAGTGGTGACAGGAGGTGGAGGCTACCTGGGATACAAGCTTGGATGTGCTCTTGCCAGCTCAGGAGCTTCAGTTGTTCTGTACGATATACACAAGCCTATCTGGGAAATTCCTAATGGAGTAGTGTGCATCCAGGTATGACAAAATACATGCTCACAACAGTAAGTTAATTTGCCTTTTCCGTAACATTTTACTAGTATTTGCAGAATCCAAATACCCAACTGCAAAAAATTGGAAATTTTAAGGACATTTTTAACTGTGTGAATATCCCACATGATTTTTTATCAGCAAGCATTTAATATTCACATGGAATAAGAAGAGCGATGAGAGCTGTAATGTGCAGCACGGAGTACTGCTTCATCTCCTGTCTCTGAAGGAACTCCTCAGGACCATCACTCCCCACACCTGGGCCTTAGTTTGTTCACCTATGATGGGATGAGATGAGTAGTGCACTTCATGATTCATAGAGGTGTTAAGAGGTTAATGAACATTTTTTACATTCTTTGAGTTCTACAGAAGAAATGTGTGATTATGAGCAAGTATTGAAATGGAGCTACTGTTCAGTCCCAGGATGTACTGTATGTGCCATTACAAAAACACGTTCCCTCTGTGCTAACCCACTGTATGACAAATGCTAACCTATCGTTTTGATTCCAGGTCCAAATATCTTTTCATATGTATTACAGGCAGATGTCAGGGATTATGATGCCATATTTGCAGCCTGTGAAGGGGCTGACTGTGTGTTTCATGTAGCTTCATATGGAATGTCAGGAAGAGAGCAAGTGAGTCCAAATTGTTTTGTATGTTTCTGTGTGACTGCCCACACTGAGGATGGGAGGCCTGATTTTGTAACATTGCATGTGAGATCTTTTTCACTTCAGATGAAGCTGGGAGCCTGAATCCATGCCCATGCTGGTCTGGTCAACTGCTCTGTGCAAACAAGTAGGCTGCTTACAGTGCCCCTTTCCTAGTATGAAATGATTTCCCCATCATTAGAGACACTAACTGCAGCCCTGGGAGGGCTGTTGGTTTGGAGCACTGCAAGAACAAAGGGACAGAAAAGGGAGGGCAGGTTCACTCTAAAACCTCTTTCCTTAAACCTTTTAAATGGAACCCCTACATGTAAGGTCACTGGACGCAGTGAAATGTGAACTAAATTGTAAGTTATTTTATGTAACTAAATTAAAATAACTGCCTTCTTTCAAATTCTAATTGTTTGCCACTAGTAGGTAAAAAGCTGTAAGGATGTACTTGATGTGGGATTCTGAACCACAGTTTTTTTATGATTGAAGTCAAAAACACACACACTCCTTACATTATTAAATTAAAATGAACTTCAGTAATTATCTTAACTGTATAAAAGAGCTTCTAAAAATGTTTGCAGCTGGGCAATGTGTACCTGGAATTACTCTGGGTAGAGCCAGCTGGTCAATGAGTACTACTGAAACATGGGCAATGTAACACACTGTTTACAGTCTTATAATCATTGGAGATAGGAAGAAACACCATGATTCTCTTCACTTCAAGCAAGCTAGTCTCTAAAAAATGTAAGAAAATTACAAGTATAGCTTAAAAAGAATAATAAATCACTTCTTGATGTCTGAAACCTCAGTCTATACATATATATATATATATTATTTTTTTTAATCAAAGCACTCATTACTTTTATCTATGGACACTTACAGTGTCCACCTATGGAATTTAGAATGTATCATTACTCAAAAGGGCACCACTTTATTTTCCCAGCTGCACAAAGAAGAAATTGAAACAGTAAACATCGATGGGACAAGATTCATCATTGATGGTATGTATGTAACCCTGCTGGTAGGTGTTGGTGTGGCATATCAAGGTATCAAGCCATTTAGGAAAAAAAACCTACTTGGTTGTCATGAACTGCTTTTTTTACCAAATACATCACAGTTTTGACAGAAGATGAGGAAACATGTCAGTGGTCTTTTCATACCCGGGGCGAGATATTAGTGTCAGCACTACAGTTCAACTACTTCAGCTTGTCATAACCATGTCTGACATTATGGCAGAGTCTGTGTGCATGTGAGACATGAACAGCTTTCCATGCTGTAAGCCTCACTGCTGCATTACAGCGTGTGCACAGGTCGTGGGCAGCCCCTGGAGCAGAAAGTCTTCCAGCTACCTACCAGGCTGGGGCTGCAGCCCTCTCACCAGGCTGGTAGCAGCCAGCCCAAAGGCACACTGTTAGCTTACATTACCTAAATTAGGAGATGCAGAATAATAAAGCACTTGGTTCTGAACTGATATTTTCTATTTAACTGTTGTCTTCCATATACTTTGTGTCTTAAATAATCCAATAATAAAATGGAAGGATTTGCTCTTCTAAGATTTGCCAGGAAATCTAACAAGTTTCTCTCAAGAAGCACACCTCCCTTTCATACAGGGGTTTTTCTATTTTGTTCAAGCTTCCACTGAACTACTTTACTTTATATATTGCTGCAGCTTGCAAACAAAGGAACGTCACTAGATTGATATACACCAGTACAGTAAATGTGGTGTTTGGAGGGCTTCCTATTGAAGATGGTGATGAGGAAACTGTGCCATATTTTCCTATAGAAAAGGTATTTGGGTTGTATTATTTTTTCACTTTTCTTCTTTGTTTACATTCTTCTTTCCCCCCCCCCCCAAAAAAAAGCCTGGCATTTTGAATAATACAATATACTGAATACTATTTTCTCTGAGGCAGTGCAACAAGAGAACAAACTCCAGAATGCAGACCAATCGTGATGTCTTAAAAACTTGGCTCCTGATTTTTCCGTTACCTGAAAAAGAAATCCAGATTACTAAGCACTGATCAATTACATTCTTGGCAGCATTACAGCATACATATATTTATTACTTCTCAAATGGGCTGAAATTAATTAACTGGGTTTGCATAAACAAAAATGTTTGCTTGCCTTAACAATCTGCATATATTTTATCCTAAACCAGCATCCCAAAACTTCCATATTTTGAGGTGTTTGTTGTCATCTGCTATGTAAGAAGGGAGTGGAGAAGCAGTGCCTCTCTGTTATGCCATGTCAAGAATAGATACAAACCTGTCTGCTTTTTCTCTGTAGCATGTTGATCATTATTCCAGAACCAAATCAATTGCAGAACAAATGGTACTAGCAGCTAATGGAACTCCACTAGCAGGTACTTTTCTGTTTGCAGTTCATAGTAAAATGTACTCCTCTTCTTCCCTTGCCTCACTAACATCCTGCATCCTGTATCAGCCATTCAGTAGACAAGAGTGTCCAGCAGTTAAGAAATCAAGTTACCTCCCCTTCTCACAGACTGAAGGATTTTCTCTTAACAATCACTTTTAATTGTAGTTCTCACAGTGCCAAGAGAAGGTCTTGGCATGGCAGCAGTGAGTTCAGCATCTTCATTGAAAAGATTAAGGCAGCAGTAAATTAAACAATAATGTGTTTATGTCACTGCAATATGCAGTATAAGTAGAACATGAATGCTGATGAAATTGTTCTCCCCTTCCCTTATATATTAAAATCTGAATAAGGCACCTGATACTACAGCCTGGAATTATTTATTAGTGCTTCCCAAAGTTTTCCGTGTTGAGGAAGGCAGTTGTACACTTGAATACTTAAGCTCACCTGTGAGATACTGTAGCTGCCTGCACAAAGCAAATTAATGTAAAGTGCAACGTGACGCCGTGCCAACGAGTGATACAGGGCTCAATTTAGCTGTGGGCAACTTAGGAAAAAGACTTTCTGCATCTGATACTTGCAGAGAGCTATAAACAGATATCAAGTCATTGACTGGCATTTCACAGCAATAGAATTATTTTGTCCAAAAAGCTTTTTTTTCTTATTTTCTCCTTTCTTAGCAGCTCAGCATATCAAAGATGCTCTGATTTTGGGAGCAGTATAGATAGTTGTGCATTTCTCAATGAAACTCACACTAATTTACCTGTGCAAAGGATCAAAGCAATTCATTGGGGTTTTTGATGTTCCAAACATCTCAATTAGATCCTGTGCTCTCAGCATGAATTAGTAGTTTGCAGGTTTTCAAGTAATATTAGGAAGAGTTATTAAGAACAGCAGATGACAAACCAGTCAACTGCTACACTTGGGAATGACTGGATTTTTACAATGGCCCTTACTTTCTCCCACTGAGGTTCTCAAGAGGTTCCACAGCAGTTCTAGTGGGAGCAGGCTGTGCCTACTACTGAGAGCCTTTCAGCTCCATCTTGCACACACAGTGAGATGCTGTTTCCCTGCAATAATTTTCTAAGAGATCAGTTTGCTTTCATTCCACATTCTTACTAATGACTTGCTCACTTCAGCAAATTCATCCCCACAGCTGGCACTCTCACCGACTGCTTTGGCACAGAGATAAAGGACTGGTTGGTTAGAAGTTTGGAAATATCTAGTAATTTCTAGGAATTCAGCTATGCCAGTGCTTTGAGAACTCTTAGAATGGTTTGGGCTGGAAGGAACCTTTAAAGACCTCCGAGTCCCCCCTGCCCCTATGGAATATTGCTGGCAGGATTTTTTGAATCCTGTCTTGTTATTTTGCATGGTTTGATTTGCCAATATTCATCTACTAGTTCAGCACTTTCTGGTGTGTGGTATTTCTAAGCTGCTGAAGCAAATTTAATTCAGAGTAAGTTATGCTACAGCATTCTTCAGCTCATGTGGTGATAACGTAAGTCATGTGAAGCTCACATGTCTTGAATCGTTGTCTCAATTGTCCCAGGAGGTGGAGCACTGCATACATGTGTTCTTCGCCCGCCAGGAATTTATGGACCAGAGGAGCAAAGACATCTGCCAAGGCTAGCAGTATGTACTTCCATTTTCTAATCAGCAGAATTTTCTGTGGTACCGAACAACATCACTTATCTGTACTACAGACTGACCAACCTTCTGATCTGGCATCAGTTGAACAGTTCGATTGTCTGTTGATGATATTGCAACTTTTTTTTGTCAGACACTGTATGACATCTATAAAGAATGCATAATACATTAAAAAAGCCTCTTTTTTAATACAAACACAGGGAAGTCCAGCTTTACAATGTAATGCTTACTGTAATTATAAAAGTCAGGCCATTCTATGATATTTCAAAAATCTGCTTGCATACAACTTAAACCAAAATACTGATGAAAGGAGATAGAGCAACATATATTTCCAGTCTTATTTCTTGCTTTGGTTTCATGTTTGTCTTATGTCTATAGAGGAATATTGAAAGAGGGATACTTAACTTCAAGTTTGGGGATCCTTCTGCTAAAATGAACTGGGTGCACGTAGAGAACCTTGTACAAGCTCAAATTCTGGCTGCTGAAGCTCTCACTCCCGAGAAGAACTACATAGCTGTAAGTAAACAATGAGAACACCATAGTTTTCATTTGGCTGTGGATCCTGCCACTGTATCCTGCACTGCAGTAACTACTGTAGTAATACTGGGGTCCTTTGGCTTGTGTTGTCTGTATTTTTTAATTGACAAATGTGCCATGGACAGTGTGAGCTGTGGCAGCACTGGCTGTGCAGTGTGTTGAGCTGGAATATTCAGTTCTCCAAGAATAGCTGCATCTTTGTGTTTTTATGATACTTATTTGCCATTTCTGAAGATGAGAAAAAAATATTTGATGTCAGAAAAGTAGACTAGGAAAGGAAAAGTAGATTAAACTACTTTTTCTAAAACTCTAAAAACAAATTGCTAAGAGATAATTTGCAGCTTTGTTACACAGATGGAACTGTGTGGGTTTCAGTGACTCTTAACTAGACTGGGGCCAGAACACGTCCTACCATCTTCTAAATATGTGTCAACAGCAAAAGTTATCTATTGCACTGCTTCCAGTGCATTTGGTAATCCCTATATAGTCTGTCCAGTCTTTCTGTATACGTAAATCTGTAAGAAATAATTCGTACCAAGGTATGTTAGGCACACAAACTGCTTCTCCAGTTGACAGTGAATTTCATGGCACACAGAAGAAAAAATGATGGAAATATGTGCAGTTTGTTGGCTTGTATGTACATCCATGTGTACTGCACGTTTCTATATAATACAGTCTTTGAGCTATTCATAAGGAGTAAGGTAAACAAGTCAACGTATATGCAGTGTTCTTTTTACTAACTTGTCTCTTCTCTACCTGTTCAACAGAGTGGTCAGGTGTATTTCATTCATGATGGTGAAAAATTCAACCTTTTTGAATGGTTAGCTCCACTCGTACGTACACTGTATGCTTTATCTCTAAATATATTCATTTGTTTTACTGTACACAACTCTGGCTTTGAGTGCAAATGACATATTTGGGTTCAGTGTGCATTCAATTCTTGCTTGAATTTCATTTTGATTAGTGCTGTAACAAAGCCTACTTAAAATATCACTTGAAAGCAACTGTACTCACTGAGATAAAAGGACTTTCTGAAGCAGGGTCCTCCTTTGGATAGCCATCATCCTCATTTCTTGGGCATTCTTCTGTTAACAGTGGCTATCTTAGATGGACAAAAATATAAATTCAAATTATGACTCTGAAAATACAGAATAACTCTAATATCCAATATTGTTAGTTCATTTTGCTGCTAACGACGTGCTCTAAACCATAAGTATGTCAGGATATTAAATTTGGTATCAGCACACCATGATATTTAAGTCAATTACCATAAACCTGTTTTTTAATTTTCTAAAGACTGCTACTTGAAAATCACAGTGTCTGCTTGTGACACGTAACTGGAATCCCCTAAAAATCAAGTAGTAACAGCAATTATTAAATGTTCTGCCTTATCAGTAAATACTTCCATCTCCTGTACTGTTTTTTTACTGTTGGTTTTTTTTTTTTAATCTCTTTCAGTTTGAAAGATTAGGTTGCAGTAAGCCATGGATACCTATTCCTACTTCCTTAGTTTATGCATCAGGTAAAAATACTTTATCAGTCTTTCTCTGTCCAGCCAAGCAACCCTCTTCCCAGTTGTAACATGATATTGTGGGTTGTTCTTTTTTTCTTAATGTGGCCACAGTTCTTGTTTTCACACATAAAGTGTGCTGTGAGCTCATCTTGTGTGCAACAGTTCTACGTGAACTTCAGGTGTGTATGTGTGCTGAAACCAGAACGATCTGTGAGTTAAGTCACACTAAAACAGATGGTTTGGGTTGGTTGTAGTTTCTAAGGCTTACCAGATGTGCAGCTTTGTGGAAGACGTAGAAGGTTTTATGTAAAAATCCATGACTCCATGAAATACCTGCAGATTACCAGCTTTGCCTGCACAAGTTAATTTCTTGTACTCCTTTCTCCCATACTCCCCCCAAAACAAACCCACGTGCCACTAGATTGAATCTCACCCAGAAGAGTTTGGTTTTATCATGTCTGTATGAGTTCTCAAGATCTTTGTGCTAGCCCAGTTACAGCCTTCAAACCCTTGTGAGGCACACACCCTAAAATCAGGCTGACTGAAGCAAGAAAGACAAAACCCAGCTCCTTGTCAGCATTAAGGGTGCCCTGAGCTCTCCTAGGCTCAGGATTATCCTTCACTATCAAATATGGTGTGTGATATGCCACAATCATAAGGTACTGCAACTGGCTATTCTTACCTCAAGAAGAAATCTTTTGTTCTGCAGCCACAGTCATGGAGCATCTTCATCTGATACTGAAACCATTGGTTGAGCTGTCACCTCTGCTGACCAGAAATGAGGTACAGGTTTGTTTGTAAGCTCCCTTGTTCCCCCAGGATGCACACGTACCATATGAGTACAGCTGGGACCTAATGTTTGAGGACCCTTCAGGCACCCTATGATGACTTTTACTGTGTCCTTACATACATAGGAGTGCAGAACACTTTGTGGATGTTTTCAGGAGTAAATCGTGCTGTGCAGCCTTTACTGCTTCTTTGGACTCTCGGCACACTCCTGTTGGGTGAACAAAAAGACTACATGACATATGTCAGTAGTCAACAGGTTTGGATATGCGTATTTTTAAATACAATTTTACAGCTCATTTTAGTGGGTCTTTGGCACCGTGCACAGCCTTTGTTCAGCTCTGCTACACACTCACACTTTGTGTGTTGGCTCCTTTGCCGACAGGTGCAGAACATCTCCACAACGCACACCTTCAGCATCGACAAGGCCCGCAGGCAGCTGGGCTACAGCCCGGAGAAGTTCGCATTCGCTGATTCTGTGGAGCATTACATCAAAAGCAGAGCAGAGGCACGGAGCGAGCACGTCTTCCCCAAAGTGATGCTTTTGTTCCTTGCGATTTTAAGTTTGATTTTTCTTTCTTTAAGATTTGATGACCTTTCAGTTTTGCACTTTTTTAAGGAAACACAGCACTGACTCACACAGGCTGCATGTGCCCCCTGCAGAATTGCTCCCATGGAACATCCTCAGCTCCACAGACAGGCACTTATTTTAGATTAAAAACAGAACAAACCTGAACACCACCAACACTGTAAGCAATTGCAGCCAAAGTCCATCACCAAGACACGTTTAAAGTCACACGTATTTCCAAACTGACTGCTGGAGTGCACGAGGAGCTGCGAAAAGAACACAGGGCACAGCCGACGGAGAAAAGCAGCGGAAAGCAGATGGAGGCAGCGCAGGAGCGGGGAGCTGAGAAACGTGCAGAGGAAGCACGCGGAGCGCTCCCGGCTGTGAATCGCCCCTGTGGGCTGCACGGAGCTCACACGGTGTGAATTTCCTTTGTGAACTGACCGCGTCACTGCATATGAGGGAAAATAAAAGGGAACGTGAAGCTCCGTGAAACCGGTGCGGTGCCTCCCTGCGGCTCCGCGCTGCCACGTCTGCCAGGGCTGGGCTGTGCCGCCTCTAAGCACTCCCACAGACCGCCTTCCCTTCCCCCGGGCTGCTGGGAGGGAACAGTCGGGAGCGGAGTACGGGAATGGGCGGGCAGGAGGCGGAGCGGAGCCGGGGGACACGGACGGCCGTGACCGGGGGGCGGTGAGGGCACGGGCGGACGCGTGGCGAGCGCCGCTCTCCGCCTCCCCGCCTGCATTCCGAAGCCAGAGGGCGGCGGTGAGCGGCGCTGCACGGAGCTCCGCGAGGTGATGCTCGGAAGTCCCGCGCCCCGCCGGGCGGCTGCCGGCTGCGAAAAGGAGCCGCCGCCGAGGGGAGACAAAACTTCTTGGCAGCGGTGGGATTCGAACCCACGCCATCGAAATGACTGGAGCCTAAATCCAGCGCCTTAGACCACTCGGCCACGCTACCGCCTGGTGGTTGTGCGGCCTGTGAGGCCGTTTTCAGCAGGTAGAGCCGCGCTTCTACGCGCGGAGCGCCGCCCGCGCCGCCGTTGCGTGCTCGGGCGCGGCGGTGCGCATCAGCTCCGCTCCTCTCCGCGGGAGGCACTGCAGGCGCGGCCTCCCCGCCCTCAGGCGTAGCGGCTCGGCGCTGCCGAGGGCGCTGTCGCGGCACCATGCTCCCGGAAGGTGGCGCCAGCACCCCGGCCAGGCGTCAGCAGCGCGCGGCGGCTGCACGCGCGGCCCCGGTGCCACCCGGCCCGACCTCTGACCTCTGACCCACAGAGCAGCTGCGCGCGCCGCTGCCGGGCTGGGCGGTGTGGGCCGAGTCGCTCCTGCGCTGCGCCTCAGCGCGGGCGGGAAACTGGACGGAGAGGGGACTGCGTGCGGGCCGGTACCTCATATTTAATCTTAATACACGTTTTTGTTTAACCCAGAAGCTATTCACGTTGATTTCCATATAGTCCATAAAAGGGAAAGGAGTTTTGTTTAACATTTCCACAGCTCCTACCTCGAGGAAGAGCTCAGCCACCGATGCGTTTCGCGGGGGGAGCGCTGAGCAGGTGAGAAGTGTTGGCACTGGAAACGCGCTGCGCACCTCCTGTGTTTCTCACGGGGCAATGGAGGGCAATGGAGCGCAGTGCAGGGCAGTGGAGAGCAATAGAGAGTAATGCAGAGCAATGGAGAGCAGTGCAACGCGCTCCCCTGACAGCCCGGGCAGCCGCTCCCGGTCGCAGCCTCCACAGCTTCCAACCTGCGTTCCGGGCCGCTTTTCCTCACGCACACACAAACACAACCCGAGGGAAGCGCCTCCCGCCGGCAGCGCGCAGCCCTCAGAGTGCCGCGGGGCGGCTCAGGCAGCCGATGGGCGGGAGCTGAGGGCTGGTCTGCGCCGCCCCGCCCCGCTCCGCTCCACAGGCTGCCGTGGTCGCTCCGCTGCAGGTCGGGCTCTGCGGCTCCCGGTAGGTGCTTGGCGGCCGGGTGGGCTCGCGGTGGGGCGGTCAGGGCAGCCGTCCTGGGCGGCAGCTCTCGGGATGCCCAGGGACGGCGGCGGATCCCGTCGGGAATCCCTGAGCGCGGAGCGGGGCCGGAGCGCCGGGCGGGTGCCCGCGGAGAAATCAGTCACAGTTACTTCCTCGGCGTTGTTCAGCCCGGAACGGAAAGCCCAGTGAAAAAACAGAGCCGCTCGGTGCAGCGGAAGGCCGTTCGCAAGCCTGCCTCCTCGCCCGGCTCCTATCGGGGCGGTCAGCTCAACTCGCTGTAGCTGTTCTCTCAGCCGTGTGCAGCGCAGGTGGGAACGGCTGCTGGGCGCTGGGGGTCGCGGGCTGTGCCGCGCTGCTGCCTGCCGGGCGCCGGGCCGTTCCTCGGAACGCTGCTTCTGTGTCTGCGCCTCGTACGGTGCGCGGCCTTTGGGGTCCTTCGGTTACATCTCAGATCTCTGCTGCTCGTTTCTCCCTCCGAGAAAAGCTGCTCGGTGCTGTTGTAGGTCTTCTGCTTGGTGGCTTTGGCGGATGCGTTAAAGCAAAGGGATTTTATTCGGGGAGAGGGAGCGGAGCGTTCTCGCCTTAGCGCTGACCCCACAGACGTTTGGGCTGTGCCGGGGCAGCCCCTGTCCCTGCCCTGCGCTGAAGGAGCACAGAGGACTGTGTCAGAGCTGAGACAGCCCTAGAAAGGTATCCGAGGTGCTCCCTTCTGCTGTCTGGAGCCCTCAGAATCAAAGCATATCCATAGGCTCCTGAGGTCTCGCTCAGGGATTCTGCCATACCAGCTGTCTCATCACAACAGGTGCCCTGCAGAAATAAGCAGTGTTTTGTCAGCGCTCTGATGTGAATCCTCCCCTCTGGTTGTGTATTTGCACATGCACTATGTTTGACAACATGGAGCATTGTCCTTGCAACTCACCTCCCTGTGCTGGTAGCGTGGCTCTTGATTGTGATGCTGAGAGAAAGAAAAAATAGTTGAGACAATCATTGGAAAAGCCTAAAATTAGTAGAAATGTAATCAGATTTAATAATTGATTGTATCTGACATTTTCTTCTTTAATTGCATAGCACAAGGTTGATTTTTAAAAGAAAAAGTGTGTTGGTGTGCTCTTCTTTGCCACTTAGCTTGAGGAAAGCTTTTGCCATGGACCAGAGGCGGAATGATGGGAGCACAGCAGCAGTAACAGCTGCTGCATGGTTTGGATTTGTGCTGTAATGCAGCAGTGCAGAATGTAAGCCTTGGAATGGAGCTCAGGGTTTTTTGTAGGGCTTTTGGTCAAGAAAAGCCTGTTAAGTTCAGAGCAGTGCTTGTGTGATTAAAATTTGATTATTGAATTCTGTTTTAAAGAGCATGTTACATGAGGGCAGCATTTAGTGACTCCATTTTCAAGGTAAACCTGAGCCCTTTAAAAGAAGCACAGTTGCAAGAATAACAGAGAGACAAAAGACAAAGTGATTTCTGCAATAGTATTCAATTTATAAAGCGAGTGGCAGCATTCCTGTTACTGCTGCTGCTCCAGCACCCTGTGCCTGAAGCACCTGCTGTGTGTGACTGCCTGCAGCAGCTGACCTGTCCCACAGCAACCATCTGTTGGCAGCTGTGCTGCACCTCCTGTGGCTGCGAGCCCTGCAGGACCTGGGGTTTTTCTGCTTCTGTTGGAGGAGGGTAGAGTGTACATAGAGCTGAGGAGCAGCACTGAGAGTGAACACTTAGTTCTGGAGTTGTCATTTCTGGGCTGGTTGGTGGAACTGGTTGGGTGCAGCAGCTCCAGAACCAGGCAGTAGGTGTGTCTGCCTGAAGTTGTGTGCTTCAGGGCTTGATTTTGGAAGCGCTAATGAACGTGTGGGTGTGTTTTCTGAGTGTTCAGGCAGCCTTCCATCTCTTCCAGGGGCTTTGATTTTTCCTGCCCTATTTTTTCCAGCATGTAAAACGCCTTATTCCTGTTAGCTGGGTGCTGGCAGGACGGTTGATATCTGCATGGCGCTGAGAACACGGCAGGTGCCAGGTGCTGGAAGTGCAGAAGGCCATCATTTTCAGAGCTCTAAGCAGTGCATCGTGTACAACAAATCAGGATGTGCTGCTCTGCGCGGTTTACTTTTGCCTTCAAATTGACAACAAAACAGGCAGGCCTGACTGCAGTATAGGCACAGTATCCATCTGAAGAGCTAGCAAAATTTGTATGAAGGTTTGGGTGATTATTGCAGTCATCTCACCCTTCTTATTCCTCATGCAGCAGAGAGATGTGAGTAATTAAAGCTGAAGTGCTGAGACAGCTGTGGCAGTGTAGGAGGCAGAGGACATGGTCACTGATACAGGGGCCTGGCAGTGCGTGCTGCTGGGCTCTGCTCACTTCACAGGGAGCACCCTTAATCCCTGATGGAGGTTTAACAGCTATGCTGACGTTTTTAAATCTGCAGTGTTCTTTTTAAGGAGGAAGATGCCCAGTGGAGTCAGGCAGTGCCTGGCCCTCCTGCAGGGCCTTGCTGTGTGCAGGCTGTGCGGAGGCAGCAGCGCCGTGCTGTGCCCACGGGCTCCTGGCCAGGCCTCTGGCACTCCCATGAGCAGAGTTGTTCTCGCCTGTCGGTTCAGCTGTGGTCAGTTTGGCTGCAGCCTCAGTGCTGAATGGCAGTGGGGAGACCAGGAGGGAGTCCAGGAGCAATCGGCTGTATGTTGCGCTCTTGACAGAGGAAACAAATAGCAAATGTGCATGGCAGAGAGATGGTTTCACTGGCATTAGATGAACCATGGCAGTGGCCCAGTCTGGCTGTTCATGCTGTCCTCAATATCTCAGCAGCCCCATGGATATGTGCTTGGTAGCATGAGTGGAAAAGAGCAGGAGTGAAGGTGAAAGGGCACTTGTACTGAGATCACCTGGAGCCTGGGGTGAAGAGAAGCAATGCAAAGCCTGGGCACAATACTCCCTGGGAAGCAGGGTACCCATCCCAACATGTGAATGTGGCTGTGCTGCAGGGGATGGACGGAAATGAGCGCTTGCATGGAAGGTGCTCTGCTGCAGCACTGCAGGGCCTGCAGCCATCACCTCCGTGTGCTGGAATCTGCCTGGCTGAAGGCATACTGTGAGGTGGAAGGGAAGATGTGACAGGACTGCAAAGTGGCCACCTCCTCCTTCCCCAGAATGGTGCCATGCACATCGTGTGGCCGGCAGTGTGTGAGCTGCAGGCAGCCCTTGTGTTCGGTCCTGATGAATCATCGCCACTGCATGGGCAGAGGCTGCTGGGCATGGAGCCGTGGTGAGATGGCTGGGGTGGAACCTGAGCTCCAGGAAAAAACACGTTCATGACTCACCTCGCCTTTTTTATATTACGTGGCTGTTGCACCAGTGGAGCTGTGCATCCCAAATGCTCTGTTTCACTGAAAGTGACATCAGTAATTGGGAAGGTGGGCCGTGCTGCAGGGTGGCTCCTCTGGTACTGCTGTGGAACTCCCTGCGGTCTTTAACACTGCTTAATGTGTCAAAAGGCCTTATCTAAATACAACAAGTCACCTCCCGGACTTAGAAAAACTAGAGCATATTTTAGTGAGTGTGTTCTGCCGTTGTTGCATATCTGATTTTATTTTTTATCTTTTAAACTTTCATTTTGCTTAGTTCATTTTGGCCCCAGGGGAAGCCAAACCTTCCCTATTCTTTTCTCTTACAGTCCAGGGAGCTACTAAAAAGCTGAGGTTATGGAGCTGTCTCTTTTTGTTAAGCACAAGAACCATTAATCCAGGACAGTGTTTTTTCATGTAAGCTCTATGTGATGGAAATAGCTCAGCTGTAATTCTAGCTGCTGCCTGATCTGTACGAGGCAGAGGATGAACTTTAGGACCGTGGCATTTGCTGCAGGCTGGTGCCCAGCTCCAGTGGTGATGGGCTCTGCTCTCTCCACAGGGTTTTTGGAAATGTGCTTCAAACAATCCTCTGCTCCACTGATTGCAGTTATCTGGATTGTTAAAATAATGCAGATCATTAGAAAGGATTGAGCCAAGTGGGGAGGAAGGCACTGATGTTGTGGTAGGGAGCTGTGGAGGTATTGGGAGCACTGGTAGGGTAATTGCATTGCTATGGTGAATTTAAATCAATTGTAAGCCTTCAAAATGTAATACGTTTTTTGCCATATACCAATTGCTATTGATCATCATGTAAGCAGCTGGATTTATCTGTACCTTTCAAATAAAAGAAAATGCAGCGGGATCTGTTCTTGTAGGCTTTCCAGAGTAAGTTACTGTTTTACTTTTACCCTTTGCTCCTCATGTCATTTGGAAGCCCTTATTTTGGTGAATGGAGATACATGTACATGGGGTTGCTATGGTGGCCTGCACAGAAGACTGCCAGACCTGCACTGCATTTGGCAGCAGTGGAGTTCAATGCCAGGCACCCCCTCCTTGGCCTCCTCTCTGTGCTTTGTCCTCCCAGGGTTGTCCTGTCCTGGCAATGTGCTTCACCCTTCGGGCCATTTGGTGGGTAGGAGCTAATGCCTGTTTAAGTCTTGGCAGGGCTGTGGGCAATTTTCTGTCTTGTCCCAGTAATGCTTTCAAACTCCTTTGGCTATTAATTTTGTATGTTAATTTTATGTTCAATATCCTTAGTAAGAGTTGTCCTAAAAAATGAGGACTCAGCCATGTAATGTGTGAGGCGCAGCTCCCTTGAGTTCTGAAGATCAGTGCTGTGAAACTCCACTTGTCAGATGGTGAAGGGTAAAAACACGCAGGGGATGAGCTGGGAATGTGAGCAAACGTTAGCAGCGGGCGGTGTGCAGTCCCTGCAGTCTCACGGGGTTACACTGCCTGCTGATCTTACTTTGGCAGTCCTGTAGCCATTTTAAAACAGCCTTCCCAGAGGCCTCTACCTTCTGCAAACCCAGATCTAGCACTGAGGAGTTGAAAACCTCACACAGGTACTCAGGGCTCGCTTTTATACAGCCAAATGCAGATCGTATTTATTTATTGGCCAGTGAGCAGTTCCAGTAGGGTTGTTCTTTGAATAATGGCTCATTCAATTTTTTTTCCTTCTCTCTCTCACCCAGGTTCTCCCCTCTGCCTGCATGTGCGTTGGAACTGCTTCCCTCAGTGCAGGAGTTAAAGTGCCCTCCCACAACCATGGCCGATGAGGACCTTATCTTCCGTATGGAAGGGATTGATAATGCTAGATTGACCGAAGTGACCTCTGGAAATTACCTGGATGCAGACAGTGATGATGAAGACAACTATTACATCTGCCCAATAACTGATGATCCAGTTTCTAACAAGTCTGCCAGTAGTAAAGTTGACAGTTATTATAGCAACTTAGCCAAAACCGAGCAGTACAGTTCTAGCTCTTCTCCTAGAAACTCCTTTAACTACAAGGTAAGTACTGGCTGCAGCCTTCAGTAAGGTTTGGATTTTGCATAGGTGGCATGAGAGGGAAATGTTCTGTAACTGCTTTGTTTCTTTAAACTAATGCTTTTCAGTAAAACATGCAAGTCTGTTGTCTCCAGACCTGCAGTTAATTCCATGAAGCAGGTGGTCTGCCACTGAACTGCAGACTGTCCCTCTTAGGACAGGAGGGGAATCCCCAGGAGACAAAGCCTCAAAACCAGAAGTGACAGGCACTGCATGGTTGGGTACCCGTAGCATGCACTGCTCATGCTCAACTGGAACGGCCCTCGGATTTTCTCTAGACTAAGGTTTAGAGTTTTATTCATGCACCCTTTACTAAAATGTTGACGTTGTTTATTTAATAGATACTCTGAAATCTCAGTTATGCCTAATGCATGCTTTGTTTCTGCAGAGATACCAGAGGCTTTATGTAAGTCAGCTGACAGATAATCCATCAAAAGTGAAACCATTTTGTCTGCAGTAAGGTTTTTGTGAAAGCTAGTTAGGAGAAGCATTAGAATGTACATCTTCTAAAGAATGTGAGGAGTAAAACATTTAGTATAGACAATGGAACAGATCTTAATGTGTGCCGGGCTAGACAAGTTAAGACCTGTGGGGAGATTGGTCTGTAATTAGTTTTGTAGTAAAAACCTGCCCCTGGGTTTGCATATGTGTGGGAGTTCTAAGTCACGTGGCCAGAGATAAAACTGATAAGGATTTAAACTGCATTAATTTCCTCTTTCCTAAGCTATCGTGCTGCTTCTGCTGTAAGCTTATGTCCTGCAGTAGGGAGAGCAGAATATGCGTGCTGTGCTTTGGGCTTTGCAAGGCCTGCTTTGGTATCTTGGCTCTAGCACAGATAAAACGTGATCAGATGTGGAGCAGGCAGCTCTCCGAACATTGCTGAAGTCACAGAAATGGTGACTTCTGACACAGAACGAAGCAGCCAGCTGGGGCTAACAGCACCTTATAACCCACCACCAGAGCTGCTGGCAGTGTGGGGCATTGCTAAGGAACTGCAGAGATGGAACAGTTACTGTCAGTGCTGTGCCTTTAGACAGCCCTCAGCAGTGATTAATTTGCTAGGTACTGAGCAAGACTCTTAACTCCTGTTTGAAAAAATTGCCAACTTGAACAGGTTTGTTTGACAGATGTTCTAAGAATTAACTTAAATGAGGGATTCAGTCTAAGAGCGGCTTTTAAGTGGAAAAAACTTCTTTTTAATTAACAGAGAGGAGGCTATTTGTCAATCAATTGACTTATCACCTGTGTTTTCCTACTTTCATGTCTCTATGCGTCCTATAGAGTGACACACAGCATCGCTCTAAGCACGGCTCTGTGGTTGACCGTAGTCGGGTAGGTTAAAACAATGTGAACACCGTATCTAATAGATGCATAACTTTTTTTGTCCTTTTTTCCCCTTCTGTGACTGTTTTTGTTCATGATTTATTTTTTGCTGAAAGAACTGCTTGCCTCAGCCCATATGTGATCAAGATAGCTGTTCAGTGAAACAGTACTCACCTGTTGTTCTCTGCCCTGAATTAGCACTTCCTTTAAAGCATGCCTCCGCAGTTGTTTCTTCACCGTATTTCCTACTGTGGGCAACAACAGAATAGTAGCAAGGTGTCTGCTTGGTCTGCATGGCAGCCATATGCTGGAGGAAAACAGTACTCAGTACATTTACACAACATCCAACTTGCTGTTCATTTGAAGATTAGAAGAGAGCTGTATGCAGAGCACCTTGCAAGATCAAGCACAAAACTCATTTGTTTAAATCATTTCTATGTATCGTGGACACATCACCTTTTAGAGAGGCACCCTACTTGAAAATGGTTTGAGGTAGGTAAGGGACAACCTAATTCTTGTGTTTGTCCCTGCTTATGCTTTGCGTACACAGTTAGGTGTGCCCAGACCTGTATGAAATGTGCATCATCACATGATCTGAGGCAACAGCATTTTTGCTAAAAAACATGCAGAAAGACTTTTTTCTCATTGAGTCTTTTAACCTTACTTTATTTACTATAGTTCTGTGTTCATTTCATGGTTTTCTTGGTGGAAAAGGACATATTTGAATTTTTAGAGAGTGCTGATTTACTGCCTAAATAAACACGGCCATACTTCTTGATATCATTGCTGAAATAATTTTATACAGCATTTTTTAAAGTTTTGGCTGAGATTTAAATACAAAGTGGAAAAATAAAATTGTAAAAATTGTAATTGTTTCTGCATATTTGAAATTGGGTCTCAGAGGCAGTATCAAAGTCCTTGAGGCTGGTATTTCCTCACTTACAGAGGTGCTGTTTGACCAAGGGAGCAGAGCATCCCTTTCTCCTGCTCACCTAGCAGAAGGCATTACAGGATCGTGGCTCCAGTTCTTTAGGAGCATTACAATATAAAAAGAGTAATAAAAGTGTTGAGAGAAATTAATTTGATAGAGCTGGCAGAGCAAGATGTTAAATTCCAGCGAATTCCTTTCAGCTTTTGCAGGTGACTTGGTGGGGATTGAAATAGTCACTAGTCTGGAATTGTTATGATAATCTGTTTTTTACAACATGCCAATTTCTGGTTTCTTACACTGAGCACAGCTTGCAGGCTTTGGTGATTATCAAACTGCTTTTCCTCCTTCATATTGCTCTATTGCTAATGCTCTTTTTATGCTTATACTGCCAGCAAGTGCTTTTAGTTACAAAAGATAGAAAAGCAGAAGGGAATTCATATCATTTAGGTGTGGCATTGTTGTTTATATTCTATATGAGGGATGTTTGCTAGTTCTATTTGGTGTATACCAGATTACCTGTTCTCAGTAACTTTCTGATGGTAGGAATTGAAATGAAACCTGATGCAGTGTATTTCTGACCTACTTCATAATAGTTGAAACTATAAAATATCAGGGTGATCTTCTGTACCAAATACAGAAAAAAGGGAAACAAAATGATGGAGGAAGTCTGCCATATCTTGCTTCCACTGTCAGCAGTGCTTTGGGGAGCTGTGCAGCTGCACCTCTTTGTAACACTGAGATCCCTGCGTTCTCTAGAAAATGCCCTTCTCATGGGCTGCTGCTGACTATAAATAATTTACTGGTTTGCAACTCCTTCAGGAAACCTGGAAACATGCTATTGAGAAAGCTAAGCACATGCCTGATCCTTGGGCAGAATTTCATCTTGAGGACATCGAGACAGAACACGGCACTCGCTACAGGTCTGGGGGTTTTTTGCTCTTAATGCTGGAATGAAACAGAATCTGATGTCTTAAGCAAGGGCTGTGTTGGTGTGGTATAGAGTGCGTGTAATTACATGGCTGAAGACCTTTCAGTAGTGTCCAAAATGAGTGTGTCTTAACTGAATCTCCCAGCAGTACATAAATACTGCATGCAGTCAGACAATTAAACCTTTCAGCAAACCACTATCTTGTTCTTTTCCCTCTACCACCTAAGCAGTTTCACCGTACAGATAGGAAATAAGTATTTTCTGATTGTCTTATTAATTCTGTAAACTTAATCTAATAAGGAAATAAATTCCAATAAAGAAGGAGAGTTTTTTCATAGTATTTTATATCTATATTGCAAGTTACTTAAATAACTTAGGAAAAAAACTACATTCCGTGCCTTTCCCAAAGTAACAGTTTCAGTGTTGCTTATCTGTGCAGTATTGCTGCATGTGGCTGGAATTCACATCCTTACAAAGCCCAGAATAGCTCAGCGTGGTGTACGTGCTGAAACCCAGTCTGGCCTTGTGAGCTATTCTCAGTGCTTTAGCACAGGCTTTGCCAAAACATTTACCCCACTGACACAGGTTTCTAGGAGGAATGGGTAGGAGGTAGAGGCCAGCTAATTACCCCTGAGCATCAGTGTTTGGGGAGGCCTCCCTTCCCGTCACATGATGTTGTCACTCTGCACTGTCCTTCTCCACGGACTGCATCTGGTCCTGATCTGCCACACTATTTCAGTCCTGAAACAGTTTGCACACAGGTTTAGGGCTGCTTAAATATCCCATGGAAAAGAGATGACTCAAGTATTTCTGTTTCTAACTCTCTTTTGCCTGCTGCAAACAGGGGCAGTACAGAATATGTAATGGGAACTGAAGTGTATACATGCATGAAATACTTGGTGCAGGGCTGGGGAGTCAGGCTGGAAATAATCTTGTGTTGGTGACTCAGCTCCTTTGGTTTTCAGTTTGGTTTTACTGTACTGGGAGTTAAGAGGGATGAGGAGAAACTGGACTCATGGTTCATATTGCCATGGGGTTGTGCAGAGACTTGCTTCTCTTGTGATGCAGTGTTACGCCCCTCTGCTTGTCACAGCCATAGCCTGTAGAGTTGGTAGGGCTCTTTGTGCCCCCAGTGAGCTGCCTAGGCATCACAGAGGAGATTTACTACCAAAGCAGATGAGGCCTATTTTGTATTGTTGCAAAACTCAAGCTTTGGTAGCAGAGTCTGTTTATTATCCATAGGATTCAGTGTCCATTTGAAGAGGGATAAATTTCTTCTTTCTCACTTGAAGGACTAACCATGGAAGGAGGGCAGGAGCATGGTAGGAGGACTGGAAGTGATATTGGATGGCAGCAGGCCTTTCAAGCAATTAATTAGAGATGAGGAAGCATAGGTGGTGAAAATGGGAAGATTTTGGTTTGTTCTGCGTTACTTTTAAGAAGCACAACTTCTGGTTTTGCAGGTACAATACAGTTACTGGGGACTGGGTTGAAGATGAAGTTCTCATCAAGATGGCTTCACAAGTAAGATCACACTGCCCTTCATGTTTATTGTGTCTGCACTCAAATTTATTGTGTCCTTCTTAGTATTGACTAATGGCAGCAGGATTTTTTTTTCACATAAAAGCTTTGATGCTTCTTTTCTCCTTTCTTTTCTATTCTGGCTCATGCATTATGTTTTGGTATCCCAGCACACTTTTCTTCCCAGAACAGTAGAACGTGGAATCAGACCTTCCCCATCAGCACTGTAAGAGGCATTTGTTTCTTTCCCAGAGATCTCTCCCATTTCAGCCCTCCCATTTCCTGCTGGCCTCATCTCTGCCTGGCAGTAGGCCTACTTATGTTCAGTATGTGAGGGTAGAAGCTGCTGTCACTTGGTAGCTGAATCATATGATTAGCGATGAGTTGGAATCACCTTGCTCTGTTTCTTTTTCCCAGATTACTGCCTCAAGTGGATGGTGGGTTTTCAGTTTTCCTTGTGGGTATGGGTATGCTATAGAGCCTATCTAAGAACTACTTTTTCCAGGGTATAAGGGGGAGGAGGGCATTGTTGTGTCTCTTACTGGTTAGAAATGAACTTTGTGAAAATGACAGTGACGGGTTTGTTTTTTCCTTTTCCCCAGCCCTTTGGCCGTGGAGCAATGCGAGAATGTTTCAGAACGTAAGTGTTTGCTAGCTTTACCTTTACTGCAGTATTTTCTTCTGTGGTGACTGGAGTTTCTCACAGATGGGGCATCTAAGCGAAGTGCAGCTCCCCACTTTGCTTTTCTAAAAGGTGTAGCTGAGGGGTTTACTCCTATTTATGCAACTTCAGCCACAGCACACAGAGTGGGATTCACAAAGCAGATCATTCTCATCAGTAAGTGTGATGCATGTATCCACTGAGCTTGCTTTGGAAAGCCAACCCACAGCCTTTACTGTAACCACAGTGGCATGGATAACATGCAGTTGTGCCTGGCTCCAGCAAGTTATACTGTCAGTTAGCAGTTCATAAATTCATGCTATTTCCACCATCTCTTGGAGGCAAAATATTCATAAAAATACAGAAGCAGCAGCTTTGTTTCATTTTTATTGGGTTCTAAGTATGCCATATTATCTCTAAATTTGGTGTGCAGTCTGAAGGCCATCTCCAGGCCCATATTTGGGCACAGAAAAAAGGAGAAGAATAGCTGAGTTCATGTGATCTCAACTCAAAAGGCCTTCTTTAGTAAAGAAGGCTGTCCTCCCAGAGTTTCCTTTGGATCACGGGTACCAGACATCTTGTTCTGAGTAAGACAGAGCTTGAACATTAGCAGTTGTTCATTCCAGAACAGTGAAGTGTGAGGAAAGGCAAAAGGAACTATTTTGTTGTCTTCTGAATATTAGGAAATATGTCTATGGGCATCAGCACCTACCTGTAAATGAGTCTGTCCTAGAAAAGTACCCTGTTCTTTCAGGTTCTGGATATGACTTTCCTGGAGAATGTACATGTGCACTTTTAGGTTCTTCTCTCCACTTTCCAGCTGCAGGATCTAAAGAGACTGTATTTCATGTCTGGTTTCATTTCTAGGAAGAGAAACTTCTGAATATCAAAAACATGCTGTTTTGAACTTCAGGAAAAAGGGGCAGAGTAACCCCTCAGTCATTCAGTTCTTCATTGTTTTGGAATGGATTCATGCTGGTGGCTCCATGCTTGCAGAGCCACGTAGATAAGCAGTAGAGAAGCCTAGGAAGTAACAAATCTTGATCTGCTCACTCTGCTTTTAGTTTTTGTTTCTGAATGACCAAGTTTCACATTAGGGAATATCTTGAGTAGAGACAGGAACAGATTTATCTTTGCAGCTTAACCTATTGCACAAAGAAAATGTAATTTATGTGTCATCTTCCTGGTCCTAAATCGTCTATAAATCTCAGTGGTGCACTGATAATTCCCATCTGGAGTTCTTTAGATTTATGCAGGTCTTTCATCATTACAGTGATGGCATTAGCTGTGCTTAGTTCAATAAACTTCAGGGAGTGTTGGCTTTAGAAGAGCACATAAAATGTTTTATACAGCAAAGTTTGTTTCTTAAGAGATCTGGACAGGTTTCAAATTCTGTCTGTAATTCTTAGCTCACTTGCTCCTTCCTTCTAAGGCCTGTGTCACAGTGGCTGTGTAACCCTATGGGAGGTCTTTTTCTTCACTCTTGAGGGACCTGTGGATTAGAGATTTGCACTCCAACAGAAGCTGGAGTCAGGGCAAAAAGGGTAATCTACAGTTCTCCTTCTTGGAGAAGAGGATACTGAGCAGTTATCACCCTTATGTGCTGAGAAAGCAGCACTTTGCTCTTCTCTTAGGAGAGGTTTGTCTTCTCTCATTTCTTGTTTGAAATGCCACTCCTTGTTCATTCCTACATGAAATAATTGTTGGCTGTAAAACTCCTTCATACTGTGTTTTGTGATATTTTTTTTTTTGAGGGGGGGAGGGAATGGTGGGAGAAAAGTCAGGAAAGTGGTAAGTTCAGAGAAGTAGCAGCAGGCACATGAAACACGTGCTTAGAAGACTCCCAGCCATTCATATGGAATGCTGGTTTTTCCTTTTCTCCCCACCTGTGCTTTGCTTTTCAGATAATCTATCTGGTACACGATGTAAGATTTACTCCAGACTGAAAGTCATCCTGATCTCATGGCCTGACTGTCAGTGGAGACAAAGAAATGGGGAAGATTGAATTAAAATGACTTCTTTTAAAATTCAAACATGATTTATTTTTCAGGAAAAAGTTGTCCAACTTCTTACACACTCAGAACTGGAAAGCTGCCTATAACTACGTTGCCAAGCGGTACATAGAGAGTGTAGGCAGGGAGGTGTATTTTGAGGATGTCCGACTTCAGATGGAAGCAAAGCTCTGGGGAGAAGAGTACAACCGGCACAAACCACCCAAGCAGGTACATCCAGAGGTCTTGCTATGCAATAATTCAGTCCTGCTCTTCTGTTAGATAGTTTGCAAATGTATGTAGGGGGGATTAGTTGTTCATGTTCTATTATGTTTAATTGCTGAGTGGTCTTTTGCTGTCTTTCATCATTATGGTAGTTGTGTTTTAATGAAATAATTGCCAAAATTGCCTTCTGCTGTCCAAAATTAGGCACTTTGTCAATGTCAGACTTTTCTCAGGTGTTGACTGAACACCAAAATCAAATGATGTTTGCTTTGCTCTTTTTGGTGTTTACCCAGCTGCTTTTCAGATAACCAGATGTCACAGTATGTATTTCCAGCAGCAGTTTCAGCAGGCACTTAACTGTTAGTGCTCCAGTGAAGTAGTTGCTTAAGTCTTGGGCACTTAGTTGGATACCTCTCTAGCACTGATATCAAGAAGTGAGAACCTGGAGCTGTTCAGACACAACCCTTCCAGGACCCGGGGACTGGTGAAATAATTTGGATGCTGTGACTCCTTCTCCTTTAGGTGTCTCAATACAATATGTAAAGAGCAAAGCATTAAGTTGTGTGCAGCTCCCAGGTAGATGAAACATCAGACCAGGCTCAGGATATTGAGAGAAGCTTTTGTTCTCTTTGCAAGGAATGTGCACAAACACATAAGATTCAAAGCTGGTCTTTTATTCCTGCACAAAAGCACCTCCAGCATCAATCTGCTTTTTGAAAGACAAGAATTATGATGCAAGAATGAAGGGCTGCACTGTCCTGCATTCCCAGGCAGTAGCTGCTGTTTGTTGGCCATCTGTGGTACGCATCAGTGTGCGTAAACTGCTTTAATCTGCTGCTGCTGTAGCTTTAATCTGCTACTGTGGCTTCAACTGAAAGGAAGAAAGGATTGGAAAGGCACTGCCCTTGCTCTGTGGGACCTTGAGTCCTGCTTTTGGTTCTACCACAGGCTGCTTGTGATGTGAGACTGGACAGGACTCCTGGGTCAAAATGTGTGCCTTGTTGTGAGGGCTTTCACAGTCTGATAGCTAAAAACTAGTGAGCACTTCTGACTACGTGGACTGTGTGTGTTGCATTCCAGAAAAGGGTTGGTTAATAACTGTCTGTCTGGCAGTACCGAAAGGAGGTAAAGGTTGAAGGACACAGGGAAGAATCTAGTCAAGTTCTAAATGCCATGGGAGAAAGGTGTAATCACAGTGAGAGTTATGCTGGGTTCTAGGAATGCTGAGCTAGGAATGTGTCTGCTGCAGAGAGATGAGGTGGGCCAGATACAGAAATATCTGTATGGCAGAAAGTCTTCAGTTCTTTGAAGAAGCACATCTACAAGTTGTGCAGTGGTTACTGTGCATTTTGGTATCTGGACACAGACTCTTTGCAGCACATTCTTAAAGTCTCCAAAGAAATAAAATAGCCAACATTTGCTAAGAATTTTTCAGTAGGATTTTTTTTACAGAAACAAACTGTTTTGAAGTGACTGCTTTTAATTTATGAAATTCCCTCAATAGCCAAAGCAGCAAATGGCTTATCCTCCATCCCTCTGTTAAACAGACAGATCTTGGCAATTATTTGGCAAAGTGTTCCCAGCTGGAGCATTCGCACGCACGTTGATCTGAAGACAGTATTCTGATAGTCACTGTTTATTTTCCTTCCCTTCCTAGGTGGACATAGTACAGACCTGTATAATCGAAATGAAGAACAGACCCGGAAAGCCTCTCTTTCACGTGGAACACTACATTGAGGGCAAATACATCAAATACAACTCAAATTCTGGATTTGTGCGAGATGACAACATTCGTCTCACTCCGCAAGTGAGGCTTTGTGTAACACTTTCCATAGAGTCTGCTGGGAGCAGTTTGTTGGCTGTGTCCAGAAGTGTTACTGCCAAGAAAGGAAACTGCAGGCGTTACAGTACAATGCCAGATGAATTTCTCTTTTTGAAGTATCTCCTCCCCTTACCAGGGGCCTGCTTTTTCAGTGCTGAGCAGTTCTTTTTTGCTTTTCACTGTCTGGTGATTTTTAGTGGAGTTGAACATGTTTAATGCTCTTTGGGAGCCATAAGCCTTTTGCCTCTAAGAATTTTGATGCCTGTAATTTTAATTAATTACTGAGTTAAAGCAGTAAAACAATTCCTGAGTTAAGGCAGGCTTTAATTTGTAGTAAGTAGTAACTAAGTGGTCTGCTGTTACCTCAGAGTAATACACAAAAGGAGGTGGCAGATATCTAATTCAACCAAATAAACATCATCTGCATTTGTGCTTAAGAACTTTTTTATCAGCTGCAGTGTCTGAGTAGGTGAATCTGAGATTGCTTATAAAAACACAGCTATGGATTACAAGCGATTGGAATTCTTGTAGTTCACAGAGCTTTTAAAATACTTTACAAAGAATGCAAAGTGATTAGCATACCAAATGACTGTTTATGGAGAGTTGAGAGTTATGTTAGTTTCATTTTCCCCTGTTTTTAAGGTATTTATGCGATGCTCAGTGTAAGCAGGACATTAATGTTAGTGCTGAATTTTCACAGTTTGGGAACAAAGTGTTCTGTGAGATTTGCTGCAATGAAAGTGTTTGTTTATCACCACCAGTCACCTCCCCCAGGCCTGGCAGTACTTTTTTGGAGGCCTTCCCAGAAGATCCTAATGGCTCAGCTTTCTGCCAAAGGGCTTTTTATACCTCATTCTTGGAACACAGCGTTTAAAGCATACAAATGTACATTTTACTGTCTGATACATGAATATAGAGCCAGATCAGCTGTTCTGGAGGGCCTCCCAGTGGGCACAGTAGTGGAAGAATTCCAGGGGATGCTCATGTTTTCCTTTTGCATAATGTGGTGGGGCTTTTCCTGGTGGCAGAAGCAGTGTCCAGGAGGTGCAGAGTTTGGAGATCCACTGGCACTGCCAGAATGTTTATGCAGAGGTGATTGTGCACAGGCTTTGCTGGCTGCTGGTTATTCCCTCTGCCTAGCAGCTCTGAGGGACAAGACTGTATGGGAAACAGAAGTTCCTGTACTGGAAAGAGGAATAAAGCACGTTCTCTTGCTGCTCTTCACCCCTACCCCTGTTAGCCCGTCTTAGAGTTGGGCCAGGTTGGAGAAGCAGCGTCACAGAGGCAGCTGATACTTCTTTGCATTCAGCAGATGTCTGAAATTTTCATCCACATTTGAACCCTGGGAAGCAATTACTTCTTCCCCATCAAATAATGTTTAGTTAGCCACTGCATAGGATACTGGGTATTTTGATGCAGCCTGAGTAGCAGTAATTAGTAAAACAATTTATGAGGAACTGCTAGTGTTTCTGTTATGCCCTCCAGGTTAAGATCGGGGGCAAAATCCAGCTTGATTGACTTGCATGGTTTCACATGAGCCAGTCAGCCAGAATTTATGCCCAAGTGTAATCTGTGTGATGCCAGGCTTATGCAGGGACAAAACTCTGTAAGATCCTCTTAGTCTCTTACTGCTTTCATCATGACGCTCCTACCAGGTCTGTTTCACTAGTACAGTATCTGTAATTTCTGAGCAGTCACAGGAAGTGTTGCTGGTTTTGGTAGTTCAGGGCTGAGTTTTCTCAGACATCTGTGTTCTTTGCAGGCCTTCAGTCACTTCACATTTGAGCGCTCAGGACATCAACTCATTGTTGTCGATATCCAGGGAGTCGGAGATCTTTACACAGACCCTCAAATCCATACAGAGAGTGGTACAGATTTTGGAGATGGCAACCTAGGTAAAACCAATATCTTGTTTCTTGAGCTACTGGCTGCGTATTTTTTTTCTTCCTGCTGTCTGCTGAATAGCAGCTGCATGGCTGAGCAGGCAGGCACTTCTCTGAGGGCCTTGGAAACAGCTGGGGAACCTCTGTTGCTAGTAGATTTTATCACAGGCAGATTTAAAACAAGAGCTGATTGTGGCTTATGTCTGCTGGCCCACACCTAGGCCAAACGACTAATGAAATGAAGTAGTTTCCTACAACGTGAAAGCAGTAATTATGGCCTTTAATTTCCTTGCCACGTTGCAGAAGTGGGCACTGATGAATGTAGACAGGTAAGTCTTACGTGTTGTTAAAGCTCCATACATGAAGTTGTTCATGGAACACAGCAAGTCTTGGAAGCAGGATCAAGTTTAGGTGTTCTCTCCAATTTTCTTTATTTATGATATTCCATGCATACATAGTTGTGAAAGATTTTGCAGACTACTTTCACTCGTTTGTTTGTTTCCTTTCTGTCTTCTTTTGGCTTCTTAGAAAATGCTTTAGAACTTCTAGCTTTTAATAAGTAATCCATCATGTAAACTTCGAGCAAACCCTTCATAGTTTTTTTCAATGCCACAGGTGTTCGAGGTATGGCCTTATTCTTTCATTCCCATTCCTGTAACAAGATTTGCAAAAGCATGGGCCTTGCACCGTTTGACCTTTCATCCAACGAAAAAGATGCCTTGGATAATAGTAACAAATTGCTTGTAAGTGCTGATGGAAATAAATGAAAAGTGTAGCTAAGCAGTATAGCTGATTTATTCTAATTTTAAAAGCACTGTTAATAAAACTCAAATATATAATTTATGTGGCAGATAAAACCACGTTAATTACTAATGTTGCATTTTAAAATACAACAGTTTAAAATGTACTTATCTGTCCTTGGCTCTGAATTCATTCAGTAACTTTAATTGAGAGCATCACAAAGCAAACATATTTAGGACCAAATCTGAATGCTTAGAATGCTGAAATTGTTAGTAGCGTGGGGTTTTTTTTTTAGGTCACAAAAGTAATTTGGAAACTAAAAAAGAATAGAACTGCTCACCTTCAACTGATCTCAACTTCAGTTGATGTTTGCAAGACTGGAACTTGGGGATACGTTTTGAATGGAATTCATTCCTAACCAGAATTTCCTCTGGCTGTGATGATGCCAGCACTTGATATTTTTTGAGGTCTAGAACCGTGCAAAGGGGGTCGTTATGTACACATGCTTACTTTCCCCCTACTTCTGTGGAGGGCCCCTGTGGAGGAGCAGTCATGTTGACTTACTTGTCATATTCAGAACACAGTGAAGCATTACTCATGGGATTTTCTTGTTAATTTGCAAGGAATCAGCTCAGACAATTCTGCGTGGCACAGAGGAGAAATGTGGCAGCAGCAGGGTGAGAACCATCTCTGGTAGTCGGCCTCCCCTGCTCTCCCGCCTGTCTGAGAACTCTGGAGATGAAAGCATGAGTGATGTGGCATTTGACTCTCTGCCCTGCTCTCCTTCTTCTGCAACCCCCCACAGCCAAAAGATGGACATGCTTCGTGAGTGCTCTTCACACATAGCTTCCTTGAGGGTTCTTAAATATTGTGTCATTTGGTTGGTTTTAAATACACAGTATGTTGTATTTAGTCAAAGTACTTCTGTATGGACAATTAATGTTTTCATTTCTTAAGGATGCTTTTATGGAAAAAACTGATTGAAGTAAGATAACATCTAGAATTTTCTCCTTGGGCATGTTATCTTTAGATAAGATGCACTTTTTTTTGTCCTAGATTGGCCCGTGTTCAATGAAGTAGATAATTTGGTTCACAAAGACTGTGATCAGCTTGACAACCAAAGGGTGAGTGTCTTTTCAATGGAAAATGAGATTGCTGTTCCTTAATGAATATCTCTTCAGAGAACTATCAGAAGGCTTTGCTCAGTAAGAGCACATGAAGGCTCTCAGCCTGCTCTCAGTGCTGCAGGTCACATTACCTGTGTGAATTTGTTATTTCTTATACAGGAAGAATATTTTATTTTGAAATAGCATTATTTTCTTCTTCAGAAATTTATTTACATCTGGTATATTTTAACAGAGAATTAAAATATGTATCTGTTCCCCTGCCTGCATGTTGCGCCTGCCTTAGGCACTTTTGCCAGCAGCTGTGGTATGACATCTAAACAGAATCCCCATTGATCAGGTCTCTGCAAATATCCGTACTGAGGGATGTTAGTCTCCTCAGCTGAGATTCTCTGCAGTAAGTTTGTGAAAGGAATTTTCCTACACCAGAGCCACCATGCCAGGGCTGTCCATTAATTATTTTATCTTTCAACTGCCTAAGACTCAAAACTACATTAAATGAACTCATGGCTTGATCAAATACGCATCCTTGATTTTTATTTATTAATTTATCATGTATCTTGGAGGAAACATGGACTCGAGCTGTACCTTCTGAGTCTGTAAGTCTTGTTCTGTCTGTCAGAGGTCGCACAACATACCTCATTAAACTAAGCAGAAGTTTTCCTCTGAGGAAGTGTCAAGCTGAGGTCCTTACAAAGCATAATGCTAATTTATGCTTTCTTTTCATCTTTTGTAGGATTTTGAAAATGGTGGAGACAGTGGATATCCCAGTGAGAAGAGAAGCGAGCTAGAAGATCTGGATCATAGAGAGAAGGTAAGAACCTGACTGTTGGCTTAGCAGAATTAAGCCTTTTGTTCATTCTTTAAATGATTCTATACAAGAATCTCATTTTCATCCTGATGTAGACCTTGTGAACAGAGGGAACAGTTGGAAAGAAACTTCCTCATGCTGCAAAATTACTTACTCATCTTGGGAATATTCACAACACCTTTACACGATTTGTAACGAGGAGTTTAATTTCAAGCATCACAATTGGTTGCATATTGTTGGTTTATGGGTTGCTGGTTTGGGTTTTTTTTTTTTTTTTTTTTCAAGTGTAGTGTGTTGCACTTGAGAAACATTCCTTAATAGCAAGTCATATTGAATCTGTGAGTCTGACTGCTTTCAGACTTTACATCCTCTACTTTCTATTACTTGTTATGGCTTGAGGTATCACAGTATTTAATATTGTTCTCAGTAAATGATATGCGACAGTAGAATTCCTGTGGGATAGGTGGCTACTGCCTTAAAATAAAAACTTAAAAAGAAATGCTTTTTGACCTGAACATCTTAACTAGATACTTAATTTGCAGATAAGAATGAGAAATATTGCTTTAAAGGGTAGCACTCTTTTTGTCACCTTGGAAATCTCAGGGTAGTTCTCATAGAATATCTAGTTTACAGGATTGAAGCTTGGTGGTTCTATATTCCTTACCATCTCAGCATATTCCTTTTTATCTTATATTGCAGTATCACTGAGTGAAGAGAAGTCATTAGAAACTATTTTGATTGTTGTCCCTGTTTTCCTGGATAGGAGTAATATAAGAGAGTAACTTGCAGACATTGGTTGCTTTAAATTAAATGTTGCAAATCTTTATATGTTGCAAATCTTTATATTAACATAGGGCCATTCAAACAACAACCGAAGACATGAATCTGATGAAGACAGTTTGGGAAGCTCTGCAAGGGTAAACAAAGCAGAAATGTTCATAGACGCTGAGTTTACCACTCTGCTTATCCTTTGTTCCACTCATCTACCATTTAGCTTTACATCACTAAATCAGATACCAGTTTTCCTTCCTTTTCAGCTACAGAATTTCTGCTAATAATAACTTACCCCTCTGTGTTCTTCCTTTTTGTTTTTGTCTTTATTTTTCACTTACAGAAATACCATCATAAATAAATTGTCACCTCTTTAACTGGTACCTAATGTAAATTAGTGACTTCCTGGGTTTCTAACTTAAAAAAGAATCATAGTTCTATGGATTTTTTTCTGCCTAACTGGATATTTCATTTCTCCACTTTTATTTTCAAATTGTGTCATATACATAGCTGGGTAAGGTTTTTAAAGCCTGTGGCATTTTAAGTGCCTCTCACCACTGTACATGTAATTGAACTAGGAAAGAACAGACCTGTTTGTATGCTTGTATAAAATACAGCCCGTTGTAACTAGTTTCTAGAACAATAAGTTACTGGTCAGTGATACTATCAATAGTGGCTTTGATTTCTGAATGGCAATCAAAATGAATAGTATGGAAGTTTTAAGTTGGTGTTATGTTCCATATTTCAGATAAGTGTGGAGAAATGGAATCTCTACAATTCTTCCAGAGTCCACATCCACAGACCATCCTGCGTTGCTCAAGAAATTCAGAGGCTCAATGCACTAGAACTTGAAAAGAAAATTGGGAAGTCAATCCTTGGGAAGGTAGGATGGATTTGGTAACTCTTCTTTCCAGATGGAAGAAGTGTATTTTTATTTATGTATGGGTGCTTCCCCGCATGAGTTAATCATGCAGGTGAAAATAAATGGCAGGTGTGTAATGCTTTCTGTCACCTAATCATATTTCATGAGGGATGTCTAAGTTCCACGCATTCTGTCTGCCTTTGGACTTGCAGTAGTTGGGCTCCTTTGGGAAGGATTCTGCTGTTTGATTCTGCAGGAACGTACACAACTTTAAGTAGTCACCTCAGTGAGGTATTTCTTGTGCCTCAATGAAGTATGGGCAGTGGCTTCTGAAGAATCAGATCTATTCTTAAACCTGTGTATCTTTCCTGCATTCCTGTGCTCTAGGTTCATCTGGCCATGGTTCGTTACCATGAGGCTGGGCGTTTCTGTGAGAAGGACAAGGATTGGGATCGTGAGTCAGCCCTGTTCCACCTGGAGCACGCTGCAGACTGCGGGGAGCTGGAAGCCATTGTGGGGTTAGGACTCATGTGCTCTCAGCTGCCACATCACATTCTTTCCGAGGTCACTTTAGAGGTAAACAAGAAAAAGGAAAGAAAATTTCAAAATCCAAAATTGTGTTCACATGGAAAAATGAGAGTAGGAGGAAATGGAGACAAAGTGATGGTTAGGTGTTCTGTGGTATTTTCAGAGAAGATGAATGACTTTGTAGTTAAGGACTTGGACAAAGCACCAAAACCACTGCCTGTTGCTATTGCCAGCAAATTGTTGTGTATCTTTAGGAAGTTTTTAAAGTACTTTTATTATTCATCTACTCAGCAATTTGGAGCCTGTTTTTCAGACATATTCAACACTTGCAGCCATTGGTAACCTACACAAAAATAGGCATGTAGTGTTAGAGAAAGGAAAGAGTGGTTGTACTTAAAAACATTCATTTTAGAGGTTTTCTTTATTTTACTAGGACACAAAGGAGAACAGAAAAAAAGGATTTGATTACTTGCTGAGAGCAGCAGAAGCTGGAGACCGGCCTTCCATGATTCTGGTAGCAAGAGCATACGATACAGGTGTCAATCTTGGTTCAGACAGGTACTGTGCATGACTGAGTGATCTAACTTATAGTTAGTGTATTTGTGTATTATAATTGCTGCATGTCTTCTGTTCACATGAAGAGCTATTAAGCTATAAGACCAAAAGCATGCAACTAGTAATGAAAGCTCACTTAGGAGTTCATCAAGACACTTTAGCTTGATAACTTCTCCATGAAGTTCTCACCTGATAGAGTGATCTGGTGCTACAATGCAGAGTTACTGAGCCTGTGTGAAAACATTTGTGTTTTTGGAGACCATCAAGGCTCTGAAAGTCTAGTGCAAAATTGAATTCTGAATCCACAGTGCAAGGTTTATTTGTTTTGTAAGATAACCACCTTCTAAATGTTCTTTAACACCAGAGAACAGGATTGGAAGGAAGCTCTGTACTGGTACAACGCTGCCCTGAACATGACTGACTATGATGAGGGAGGTGAATATGATGGCACTCAGGATGAGCCCCGGTATCTGCTCCTGGCCAGGGAAGCAGAGATGCTAATGACAGGAGGGTTCCACCTGGACAAGGACCCACAGAGATCAGGTGAGTCCACGTTTTTTTCTATAAGCAGTAATTCTGCTTTTTTTTCACATACCTAAAAAATGCGTTTCGTTGCATTGTTCAGCTATAAAGCATTCAGAGGGTTGGTACCCTGAAGTTGTAATGACAGTGAGTGATGTAAGGCTGAAAATCCTGGGGGGAGGGGGTGGGAAGAGATTTTGCTGATGACAGGGGTAGTGGGTGGTGCCTGCTCCAGTCTTGTGGCACACCAAGAAGCTAACGTTATCCTTCACTCCCTGTGAGGCCACTGAACTGCAGGTTGCTGCCTGTATTTTAAGTTACACCCATAACTTCAGGTCCTATGCAGTGCTGTCTTAGTTATTATGTAAGCTGTATGTTAGGCATATAAATCTATACTAACTTGCAGGGTCCTGTGGGCTACTCCATTTTATGGTCACTGTAAATACATTGAAGAGCCATCAGCAGCCAGATGCGTAACTTTGAACTTAAAGAGTGAAAGCCAGATTCCCAGCTGATGTAACTCTGCTAACAGTAGCATAATACCCAGTTGCACCCATAGATCTGGCCTTGTATTTTGAACCCAGTTTCTCTTTTTGTCCTTTAACTGCTTCATGATAAAGAGAGATGCCTTTAGCTTGTCAATGTCACTGATACTGTTTCCTGCCTCAGGTGATCTCTACACAGAAGCAGCAGAAGCAGCAATGGAAGCAATGAAGGGCAGACTGGCAAATCAGTACTACCAAAAAGCAGAAGAGGCTTGGGCAATGATGGAAGAATGACACTGCAATTAAGCAGTTCTTGTAGATAAACTTTTTTAAAAGACTTACTATGTTTGCAGCTAAAAAGATATATTTTTGTGGCGTTAGCAGTTTTTTGTACTTTAGTTTTCTAACTTCTTTTGAAATACAAATGCAGCTGGGATGTAGGTTACTATAGCGTATTTCAGTCAAGCGTTTTAAAGCTGTAGAACAGACACTCTGGACCTTTAATATAGCTATATTTTTAACTGTTAGAACAGAGAAGGCTGATTTTTTAAATTTTTTTTAATTTTTTAATTTTTTTTTTAATGAAAAGTGAAGCCGAAGACTGCTTGGGTTTCACATGTCCTGCTTTATACGCAGCTACTGCTCAGTGTGTTTACATTTTTCTTCTCTCCCCACATACAAGATAAATAAATTTTCCTACATTCACAGCATTTCTTCATTGTTGGTGTATCACACCAAACTTGCATGTGAATGTAAGTGTGCAGTATAAGCACATAAAGCATGCAGCTCCCCCTAGTAACTAATCCCATTCTTTCAGTGGGTGCTGATTTATTCTCAAATTAATTTTAGATAGAGTCTTTAGAGTTTGGAGAGGGGGAGGAAAAAAGGCTTCAGAATGACAGTGAGGTTATTCAGAGTGGAATATGTGTTGTTGCCACCACTGCATGTTTTACCATCAGAAAAACATCAGTGATCCTAAGGAGGTGAGGCATCCAGCTACCTCTCTCATTCTCACACTTTGTACAGTATAACAACCTCACTGTGTAGAATTCTACTGATCTCATGTAGTAGTTTTTGCCCAGTGATTTACAGTAGAATGATCTGTACTATATGGGTAATATATAGTTAATTTTACAGAGACATCTCAGTTCTCAGCAAAGCGAGAACATCTCACTTCAAATGAGAATACCAGTACCAATACCCAGCATTTCCAGAGGGATATTTGTAAAACGTAGGTGATGTTGATTTACCTGTATCTATGTATAGAAAATAATTTACCTGGTTTAAACGGCTTTGTGTGTTTTATCTGCTCTCTTATGGTTCATATAGTAACTTCACATGATGCTTTGATAGATTTGAGCTGACTGATAAAGGATATATGCAAGTATATATGTAAATTTCCAGATTATGTTGGGTAATTTATTTAATACTACCATATGGTACAAAGCTTGTTTTCCATGGTATTAGCACTGGGGAGTTTTCACCTGACTTTTAGCATCGTCTCCTGTAGTTTCTAGAAGGCCTCTGTTCTTCAGAAGAGACCAAAAATGGTTTAATGGTTTTAAGTGTCAGTTTCAGAAAACTGCTGATTATAATGAGAAAACATTATAATCCCCAAACACTTGAATTCCTGAATCTTGTCTGCATAATCTTATGCCATACATGGTGGTTGCATTATCATGGCATGGAGATTTTTTTTTTTTCTTCCCCAAATCCAGTATTTTATTCTAAAAACCACAGTGCTTCACAGAGAACATAGCAGCTCTTGCTGTTTTTTATCTCAGCTAACAGTCATTCTGCAGGAGATTAACACAAAAGCTTTATGGCTTGTTGGTGCAGCAGTCTCCTGAGGGCATTTCCTGGGATGGAGAAGGGGCAGCCCTTAGTCATTGCTGAGTGTCTGTAATGCATAGCCAGCCCCACTTTAGCAAAGCTTTTGAGCTTTTATGGGTAGAACTGAACAGGCTGCATGTTGATGCAGTTGATTTCAGTGGAGCTGCTTGCGTGCATATACAAGGACTATTGTAAAATTTAGAAACTGTTCAGGAAAGAGAAATTCATTCTTCCTTTCCTTAATGAGTGTGCTTGTCACTGGGCCTCGAAGCTGCATTCCCCATTTACTCTTTCTGGCAAATGGACCTGAAATTGCTGTTAAACAGTGTTGAAACATGATGCTAATAACAACTGCAACCATCAGTGGATGCTTTAAGTGCCTATCCAAGTTGTGTTTTGAGTGTCTAAAGCCTCTTGGATGTGGCCTTTTTGCTTCTCCATATTGTTTAATTATTACTTGGTGATGAAAGGCGAATGTGCCATTCATCTCTGAAGGTGGTTGAATAGTGAGTGTTTTGTGCAAAACCTGCAGTGAAGGCGTTGTAACCAGTGGAAACAAAAGGTTTTGTTTTCCCTGTAAGGTGTTGGTGCCAAGAGTTTGAGGTTTTCCTTGAGAAGAAAGCATACGTGCAACAACCCCACCAACATGCAGGGAGGAGAGATTGAATGCAACCGTCCAAAATATGTAAGTATAGGACTAGAGTATAATTACTGACACTTTTTGATGTAGTTTAATTTGCTACATTCAGTAACTGCTGACAGTTCTCTGTAGATCTGATATGTAAATGTCCACATAGCTCAGTGAAAAAATACCGTGATCAACAATTTGTTTGCCAATACTTGTTAGCGCTGTAGACTACCTTCAGTCCTAAGGTGGTACCATGTTATTTAGCTGTACAATAAGGAGGGCTGACAGGAAGTTGAAAATTAAGATCATTTACAGAAATATGCACAATTTATTCTATGATGTTCTTTTGAAGATAAAGAAGACTGTATTGACAGACTTTCTGAATGATACTGCTCCATGCTGTATTTTTAATCTATTCACAATGAATAAATAAAAATCTGTATTTTTTAAAAATGCCACAATAAATCTTGAGGCCTGGTGCAATTTATCTGGGCGCAGTGCTTCTGAATGTCAGTGGAAGCACAGCTTGGGTAAGGGCAACACGATGGAATCCCTTCTTTGTACAGAAGCCATGCAAATACCAGTTTCTGCATCATTCCCCGCCATCTTGCGTCATCTGGTTTCGTTCTGACTGGTCACTGAAGTTGTTCTTTTGTCAGTTTTCACAGTAGAGTTCTTAAAATGTTCCAAAGTTCAGTTTTACTCTTAGAAGCTTCCAGAAATCGTGTTGTTTTTTCCTGTTCAATCCCTGCTTTCTTGCACTCCCAACAGTTGGAAGTAGCTGGGAGGAAACTACTGGACGTGTGACAAGGAAATCTGTTTTCTTCAGGAAAGGCGGAAGGGTGATGATGATGATAAGAAGTAAGCTCTGAACTGCCCCCTTGTTACAGACCCATCTTTATTGCTCAATGTTGAGAAAAGAATGGAAATATTTGGCCTGGATGATATGAGGAGAAAGAGTTTTTTGTGACAGGTGCTCATGATGCACTGTCATCCTCAGTATGGCTTGTTCCCTGTTCCCTTCAAGAATAAACTCATAGCCGCCCTTTTAAACTGGAGCCTTTGTATTGCTTTTGCCTTTTTGCTTTTTTGCCCTTGTATTGTTTAATGGGAAAGGTTTAAACGATGTGGCTATAATAGGTTACACAATATGAAATTGTTCTCTAGTATAACTTGAAAAAGCAGAACAACCAAGCCCTGGGAGGCCTCTTCATTCTTACTGAGATGGAAAATGGTGAAGTTTAGCCCAAAGTCTGGTGCTGGGTAATGAGCAGGTGGTGGAAAGCACAACAGTTAGAGCTCATGGAGACAGCCAGCACACTGTAAGAATTCTGTCTGTAACCAGCTGTGGGACTGACATGAACCTCACTCTTCTCCCTGCAGACCTGCATTCCCTTCTGAGAGCAGCAGGACAGCCAAGACACGCGTAGTGTAGGTGAGCTGAGCTGAACCGGGACTTCTCGCCCGTGTTGTAAAAAGGAGGATTGGGCTCCAGCCCTTGCCTGCATTGCAGCGGTGTGTCGGGCTGGGTGCAGGGTAGGCACAGAGATCCACCCTTGGAGAACAGAACACTGTGGGGCCAGGCCCTCGGGCTGGGCATCATTAATACGAGGGGTGGGCCCTTGCCTGCCTTGCCCAGCTCCTGTGTCAATATAATGCAAAGCAGTAAAATGACGCAGGTAGCTTGAGTTTTCCAGAAGGTTCACCTTTAATTTGGAAAAAGTCTCATCGTTATCACCTTACAGCGGTGGCGAAGATCCCACGCACACCTCCATGCATGCGTTCTGCACAGGGGAGGGACCTCGGGGCGGTGCTGAGCAACTTTCAGTCCTCGCACTGCCGTAAGGGAGCGAGAAGAAAAACAGCCCAATTAACATGAAGTCTGTTTTCTGACTCTTCAAAACTGAAGTTTTGCAACAAAGAACTGAAATGCGTGTCACGCTTTGTCGGACTTGCAGCCCCGGCTCCCGCAGGCGTCCACGTGGCAGCTCAGCTGTCGCGGTGCCGCCTCGGCTGCGGGGGGGTCGGACGGACCTGGTGCCAGTGCGGAGTCATGCGGAGTCAAATCGGGCACCGAAGGAAGTGTTGATACGACGGTAGCGTGGCCGAGCGGTCTAAGGCGCTGGATTAAGGCTCCAGTCTCTTCGGGGGCGTGGGTTCGAATCCCACCGCTGCCAACAGCTCTTTTTCTCTTTTGCAACCGCCGTTGCCGCAGCGCCCCCTGGCGGCCACGCCACTCCATGCCGGTAGAGCATTGTGGGTAGGAGGAGGGCCGCGGCCCCACGTGCCGGCCGCAGTGACACCAACATGGCCGCCGCCTGAGCGCCGCCCGCCGCGCCGCGCACCGCCATCGGGGACCGGCGGCCCCGCCGTCCGCGCGGCGCCTCCGCCAGGTGAGCGGCTGCGGTGCCCTTACTGCTGCTTTCGGGGCCGTGCGGGAGCGGGGTACGGCAAGGGGCGGAGGGGGCACGGCCCAGGCTGCGGGGCTCTGTCCGCATCGTGGGGCGGTGGGAACGGGCGTGGGGCGCCGACAGGAGCCGGCGGGCGGGCTTTGAGGGAGCGGACGGGGGTCCGGCCCGAGCCCGGCGTCTCGGCTCCTCTCGGCGTCGGGCCGGGGTTGCCCGGCACGGCTCTCCCGGCACGGGAGGCCCCCGGTGCTCCCGCCTGGCGGAGTTCCCTCACGGACGGCCCGGCCCGTGCCCCGTGTGAGGTACCGAAGGGCGGCCGCGCGTGGCGCCTCGTCTCCTCAGCACCGGCGGGAGCTGCGGCGGCGCCGCCTCACGGTGCGCGGGGACCTCCGGATGACTGTGCAAAGCTCCGGCGAGGCACGGCGCGGAATTGGGTCAGCACCGCCGTCATCGCGGACGTGTGGAAGGTGCCTGCGTGCTTTTTGCAGCTCCGTTTTGCAGAATGCCGCTGCGCTGCCTGGGAGGGGTCGGGCCGGAGGGCATCGGGGGCGTCGGGTCGGGGAGCGGGGCTGCTGGCTGCCCGCCCGCACCGCGGGGACCCGGCACGTCCTGCGTGAGAAGTGCCGGTGTTGGCGGTTGGGGTCGTAGGGCTGGCCGCCCTAGAGACTCAACCCGAGAGGGAAAGAGTTCTGTTACTCCGTGGCGGTTTTATGCTTTTTTGGCCACAGTGTTTTTTCTCATTGCAGTGGGAGGGTGGTTACGGCAGCCCAGCCTTGGTGGTGCTGAGAAGATTTGTATCTCCTGCCCTCGTGTGCTCCAAGGTTTAATGACTCACACAGACAACTTGCACTGATGCTGACATGCACAGGAAAGTCCCTTTATAAAGAAAGCGATCTTGCCAAAAGAAAACGTGGAACAAGTGCTCTTGTGGCTGTGCTTGCTACCTCCTAGAGCTTAATTCCATTCTTTTATTCCTGGGGGGTTCATTTTGTATTTGCCATGCATACATGCAAACTGCAGATGCAGAATTGTGCCTGTGTGTCTTCAGTGGAAGCTTTGTCCTGATCAGAGGATTCCTCACATGAATGTTGCGCACTGTTCTGGCACACACTGCTTCCTGTGGTAGGTCTGTCACTCTGGTACTCCAGTGAAAGCACCTGCAGTCATTCTTTATCCTTAAATGGTGAAAAACAATTTTAATCTTTGTGATCTGATATTTTCTGTAAGTACTGAACTGGATTCCCAAGATCTCATGTAAAATGGAAAGAACAGCATTGGATGAAGGACCAGAAACCAGGTCTTTCAGGTTAGGTTTCTCTTTCTCACCTTGGCCCAGGAAATCTGAATTTCTGTTTGGGAAAGTGTTGTCAGGCAGGAGCAGATTCCCCATCCCCACAAAGGGCAAGGACAGAGGACTCAGACCTGCAGCTCCCACCTCTGGGTCTGCCGTGTGCACACCTGCTGAGTGCGCTCCCAGTGCCTGCTCTGTTCTGAGTGAAGGCCCCATTTTGTGCCAAGCTGTCTGCATGCTGTACTGTACTGAGCACCTGGGTTGTGCAGAGCTGGAGCTGACACATCTCACTGCTTGAAAAGAGCGCGGCCATGGGTGTGCTTCTGGGAACTGCAGAGTGCCCAGTGGTTGTCGAGCTCAGTGACACATTTCTTGGATAACTGTGTGCTGATGATTTGAGAAAACCATGTGTGTGTTGAAATATACTGGAATGGTTAAGAGGTGAATTGTGTACTTGAAAAAAAGTCAGCACAGTTGGGGATGTAGCATGGATGCTTCTGCCTCTCACAGACCTCTGACACTGGCTCCTTTCTGTAGGAAGCCCAGCAAAGAGGGGAGTGTGAGTCACTGGTGAGAGTAAGATCTGTTGAGGCAAGTTCTGTTTTCTCATTGTTTTGAAGGGTCTGAGGGAAACAGAGGAGTGTCTTAGAGCTGCCATCCTGTGTGAGCAGTAGGTCTGTGCTCAGCCGTGCGCTGTAGGCAGGGTCAGCACAGTGCAAGTGTAAATGCTGTCTGGTCCTGAGCACAGAGCTGACACAGGCTTTTTGCTTCTCCTAGCTCTTAAACCAGAAGCTTTCTCCATTTCTACTTTCAAGGAAATTTCTCTGGGAAGGGAAGAAGGCTGGTGAGCTGCATGGCACCATCCTTAGAGACTGTGACAAGTGCTGTGGTTATTTCAGAGCTGGGGCATGCTGTCTGCAAACCAGCTGCTGCTGGGGTGCAGTAGTCACACAGGTATAAAGCGTGTGCTGCACACAAGTTCTGAAGGCCTGTCCTTCCCTCTGCAGAGCTCTGCTGTAGTGCTCTCTCTCTCAATAAAGTTATGGGAACTTAATTACCTTTGAGACTCTTGTTTGTTTTTGGAGTTGGTGGCAGCTGGTAGAGGTGGTGAGGTGTGAGGGGCCGTGTTGTGCCAACACGAGCACTCCTTCACAGCACACACTGAGTGCATTGCCTCTGAAAAGAAAGCAGTGTACTTGAACAAATAGTCTGGGCTCCATGTGGTACGTGGCACAGATGCAGTGACTCATATGACATATCTGTTTTCTTTCAGATTGTGCCAAGGAATAAGCCAGCTTTTTGTATCCTAGCATGGCAAATGAAGAAGATGATCCAATTATACAAGAGGTAAAAGTGCTTTGTGGCAGCTGTGGTTCTATGTGCAGATTTTTTTGTGCTATTCAACTTCTGTTCTATTGTTCTCATTATAATTTTGATGAATTCATATCATGCTATACATGAAGCTGAAATGGTTTATACCTTCTGCTAAAAACAAACAGTTCTACTCCAGTTCTGGACTTCCTTAAGGATCTGTTCCATCCCAAGCAGTAGCCCAGTGTCCCGTTCACTTTGTGTATGAATTCAAGCACCAGAGGTGTGAGCAAGGGCAAGCTTGTGGGGTTTGACGGAAGTGTCTCAGAAGGTACCTAAGATGGAAATGTCTGTGTGTGATCATCGTGACACATCTGTGGATTTTAGGAGTTGGTGGCAAAGTGCTTGTATTAAATCCTATGTGGCATGTGGGTGTGTTTTGTCTAGCTTAGAAAGTTTTCATGGCAAAAAAGCAGCGAGGAAGTTAACTTTGAGTCTTGCTGCCAAAGAGAGAACACCCTCTTCTTTTCAGATTGTGGTGATAGATACACTTCAGCCACACAGACAAAAAAATTTCTTGTTTCATTTCAGAGACAAAAATATGCAGCACTGCCTCCTGCCTCATCATAGTTGTGCTGTTTTTTCTTCCCTAAGAGGCCAGCTGCTATATTACAGGTCAAAATCAGCAGATGAGACCTTTATCAAGAGTCATGAGTGAGCCTCGTATGCAATTCATAATTAGAAGCAAAAATTGACAGTATTTGAGCTCTAGGGATTGTACCTACGTCTGAGGATCCATCCAACATAGCTGTTAACTGATGCAAGTTGTTTGTGTTGCTTTTTAGATCGATGTGTTCCTGGCCAGAAGTCTGCTGGAGAAGTTGTATCTGTTTCAGGTATTCCAGTTAGCTGTTATTTAGTGAAAATTTGTTTAAAATAAATTGATTGAAGGAGCAATAGCTTTATTTACCTCTTACAGGGAACAGGCAAACCTGCATGCATCTCAGTTGAAACACCTGGTATTAAGCTGTTTGTAAGAGAGGGGTGATTGTTTATGGCATTGACTTGTCATTAAATCACTGCCTATAGCCACACTCAGGGAATTATTTTAGTAGGCAATATCCTTATTGTGGTTTGGATAAATCTGCAGTCTCTTGGCCATTTTCTGCCAATGGCCAAGTTGATTTTTGTAACTTTACTGAACAAATGTTTATTTAGGACCCGTCCTGTCTAAGACAATGCCATCAGTGTTCATAACCAGTGTGAGTCATCAGAAGAGACCCCTTATGCTGTGGAGATAAAACTGATGAGTGATTAAAGGTGGAAATATGCTTGAAATTTGAAGATCTGTTTCCCATTCTGTTCACTGAATTTCTCTCATCGTTTTATCTTTGTGGTTCACTTTCCCTATCTGCAGAGTGGGAGCTCTTTTGAGGCTGATGGATGAGATATTCATTATAAGCCAGTGGTGCTAACTGGCATAGCCTCCTGTCCAGGTCTTCTGCCCAGCATGTGCAGCTTCATGATGGGTTGCTCTGCATGTTCTGGACAAATGGCAGCTCTGAGCAGGCTGCTGCCTTGCTGGAAGACTTCATCTGGGCACCACACTGTGGTCTTAGCATCCCCAAATAGTTCAGAACAGAGGATCAGGTGACTAAATGTGACCATATGTGGACCAGATCGTGTAGGCTGACACTGCTGGTGAAAACTCACATGTATTTTACTTCTAGATAAATAAATCTCCAGAGAGGTGATATCAGTTAATGGGTTTTTGTGGCTTCTATCACATCCTTTTTCAACTGGATTAATATGTTGTAGGGTTTTCTTGTCTTATAGCACAGTGATGTGTTGGAGGCAGGAAATGGAAAAGAGTGAAGTGACAGGAATGGAGGGCGGAGGGGAAGGCTTTCTAACCAAACTCTGAGGTCTGATGACTCAAGATTAAAAAAGTCGTTTACTGAGATCTTGTGACCATCTGGAAAGTGGCTTTACATGTGAAGGGGCAGGCAGGGTTTAATTAATTTCTGTGGAATTCTGTTGTCTTTAAATTAAGAATTTTTATGAAATCAATGTGTTTTCCAGTATCCAATTCGTCCAGCTTCCATGACATATGATGATGTTACACATTTATCAGCGAAGATAAAACCAAAGCAGCAAAAGGTTGGTCATCATTTGAGTCCAGTCTCTGAAAGTTGTTTTAATGCTGTCTGCAATGTGCTTCAGATCATTACACTGTGCTGCTAAGCTAAGTGTGCAGCTTGTGGGACCAGATCTCTGTGCTTGGGCTTAAAAGAATGGTTTATTAAGAGAGGAGTTAAAGTCACAATGGAAAAAAACAATATAAAAACAGAATCATTCAGGGAAGTCTGGCTACTATTATTCATTCTGTACAAGATTGGTTTAAAAGATTTTCACAATATTTAGAAGAGGGTTGAGGTTTGAAGGCATGCTTTGTCTTTTAGAGTCATTGTGTGTCTTGATTCTTCTCTGGCCTGTCTATGAACCACCAGCAGTCCTCTTTGAGAATCAGTGGGGTGGTGAAAGTATAACCAAAGCCAGAATGGTCACACTTGCCTGCAGACGTATTCCAAACCTGTAGCTCTGATTTAAAAATGTCTCATGTTAAAAAATAAAAAAGAACACAAATAGGTCTGTGATAGCAGGATATTTTTCTGGGAAATAGTTGAGAGTGCTTACGCGAAGTTTGAAGTTAGTGTGTATTATGTTAAGGATTTTTTAAATTAAAATTAGCAAACATTTACGTTTTTAGGCCCAGTGCAGACATAAATCTACCATCACTACCAGGGACTGGTCACCAGTTCAGTTTACAAATAACATGGAGGGGAAAAAAGCGAGGTGATGGCTGTAATTTATAAGTTCAGTTGGTGATTCATTTGGAGTTCTGCCATTGTAATTATTTGTCTTCACATTTTTTAGGTTGAACTGGAAATGGCCATTGACACTTTGAATCCAAACTACTGTCGCAGCAAAGGAGAACAGATTGCTCTCAATGTAGATGGCACTTGTACAGATGAAACAAGTACCTATTCCTCGTAGGTGTCCTTTTGCTTTCCTTCATTTCTGTCGTAGGCAGAGGTATGTATGTGTATGTGCATTAGGCTCATGTCCATCCACACATCTCGTAAATACCTCCAGGAATGAGGACTCCACCATTTCCTTCTGCAGCCCATTCCAATGCTTTGCAACCCTCTCTATGAAAGCAGTCTTCCTGATATCCAATCTAAACCTCCCTGGCACAACTTGTTTTGTTGTGACCTGTCACCTGAGAAAAGGCACCAACACCTCCTCGCTGCAGCCTCCTTTCAGGCAGTTGTAGAGAGTGATGATGTCTCTCCTTAGCCTTCTTTTCTCCAGACTAAACAACCCCAATTCCCTCAGTCATTTCTCCTAATGTTGTTCTGTAGTCCCCAGCTTTATTGCTCTTCTCTGCACGTGCTCAGTCAAGTCAGTATCCTTCCTGTAATGAGGGTCTGAAACTGATTGCAGTGCTCAAGGTGTGGCCTCACCAGCACTGCATGCAAAGGATCAATCACTTTCCAGTCCTGCTGGCCACAGTATTTCTGATGCAGACTAGGGTGCCACTGGCCTTCTTGGCCTCGTTAGCTGGCTGCTGACCAGCACAGCACACTCAGGTTCTCTCCTGGACAAATTTCCAGCCACTCTGCCCCAAGGCTGTGCTGCTGCATAGGGTTGTTAATGACCCAGCACTTACCCTTAGTTGATGTCATGTAACTGGGATTGGCCGGTTGATCTAATCTAGGTCCATCTGCAGAGCCTTCCTGACCTCAAGCAGATCAACAGTCTTGCCTTACTTGATGTTGTCTGCAAACTTAGTGGAGTGCACTGGGTGCCCTCATGCAGGTTAACGATTAAAATGTTCAACAAAACTGGCTTTTGTATATAAAGTGTTTGCTGATAGACTATTTTGGGAATTGGTAATTTCAGGCCTTTTAACATCTATGTGCCACATTGCCTGTAGAATATAATCTTACAGCATTCATCTGTTTGCAGGAAGCTGATGGACAAACAAACTTTCTGCTCTTCACAAGCTGCAAGTAATGTTTCCCGCTATGCAGCTGCTGTTTATAGAAAAGGTGACTTTGTTTTGTTACCCCTCGCATCAGTGAAACATGTGAATTTCTGGGTTAAATAAGAGCTGTTTGTTCTATGTTTCCACTAGCATAGGCTCATATTTAATTGAAGCTTTTCTAAATAAAGCGAAAGCTTTCCTTATGAGTGTGTCCCTGGAGTCCTTGAGGAGCTCCAGCAAAGTTCTAAATAATACAGCAGGGCTCAGCCTCCAAGATCTGAACAGTCCACGATGGCCTGAAACACACATTTACAGTAAAAAATTATTTTTCTTACATTGTATTATTATCTCTGTATGATATATACAGATATATACAGATATATACCTCAGCATGGCTGTTTTATTTGCCTGTTCAACACTTCCTGCCCTTCTTTTGTCACTGCAGAGTTTTGATGAGAGGATCGTTGTAGATTGCCTACAGAGATGTCTGTTTCACTAGTAGTCTCCTGACACATAGGTCAGATCTGAGCCAAAATGGGGCTTTCTGTAAGATCTGGCTCCAGCATTAACCAGGAAGGTAGCAGGAGAAGATCTTGATTTTTTCATACTCCTTTGATGTTCTGTGCACTGGGTGAATCACTTAAACCCTTTTTACTGTATTAAATATTTGTGTTCTCTGGAAGCTGTGCTGTTGCAGAGGTAGCAAGGTGATGCAAGTACTGTCTCTGTGCATTAGAAAACAGTACTTTTAACCAATATCAATTCTCTTTTTCAGGTGAACTTCACCTGACTCCGCTGCACGGAATTCTTCAGCTGAGGCCAAGTTTCACCTACTTGGACAAAGCTGATGCAAAACACCGCGAAAGAGAAGCTGCTAATGAAGGTAAGTGCTGCATGAGTTATGTTTCCTTTTGAGAGATAGGATACAGGTTCTCTGTCTAATTTTATTCAAAGGTGTTTAATATAACAATGAACTGATTATAAAACCATTTCTCAGCCAGTTCTTTTCTCTGATCATACCTTCAGTGCAGTTGCATCAAGATTTTTGTGGGAAGGTGTGGAGGACTGGCAGAGAAAGAGGAGACAGTGGGTGGTGTCAAGGGGCAGCAATAGGAAGTGCCACCACAGCCACTGAAAAGCAGCAGTGCCAAATTCATGGGGGCAGTTTCTCCTATTACATGAGTGGTGTGGCACTGTCATATGCTGCATAGTTTAGCAAGCTGTAGTTCCTATTTCTGCCTTCTTCCAGAGAAAGCCTCCAGGCAGGTACTTGTTGGCTCTGGTTGTTTTATTGTAGTGGTGGTTTTATCCTGTTGGCTTTTTTTGGCAGGTGGTGATTCATCCCAGGATGAAGCTGAAGATGACGTTAAGCAAATTACTGTATGTCCAGATTTCCTTTTTGTGGTAGTTCAGGCAACAGTTTACGAGAAAGCATGTCAATTCATACCCAAATAATTGGACAGGAAACCTCATCTGGTTCTGGTGACCCTGGGCTTGGAAGGGGAAAGGCAGTTGTTGCACAAGAGTAAAGATGGCAACAAGGGTTGATTAATTTGAGCTAGGACCCCTAGCTTCTGTTCTCATTCTGCCAAATAGGTAATGGAGGTGTTTTGTTTCAAGTGTTTGGAGCTGTATTTAATGATGCCGAAACTTCTAGGTACGGTTTTCCCGCCCTGAGACTGAGCAAGCTCGTCAAAGACGTGTTCAGTCTTACGAATTCCTGCAGAAGAGACAAGCAGAAGAGCACTGGGTTCATCTCCATTATTATGGCTTGAAGGTAAGTGTGGGACCTGATGGCTCAGCCAAATTAAATCTGGATATGTGGGAATCGAGAAGTCATCAGAAGACAGTGAAGAAAAGTTGATCTGTAGGCTTGAAATGACCCCACAGTGCTTTGTGCCTCTGCCACCAGATAGTGCTGTGGGATCTCCACACTGGAGAAGCTTTAAAACTGAAAATTGGACAAATTTAAGGCAGGGGGTGTTTAAGTCCAATAGTCACTCAGGTCTTAGCTTTGTAAAACGGTCAGGGAAGCCAGTCACTTAAGTGTCCTGACACAGCTTTCTCTGACACAGCATGCATGTCAGGAGATTTTTGAAGTACATCAACTGAAATGTTTCCACATCATATCTGCATCATTCAAGAAGGCTTAAAGTACAGCATCAGTGAGATGGAATGCACAGCACAGTGAGGATGGAGCAGTCTCAGTTCAGAATAAGGAGTCTATCTGAAATGTTGTGTTCAGAATGCGTCAGTGATTTGTGCTTTTCTCCATATCTCCAGGACAGCCGTTCAGAACATGAGCGCCAGTATTTATTCAGCCAAGGTCACGGCCTTGCTGAGAATACAGAATTAATAAAATCTCCCAGGTAAAGGTTTGATGGTTCTGTAGGGAAGGTACAGTAATTTCTTGGGATAGTTTTCAGAGTAATAAACAAATTTGTTCTTTTAAAATCATACCTTTGATACTGATATCCATGGTAGAAGTGGAATTGTTTAAAAAATAAAGGCAAACTGGTCTTCAACTTCAGTTGCTTTCACTTGAGATTGTAGCCTTGTCTGTGTTATCACAGCCCAGCTTTATTGAGACTGCAGATATTGTAAAGGAGAAGTAAAACAAAAGCTCCTTCTGATTAAAATAAATGAAAACTCTAAAGCCAATGACTTCCATTGTTAGAAACTCTTAGAAAACTTTATTTTGGTGATTTTTAGGAGACACCTGATACTACTTGGAACATGTTTGGTTTTGTTTCTTGCTGACTGCAGCTATGTATAGGAATCTTCTGTGGTGCAGACAGTAATAACGTTTTGCTGTAAACTGATAGACCATGGCCTGAGTAATAGGAAGGTGGTGGACTGCCTCTCTCCTTAATGGTGTGGGTGTGTTTTTTGTAGCGTTTAACATCTCAGTGGAGCAGTGCCAGGTGTGATGAGAAGTCTTTTGGATTTGATTCTTTCAGACACTGGCAGTTACGTTGGCAGGTGTAACTGCAGGACTTCGTGTGGCCCCACTTGACTCTGTGTCAAAGCACCACGTTTAATGTTTGCACTCTTGCAGTTCCTCTATTTGGACACAGAAGAGTACAGAAGAGCAAGGATTCTGACTCCCATCTGTTTCATGCTTTTTCTTTGAATGGATGAATGTCAGTAGCTTTTACTAGCACTGAATTTGTGGAGGAAGATGAGAAAAGAAAGGGGAGGGACTCTCTTTTCAAGCTGGTGTTTGTTTTGTAGATTCTAATAAGTAGGATTGCTTTAAGCAAAAAAATAACTGTACTTAAACTTGGGAAATCTCAAGACAAACATTATGAAATGTGTTTTCTTTTCTTGTAGTGAATATTTAATGATGCTGATGCCTCCAAGCGTAGAGGAAGAGAAGTAAGTGTACAGAATGTTCAACACGGATGTTGTGTGGATGCTCTCTCATAAGCTGCAACTCACAAAGCTGTTGTTTATTTGCAGTAGCAAACCAGTGGCTCCAAGCAATGTGCTTTCTATGGCCCAGCTGAGAACTTTACCCCTTGCTGATCAGATCAAGATCCTGATGAAGAACGGTTTGTAATCCATTTGCACTTTACTTGTGACTTCTAATTGTCTCAGATAAAATATCTTTCCTAGCAGTACCAGTTCTGTCACTCTTCCAGACAGTGGCTGGATCTCTGATTCTGTGGAGCAGTTAAGAGCTGAGTATTTGCTTGAGAAGGCTGAGTGGTCCTTGGGAAAGAGAAGAGCAGTAGGTGGAACTGACAGCTGCTCTGTGTGTTTGCAGTGCTGTCACTCTTAGAATATTTTCTGATCTGACGATAACTTTCAGAATGCATTTATTTCTGCATTATCTCCTGGCATGTGAAATCTGAGTATGGCTTAAAAATGGAAAGTTAATGCAACAGGCTGCACTTTGGCATTTTTTTCCCTTCAAAGTTTTCAGTAATATGCTTCTTGAGTGTTACATAAGTTTTATTCTCTCTCTTCAGTTACTCTCTAATGAGAGCAAATCCGAGAAACTTAGGAGCTGTCTTGTCAGCTGTCTCTGTTTCCAAATATTGCCAAAGGATTAGATTTTTTTTTAATCCATGAATTAATTTAGGGCCAGTTAAGCTAATTAACGTTGTTGCAACATGAATGTGTATTTTTTGAACAGATTCTGACTATGAGTAGTAAAATTTAGGCTTTGAATTTTTATTTTCCCCAATTTTGACATAAACATAAATCGCAATATCCTAGAATTGAAACTCCGTTTTTATTTTGCATACTGAGAAAGCCCTTCATCTAATGCCTCTTTTGCCTTTCAGTGAAGGTGATGCCATTTGCAAACCTGATGAGTTTGCTGGGCTCTGGGACAGATTCTACAGCAGTTCTCCGCTGCATACAGCAGGTGGCGATGCTGGTCCAGGGAAACTGGGTGGTGAAGAGGTAGGTATGCCTCGTCTTTGTTGCTGAGATGTGGTTTTCTGCTGTAAGAAGAGAATTAGAACAATGGATTTTATGTAGTCATCTTCACTGTGTATCTTTGTTCTCAATTGCAGTGCTGTGAGATAATCAATTCAACATTCTGTGTTTTGTTCTGCAATAGGATAATAAAAATTCAAACAGATGATGGCAGATGCCAGCATAGTTGTACCCAGCCCAACTAGAATTGTGGTGGAGCTGTGATGTAATCTGTATTTGCATTTGAGCTGTCAGATATTTGTTGTCTTCACTCGTGTTCTTTTGTGTGGGGACACTCCTAAATCCTTTCAGAGATTAATGTCAAATATAAATGCATACAATGAAACCATCCCATCCGTTAGTGTTTCTTAGCTAAATTCAGTCAGAGAAAGACCTTTGTGCAGTCGCTTTGCTGTTCATCAGTGGATGCTGCTCTTGTCAGCTGAAAGCATTGCCTGCCTTCTAGAAGCTAGCTTTACCTGTCATAAAATGGCACTACCTGTGGTGTACACTGTAGCACATGAAATGGATGCTGTGTTGTTCTCCTGTTTATTAGAACAAGGCATCTCACTGGGAGTAAGTCTGAAGAGCAGTGTGATTTTTTTTTTTATTTTTTTTTTCTTTTCAGCTGGGTGGAGCATTGCATGCAGAGAATTACAGTGTGTGGAGTAGTTTTCTGCACTAAGATGTGTGGCACCAGTTACCAGCTTGTCTGTTAGCAGGATTCTTCAGCTATTGTGATACAGGCCTGTGCTAGCTGTGTGAGCTGCTTCTGTCCTTGCTGTCCCTCCAGTCATTCCAGAAGGCAGCTGGGTGCAAATTAAAAGTGTTATAGCAGTCGGGGTTTTTATGTTGTATGTGTTTCTTTGCTGTTTGTCTGAAGACTCTGTGTGCATCTGTAGATGTAGCCTGTTAGGGATAGTTGTGCACAGAGCCGTGTCTGCACACATCAGAGCTTTAAGTAAGGAGGCTGAGGAGATCAGGATTGTTAGCCTGGGTTGCCCCAAGGCTTTGGAGTCTGTAGAAATGAATGTCATCTAGTTGATCTTGCAAGCAGACTAGGACACCAGGGTGGTGTTAGTCCTGGATCTGATTGGTTTGAGCATGAAAGCTCATAGCATTGTTCTCTTTAATCTTTGATTGCTGAGAAGGAATTAAAGCACACCGAAAACTCATTCCTATAGATCAGCATTTTGGCTAAATGCTACCTTCAAGGCTTAGGTTAGTCTTAGCACTTCTTAGGATCATGTTGGTCTTGTTTACACTCATGCAAGGAAGGAAAGGCTTTGCAAGAACAAAGCAGAGCGTGTACCTGCGTTGCACACATTTACCAGTCACAAGGCTGGGCTTTGCTGGTGTAAGCACTTCTTGTACTAATGTAATTGAAGTGGAGTAATTACATTAATATTAGTTCCTTTAATGAAAGCGATGCTTTGGATAAAGGTGTAAATTAACTGCAGAGCTGGGAGCACGTTTATTATGTTAATTTTCACCAATGCTGTATTTTGGAGAACCAAGTAGCTAATCCTTCTTCCTTTTTAATTAACAGCGATGTGCTCTACCCTAAAGACACTTCCAGTCCACATAGTGGAGTCCCTGCAGAAGTGCTTTGTAGAGGGAGAGACTTTGTTGTAAGTACAAAAGAGTTTGTTGTTTCTAAAGGAAAATATTGTTGAAGTTTGTCTGAGAGCCATGGCATTGGTTTGCACTTGGTTTCACATCCACCACTACTGCAATAAGATGTTTGCTCCAGAGAAATTATTTGCACTGTAACCCTGGTGGTGGTGTTAAAAGTCTGGCATGGGAGTGTTTGTGTGGACTGATATTGTGGCTGTCTGGTAAGTTCAGATTGCTGGTCATTAACAGTAGGTGGTATTCATCTCTTTGTAATAGAACTTGTAGGGCTGCTATCACATAACCTGCATGGTGCAGGGCTGGCAGCGAAGCCAGGACTGGATAATGAAGTGCTTGTTTCTCCAGATACGTTTCCGTGGGCTCAGGACTGCAAGGTCTCAGGAGGGCAGTGTGGTTAAGCCTTCTGCTCCCGGAGCATGCACTGCTGGTCTTTAAAAAGGATTTTATTCCCCTGAGCTGCTAATCAGTGAAAGGACTTTGTTCCTAAGCACCTGCTATGAGTGGTAGCTGCGTATGGAAGTTGTAATGAGTACAGGTCTCATAAACAAGCACATAACCACAGAAGGGAGGAACAACTTTGTTTCGTGTTTGTTTTTGCTAACCACGGAAAGAATTAAGTTCCTGAGTGCTTCCTAAGTTCATACCCAGTTTATGGCTTCCACCCCATTGAAAAGAAATTAGCGAGTGCATTGCTTTCATGTTTTCCAGTTAGACCTAAGAGTTCCCCTCATTTGAGAAGTCTGTTCATGAGATGTAGCGCTGAATAGGAGCATACCATGCAAGAGACCTTACGGATGTGGCAGCACTAGCATAAGATAAAATGATGGTGATTGAAGCTGACTTGTTACTGTGTCTTGATGTCTGCCCAAGACACTGCCATACGGAGCTCTGCAATCAGATGTGACCTGGTGGCAGTAGGCTTTAGGACCCAGCAGATTATGTGACACGTCACGTGTCAAGTTCTAGGGACCAGAAATTATTATGCTTGGTTAAGTAAGTGCTTATGCTTAGTGACTGAAATGTAAAGTGTTTAATAATGGAAGATATTTTACTCTTATTTTAAATACTGTAAAAGACCAGTGGAGGCTTTAGTGTTCAATTGTTCTATGCTGTACTTTGAGGGAGGTAAGTAATTCTTGCCTTTTCTCAAAGCTGCTATTTTTTCATAATAATTTCAGTTTCTAGTTTAGAATAAAGTGCCTAATGAGAAATGGCTGTCTCAGAGTTGTGTGCAAGGAGAGGTGATGGATCTGTTTCCTTTAGGCAGCAGCTTCTTGTCCTTCAAAACAGAAATGCCTTGTGTTGTGAGTGTAGTGATTTTCTGAGTCTGTAGGAAGAAAGAAGCTGAGTCAGAGAGAAGGAAGTATGGAAGTATTGAAGCACAAGAGGAAATTGACAGTAATGAGATTTTTGAATTATTTGCAACACTATTAATAAACACATAGTAAGGGAGATTGTAATCGATTTAAATGGAGATGGGAAGAAATCAAAGGTCATAGTCAGACAGTAGGCTCATGTGCCCATTAGCCTGCTCTCAGCAGCTGCCTTGGGAGCTGCTTAGCAGAGCACCTGGCTTTTCCATTAACGAGAGACAAATACATGAGTGAATTGCCATCGTTGCATGACTGTAAGTGACTGTGGTGATGTGCATTGGAAAAGGCAGCAGATACTTTCTAGGAGGTTGTGAGCTGCAGAAATGCAGCAGTCAGCAGCTTCTGCTGGCGCTGCACACAAAGAATTGGAAGAAGAGTTTCTTCAGGTTAGTGAACAAGTGTGCTAAAGCTGGGCATGAGGTGTGACTCCTGCAGTTCCAACATCACCACAGTAGGGCTTTTTTGGAAGCTAAATGAGGTTTGAGAGATTCTTCAGAGCGTTTGTAGTCAAAGGTTCACCAAGGAAGACCATGAACTCTCAAAGATTCTGATACTGCGCATGGCCATTTGAGCAAGGAATAGGTCAGAAAGTGCTTTTCTGCTGTTTGTGTGAGCATCTCCTGTTTCCACATCCTTGAAAGGAGTCAGGTTCCCATTTTTCTGGTAACATCATTGAAAAGTGTTATTTCTGTGACTTCGGTAAGGCAGCTCCTAACTATGGTTAACAAGGTTTTCTCTTTTGTTTCCTTCCTAGATGTGGAAGTTCACACAGGACCGCTGGGTTGTACGAAAGGAGGTGGCAGCAGTTACAAAAGTGAGTGACTTCTTCCTAACACAGAGGTTGGTGCTAACTGTGGGCATTGTCTGCAGGTCAGTAACAGGTGCTGCTGCAAGCCTTTTCTTTCAGGTTCACAGTGTCTGCATTACTGCTGACTTGCAGTGTTGCTAACCAAGGCACATCTTCACTTTGGAACAGGTATAGATACTCTTTACAGAATTATTTCAAGCAGCTCTCACAGTTACAGTTCCACAGGACACAACTGTCCTTGCAGCTGAGCCACTGGAATGCATCTTTGTCCCCTCTTCTGTTTTGGTGGAAAGCTGAACATCCTTTGAATCAGGCTTACGAAGCACCAAAGCAGATGAGAACTCATGCAGTCCACACTGATTCTCCGCTTTTGCAGAGTGCGTTACAGAAGCACAACACTTCTAATAGCATTGCAAAGCTGCCAGTATTGAATAAAAGCTTTAAAACAACTCGGGCACCTGAATATTCTGTCAGAAGGAAAAAAATTGTTTGTTTAAAACAAAATAAAATGATAGAGCACAAATTGGTTGATGTACAGACTGGCTACTTTTGGAATTTAAGATCCAGTTCTGTTTAAAAGCTGTGCACCTGTAGGTGCAGCATGGCTGACTTGGAGCTCTAAACTAAGATGAAAGTTGTAGGACATGCTTCTCTGCGCAATAGTCTTTTCATCTCAGTTAGTAAACTCCCTTTTCTTTACAAAACATGTCATGAGCTATTTGACTCTCAGCTGATTAATCACTGCTCTCTGAAGTGCTCTGCCTTTAACATTGTGTGGAAGCACTGGTGTTGCAAAGGATAAATATCTCTGACTGGCTTAGGCGTGTGTTTGTGGGAGTGCCCCATGTACTCCAAATCAGTCCTGCTCGTCCTGTCGCGGGGAACAGTGTGCCCTGCTTCGTGGCTGCAGATGCCCTGTGTGGATTGACATCCATATCATTTTTCCTTTTTCTTTTAGCTTTGCCCTGAAGATGTGAAAGACTTCCTAGAGCACATGTCTGTGGCAAGAATAAACAAAGGTTGGGAGTTCATGCTCCCTTATGATGAAGACTTTGTTAAGAAGCATCCAGATATAGTTCAGAGGCAACGTATGCTGTGGATGGGCATTCAGGCCAAGTAAATGACTTGCTTTATTTTGGGGAATAAGCTAAAAGTAAAGAATGACCTAGTGTGAAGTTTCTGTGAATACTGACAGATCTATATTTGATCCATATTGCCTGTAAGGTTTACTCCTCTCAGGGGGTGTGGTTGTATGGGGATTGTGTTGATGCATCATTCAAGTCACTCCTTTTCTTTGGCTTCCTGAGGACAGCTTTGTGGAAATTAAATGTTCTGGCTGAAAGTTAAAGGTGGTGTGGCTGCAGGCAAGCATAACAGCAGAAACAGTACTGGTATGATTTCCTTTGTATTTCAGATTAGAAAAAGTCTATAATCTTGTAAAGGAACACTTGACACCAAAGAAGCAAGAGTCACAATCAGGTAAATGAAATTGTGTGGATTACGTTGAAACACATGCATCTCTGTATTTCTGGGTGATATTTTGTTGTTTCTCTCTGTTTTTGAGTGTCGTGGGGATTGGTCTTGTGTCTGATATTACCCCTGTCTTGTAATTTCTTCTGCATTATTTGAGATAACTTGGTCTTTACTAATATCACTGATGTTAGTGGTGACACAAGCTTACTGTGGCAGAGCATGGAAGGACTCCTTGGCACTGGAGACTCTATTTGATAGAGTAAAATCATCTGGATATGTTAACAACTTCCTCATTTTAAGGCATGGTGCTGTAAGCAGATGCTGAGTTGAGGACAGGGACAGAGCATGAATGATTCTTACCTCTTGGTTCTCAGGCTGACATGCATGAGGTTGAGTCATTCCCTTTTCAGTTCCAAATAAAACAGGGTTGGATTTTTTATTTCCTCTGATTTGCTGAGGGGCTCTGTGGTGTGGTTGAGAGCTAAACAATTAAGGAGGAATGTATTTGCTGGGGGGCTGCGAGGAGGTGTAAAGTTGTCTCTTTGCCATTCCTCTCCATCACAGATGTCAGGAAGAATATTAAAGTAGCTGTTGTGTAATCTAAAAGGTTGTGAAAACCTGAGATTCCAGAGAGCTTTGGCTAGGCATTTGGCTCACTGCCAGACTCTGGAGCCAGCAAGGAGAATGAGCTGAACTGACAAATGTGCATATAATTCCATTTCAATACCGTGTGTTTGATCTGCTTGGAAGGATTAGGTGTTGGGTTATTCGGAGAGAATTAGTGGGCCTAATAATAAAGAAGGTAACAGCATGAGTGCTGTGTGGGCTTTTGCCTTAAATGCAGCCTTCCTTCCTACGGGATTGAGGCTGAATTTCTGTTTTGCCAACACACACTTCCCTTTTGCCTTTGGGTTGAGGTGCAGGACTGCATGGGAAAGGATTCCCTTCTGCCCCTTTCTAACTAGCACTGAGTAATAATACTTAGGAGAGTTCCAGATTTCCATACTGTGCACCTCATGCACAACCTGAGCTGTTGGAGAAATGCAATGTCTTTGCTTCAGGTTCCTTGACTGGAAGACCTTCTGGCTTACAATTATCAACATGCTTAATTGTTTTATTCCTTTTTTTTTTTTTTTTTTTTAAAGTTATAGTAGCGGGGAGGGAGGTAAAATCTAATCAGTAAGCCAGGCTTATTCCTTAAGTAGTAGTGTTGTTTCCTGGCTTTATTTCACTGTGAGCAATTCAAGCAACATTCTGCAAAACTGGAGTCTTGTTTATGGTGGGATTTTATGCTACGTTTCATTTCTTATCAGGCCATCCATTGCTGGTTTCTGGGGAGCAAAGAGTCAACATGGCAAAAGCGAAAGTCAAGCAGAACTATGGGCAGCTAGAGAAGGAGTTCCAGAAGCAAAAGGCAGAACTGAAATCAAGTGACACTTCATCCAAGATAGATGTTTCTAATATCCACATTAAAGAGGAGCCTGTGAGTGACGAGGAGCCCATGGACACCTCAGTGTATGAAGGCCTGAACAACGGCATTGTCAATGGCCTCCACATGGAGGAGGACTCCACAGACTCCTTAAATGGCCACTTGCCTGGAGGCTGCAGCGATCGGGTAGCCCAAGAACTGAAGGCATTTGTGTCCTCAACGTTTAGGAAACAATTTGTGCTCACCTTGAGTGAGCTTAAACGGTTGTTTAACCTTCATTTAGCCAGTCTGCCTCCAGGACACATATTGTTCAGTGGCATTTCAGACAAAATGTTACAGGACATGGTGTTAGACATTGGCTGCAAACAGATTTTGGTGCCTGTAAGTATTTTTTTCCTTTTGGCACAGTCTGGGTGGGAGGTAGGGGGGCAGTTAAATATCAGAGCTGTGAAATGTTTGCACCTTGGGCTGGACTGGAGGAACACTTGTGTTCTGTTGAAGCTGCTGAAGGCTTATCTGCCTTCCTGCTTCTGGCTGGCCCTGCGCTCTGCTTTCTGCCCTCACGGTGTGCTCATAGTTGTCCTTGGGGCTCCTTTTCCACCTCTGGGCTGTTGGGCTGCAGGGACTCATTGTGCCTGCTCGCTCCTGTTTCAGTGACTTACCTGGGGGAGTCCCATCAGCTTGCTTTGCAGTGTACAGCTTTTTGCAGGAATGCTGCTGGGATAAAGATGATGGCTGCTGCCTGGAACTGGTGGGGCACACCCAGCAGAGCTCTCCGGGAAGCAGCAAACCATATCTGCAGAGTTCTGTGGGTCACTCCTGCTGGGCTGATCGCAGATGTCTTCACTTGTCTTTATAGAAATTGTATGTGTGAATGTGTGAGTCAGAGCCAGCAGATTGCTTAGGAAAGAAAAGGGATTTTGATGTCATGGAAAGTAGCCTGAAAGGAAAATAATTTCACAAGACATCTGGTAGTGCTGATTGGTTTGCAACCAGCAGGAGTTTGGGAGTCAGGTGTTGTTAGGGAGAGAGGCAAAGAAACATGTGAGCTGCTTGGGAGAGCAGAGAGCAGGCAGGCTGGGGAGAGCCTGGAGCACAGGAGGTATAGCAACCCTCATGCCTTAGCTGGGCTTCAGGGAGGCATAAGTAACATGTTCAGTGGTGTGCAAAGTACGGCCTGTGGCACCTGGAGCTGAGTGACAGATGTGAGATGCCACGCAGGAGGCCACTGCTTTTTGTGCTTTTTGCTTTCTTTCCTGACAGCTTCCAGGTGCCTGGGCAATGCTTACCTGGAGCTGCTTCTTAGTGCTGGAAAGACTCTCATTGTATGTGGTATAGGATATGCACTTGCCATGCTGGTGGTAAACAGCTGAAGTCAGTGCTGTTGTATTAACTGAGTCTGGGACTTGTTTGCTGGAGTCTGCTGTATGTTTGAGTTCTGCTGATCTAGAACTTCCTGCAGAATTTGATATCTTCTGCAACAGCCTGCATAAGCCTGTCAGAAATGTAAGTCAGCTCCCAGGCCTCTGCATCATGCTGTGGGCCAGCTGTGCCTTTTTTGTGAGCTCATATACTTCGCTTTCTCTCATTGTTTTTCCTGGACCCAGTGAGGCTGCCTGAGCTCCTTGGAAGCCTGGAGGGATGCTTTGCCTGAGATTTCGTAGTTACTCATTAGTTTTCTGTAATTGAAACTGCTTTGGTGATAAAAATCAATGATCTGAGGTAATTAAAGTGATGTTCTATGGGGGGTGAAGACACTCTTGGCTTTCACGTTGCCCTGTTACAGAAAATGTGTTGCTGAAAACAGCAGTGGAAACCTTACTGGTGGAGTGTAGGATTTATAAAGCTGAACAGCTGCATCTGGGGTAGCAGATAAATGGTGCTCATGGGGCCTCAGAAGGTGCTTCAGCTGTGAACAGGGGCTGCCTGCAGGGTGCTGGGCTTTGCTTGTGCTTTGTAGCAGTGACAGTAGTGAGCAGGGTGCCTGGCAGTTTGCAGAGTGATGCGAATGCAGGGAGGCTCTCTGTGCTCTCCCAAATAACACTGTGTTGGTTCGGAAGCAGTTCCTTCTCTGAAAGCCAGCAGTGCAGCTGTGCTCAGCACCAAGCAAACCGGAGATCTGCTCCTGCAGCCCTCTGTTGCCTGTCCTGCTGCAACTTGTCAGGAGGGAGGCTGATGCTATGGTGTTATCTGTGCTGAATGAAAGCACAGGAAAGTGTTCTGTGTGTGGCATGTCCTCATGTGAAGAGGAGCATATTGGGTGTCGCCCAACAAATCTGAATCCTGGCTCTAAAGCAGGTGCACAGCCCTGATATATATCAGGAGTTTGTACCAAGGTGGAACTGGAGCTGCTGATTCCAGCAGGCAGCTCCTGCTCGACACAGTGCTTCCCTTTGCCACAAGATCAGAGGCAGCTCCTGAAAGAAAGGGCTGAGCTCTCCCTTTGCAGTCCTTCCGTGTAGTGCAGAAGGCTGGGAAAAAAGGTGGGGGGGTGTACTGCAGTGAGGAACTGCAGCAATCAGACAGGCCTGTTGGCTTTGTGTGGGGATTGATTGAGGTTGGCAGGTCAGTGGTTAGCACGGAATGAATGGTTGGTGACTGACAGGAAGGCACACATCAGGAGCGGGAAGTATCCAGCATTACTTGCTAGACATTGCTCCAGGGGAAAGCATTAAGGCAAATGGACATCATTTTATTTTTGTAGGAGTTTGGAACAGTTACATTCCTTCCAGCTCGCAGAGGCACAAGGTCTCTGTCTCAGAAAATACAAATGGTGTTCCTCTAGCATGGATCTTGGTAGGAGCAAAAACCACTTCAGTTTGGGAGCCTGAAATGCGCTGGTGTTTGGTTTGCTCTCCATCAGTGTTCATTCTCCAGGAGTCCCATGGGCTGCTCCAGGGATCACACGCACAGCAGCAGCACAGTGCTGGTCAGTCATGTTGCCTTGGATTTAGCAGAGCAAATTCAGTTAGAATCCAAATATCTAAAACTTGCCACTGGAGACTTCAAAATCTCCTGAAAAGCCTGCAGTCCTCTTCATGCTTAATTGAATTCTGCTTTGGGAAGTCTGGAGACACAAGCTGCTGGCAGGAACAATCCGTACATCGTGCCGTGAGATACTGTCCACAGTCCACACCCTGAGATTATCGGGGCACTTGGTGGTTGTCCTCCCTTCCTCCAAGTCCCCATAGAGTGTCACAGGATTCCCTCGTACAGCTCTGACATGGTTGGTGCTGTGCCCATGGCGCTGCTTGCCATCACTCCAGTGTGATGAGAAGCATCACTAAAATGCTGTTGGGCATGCCATGTGTGCATCAGGCTGCCAGAGAACTGGTCCTATTCCCCAGACAATATTTACCCCTCACTCAGGGTCTGAGTGCTGTAGTATCACCCAGAAGAGCAGGTTTGGTGGGGTTTGTGTTTCTCTTGCAGGCACAGGGGCTGTTGCATAGTCACCTCCCTGAGCGTGGGGTGGGAGAGAAGCACTTCTCATTAAGTGGCCACAACATTTTGATTCAATAATAGGTGTCAGGGGATACCGTATCATAGAGTCATTAAGTAGAACTCATTAAATAGATAGTTATTTTTAACAGGCTCTTGTTCTCAGTTTCCTCCACAGACTGCTGCTTCACCAGATGAGCTAAAGGTTTATGCACTTTGGGAAGCCGGTGACATTTATGATCAGGTAAAGACAAAAATAAGTGACAGTCCCAAATACATTGTTAGTGAGGATTTGGCCTTGCTCCAATTTGTGTTTCTGGAAGCAGTACAGCTGGTTTTCACTGTTCCCTAAGGAAGATTCCAGGTTTCAGCACCAGCCAGCTTCAGGCTGAGAGAAAGCTCTCAGACCGTAGGATGGCTGTCACCACATCAGGACTAGGTGGTGTGAACAGAAAGTGAGACATTGGTAACTAACTCAGTGGGGTGTAAATACTATCAATTGTATGAAGAGAAAAGATTCTGCCGTGCAGGTCTTAGGGTGTGATCCAGTCAAATCATTCTTCTTTTTTTGCTAATGGTAATGCAGTGGTAGTGCAGTGTTAACCAGTGGTTATATGATGATGGGACCTGGTGTGTCTGTTTGTATTTAGCACAGGAAATGATTACAGCATATGTGAACATCTCCTGAGTTTTATTTGTATCACTGTTAGTGAAGTGGAAGGAAAGGCAGCCTAACAGAATGTAGATGGGCAATGCAAGTGCTGTGTCCATGACCTAAATAAATGTTTATAGGAAAGTCTTGAGCATTGTTCTAGAGAATAAGCAGCATCCGAGCTCCTGGCTGAAGCAGACCATGTGAGCTGCCTGGGAAATGTGAGAGAAATATGTCACAGCCCCTGCTTTAGTATGGTTTGTCCCTGTGGAGGTGCCTGGGGTCACAGGAGGGGGCAGATGTGCTCATGAGGTGTGGAGAGATCCCTGCAAGCTGCAAGATAATGGGAGGACACCTCATGAGAGCAGGTTGAAAGGGGACAGTTTCAGGGTTATGAAGCAAGAATACTCTGATGCAGCTCAGTGAATGTTTTGAACAGACTAATGCACATAGCGCTTTTTTTATAGAGAGCTAAAAGTAATTGTTTTTGTATTAATGATTTCATTCTAAAGCATCGCCAAGTTTTGCTTGAAATTTTTTCGAAAAATTATCGAGTGCGCAGAAATGTCATTCAGAATCAGCTGAGTCAAGACCTCAACAAGCAGGAGGTGGATAGAGTGCTAAAGGTAAGTTTCTGCTCAGCTGGGGTTTTGGTTCAGTGAATGCATAAATTTTTAACGTTCTGGTTTAACTGAAGGACCATTTATTGCCTTCAGTTGACAAGTGATCGTGATCATAGAACAGTTGCTGTGGGAAAACAGGCAGGGCTTGTTTTTCAGCCTGTTTTCTTTAAAGTAATCCTCGTCTCATTCTACCTTGTTTCTCTCCAAAAAGCAGTGATTTTGACTCCCCTGTTATTTGGTGTTATTGCAGCAAATCTTTGTTCTTCATCTTGGATCAGAAGGGAGTAGAGCACAGTAAATGTCACACTTCAGAGTTATTTTTAAATAATATGGAGTTTATTAAGGCAGTGGGAGCGTTCTGAGTTTGCTGAGCTGCCTGCTGTTGTTTCATGCTGAAGAACAGGTGCCACATGTTCAGAAGGAAATGCATTATATTCTATAGTAGAACTTAAAGCAGTGTAGCGAGCAAAACCGCAACTAAAACAAACATAGAGTCTTATTTAGCACATCTCATAGTGAATGTTTGAATCCTTTCATCTCTGTCTTTGAACATGAACCATTTACTTTCTAAGCAAGTTTAAGGTATGAAGTACCAACCACGCAGGTTGTGATTGACAAAGGAGAAAGCTGCCAGCTCATGTAGCACTGCAGTCACTGTTGCTGGGCCTTTGCTCACCATCACCCACTTCAATGAGACAAGTGCTTAAGTACTTTATTACTCTGGGATCTGTAAGCAGAGTAATAACCTACTTGAAAAATTACACATCTGTTGCAGTGACAGTAAGCAAACTGGTCTTGCTTGAATGAACCTGGGCTTAGTATTAAAATAAGCTGAGACGTTTCTGCCTGCTGTGCAGCGTTTGGTTTGTCTTGCCTGAGCTGGGAGGTTTGTCAGGCTCAAATCGCAGCTCTCTGGGGATGTCTAGATAATGTACTGGCATTCATTTGCACATTGTTGTTGATGTTTAATAAATGAATTATTTCTGGGGAGCAAACAATCGTTGTCCCTGGCAAACCAGGTCCTGCTTTTGTAAAATTTAAGTCACTGCACAGTCAGCCTTGTGTTGTGTCAGACTTTGTCTTGAATGTGTTTGTCACAGAAGCATGTGAAACGCAGAAGCATGTTTCTGAAGTAAATGTTGAAAGTATGATTTAATGAAGTAGGAGGATTAACTGGTTTCTTTAAATCATAAGAGATTTGATTCCACTTTGAATGAAATAGCATTTATTGACTCTTATTTCCCCATCTGCATGTGTTCCTGTCCTGTACAGAAAAGAGCAGACTGACAGGGAATATATTTTTGCATCTGCAGATCCAGAATGAAAACTCTCTTTTGAGTCTCTGCACTTAATTTCTTGGTAGAGCAGTAAGTCCCAAGAATTAAGAAGAAGTTACAGTTATTGGTACTTTTTTTTTCTTTTTAGTTCCACAGCATCAGTTCTGTAGCAGTGCTTAAGCTCCTGTTGAATTACGTAAGTGGGAAGGTTGCAGCAAAAGGAGTTGTTAGGCTTAGAATTCATGAGGCTTGGTGTTCACTGAATAGAAATAAGGAACCACAAACTGAACTCCTTTGCTGTGAAGCTTGCAGCTGTGAGTGTAGCAGACATGGTCAGAATACCTGAGTACAGTTCTGAGGTTTGACCCTTCCTTGCTACAGAAGGTTGCTGAAAAGCTCCAGCTTGGGGCTGCCTGCATGCTTCCTCTGCTCCCTTTTGTCTGTTCATGTCTTCAGGCTGCAGTTACCCCGTAGTTCCTTTGGTTCTCACCTCTTTTCCTGTCCTAACCTGCTTCACCATTCTTCCCATCTGCTCCTCCCAGAGACCTTCCCATTGTGTATCCTCCCTGTGCTCTCAGCCTTTCCCCTTTGTCTGCTGTGTTAAGCTTCAGGGCAGAGATAACCTGCTGCTCTGGCTCTCGTTTGCACACAGGAGGGACGCTGATCACATTTAAGGTTGCAAAGCCAAATCATGGTTCCAGTGGGGCTCACCTCATAGTGTGTAATCCCTGCGGTTTGGAAATGCGGGGCGGTGCAGCAGGCACTGATGGGTTCTCCCTTTCTCCCCAGGACTGCTGTGTGAGCTATGGTGGAATGTGGTATCTTAAAGGGACTGTGCAGTCTTGACGGCAGCTGTGGCGGTTTCTGTGCTTCAGATGCTCTCCTGGATGAAAGAGGAAACCTGCGGTGGGCGGCACAGACAGTAACGCTGTGGCCTCAGGAGTGTGGGGCAGGAGCTGACCTACTTTGGGGCATGTGGCATTGCAGACAGTCACTGACATCACAGCACACTCACACATATGTTTGCATGGCCGCCTGGGTGCAGCGAGCAACTAGGAAGACAACACGGGACCCTGTCTGCAGTTTGATTAATCTGGGATTTCTAATGTATTTTGCTTCTCCTTCTCTTTCCTTATAATAAAATAAAACCATATACTGACACAGACATGATGGAAAATCATGGTCTAATATTTTATTTTGTAAGTAAGTGATGCCAATAAATTAAATTTGTTTACAAACATCCCAGGTTCTGTTAAATACCTAGATGCTCAGGCATTAGTCTGAGCATTACAACAGCCCTTGCCGCCTTTACAACAAGGGTAGTGATGTTCATGGGCACATCAGGTCAGGGAGGGGGGGATACAAAATCACTGTCTTTAAACATCGTATGACATAGCAACTGTTCTCACCTGGTGTCTGTAAAATGAACTGTCTGAAAAAGTACTTACACTTGAAATAGATGTGAAACAACTACTGGATGTCTTATTGATGTGGGTTTTGGTTGATGGAGTTTTGCCTTACTGTGTGCAAAGGTAAGTGCACCATGTGCAAGACATCCAGCTGCAGTTATCACACTTGGCAACAATGTAAAACCTCTATTTTGTGTAACTTTTTTAAAAATAAAATTTTATCTTGAAGGTCAGCTGTGGCATCCTGCTGTACTCTGCCTTGTATTTGCCCAGGAAGAAATGGAAATGATCTTTGCTGCTTTTAGAGCCCAAAAGCTCACAGAGGAAGGAAAGGTAAAGAATATTTGCAATGTTTGAGGTAGATGGCAAACTGCCTCTTGCTGTACTTTTCTACTTGCATCACTTTTTTTAGGATGGTTGTCAAGATGCAGCCTGTTGCTCAAGAAATGATAACTGAGCTGCTTCTGTTCTACGTTTGTCACTTAAGCTTCACAGCAGTGAGGTAAGGAACACCCCACTGGTGGCTTTAGAGCAGTTACTGTTCATGGGTTTTGTTTTCTGTAATTTCCATCATATGAGAAGCTCAAGTAGATACTATTAATTTCATCTACTTATGCTTAAGGGCTGTTTTTTTTAACTAAAATAAGCAGATTAAGATTGGCCTAAGAGCAGTGTGCCATACTTAGAGCATTTTAAACTTCTGTGGAAAGTACTTATTTCTAAACTGCTAAAACTCTACCTTAACTCACACACTAAGTTTATTCACTACTGTAATCAGGCAGTGTTCAAGTTCAGGCAGCTTTTGCAGCCTTTGTGCTGGGTGTCCCCATCACTGTTGCTTACCTAGCATGACCCTGTTGCTGTAGCATTGCCTACAGCTGTGCCCATAAAGCTTATCCCTGAGAAAGCCAGTCTGAGAGAGGTTATAGAACAGCAGAGCCTTGGAGGTTTTTATTACAGGGTATGTACAGTTAAGTGTTAAAGTACACTGCAGTACAGCCAGAGCTCAACAATGGCACAGGTGGTCAAAGGCAGGTTATGCTACAGAAGATTTCTGTGGAAATCTGAGAACATTCTGGATATTTTAAAGGGTAAAAAATAGATAGAAAGTGCCCTGCTAACCAACAGTATTAAACCACTGAAGATCACATATTTAACAAGAAATTCTAAAGTTGTTTCTACACAACTTCTGGTCCCGTGGGTGTGGATGCCCCACTCCCCAAAGTGAATAGCATTAGTAAAAGAGTGCTTGTGACAGCCAGAACACATATCTAAAGTTACTGCTTTGCAGTAGAAAGCCTTTAGATAATGACAATCCAAGTGCCAGGGAAGCAGTGACATCAGAGCTAACCTGGTGGCAGAACAGCAGCTCTCCTGCCTCCCACCCCTCCAACACCCTTTTTGGAACAACGCTGACAAACACGAGAGAAACAAGAAACTACTTCATTGCCTCTGGCCTTATAGCACAGACAGGCGTATCCTTTTCTACCTACTGCAACTTTTTTAGAATAAAAATTTAATGGGAACTCCATCTGAGCTGTGTAGGATAGACCAGATAATGCAGCTGCCATCTGCACAGTTTACTGTTTCAAGATCAGCACAGATAGGCATAATTACTAGTTACACGTGGAGCTTGACTGGCTGATTTATTTGCTTAGAAAAATATTTACAACATTCGGATTCCCATTTTTAAATAATTCTTAAGAATGCAATACATATTTTTGAGAAATTCCCACAATATGGAGTCTTAATACTGCAAATGAAGGACAACTATACACAAGCTTAACAGGTAAATAAGGCAGACAACTTAATAGCAGCAGTTGAACTAAAGCTGAGAAATTGTCACTCTTCCAGCTGTTTTGGTATATTGCAGCAACTCAGACAGGCAATAAGGAAGTTCCCAAGAAGAGCTAACCAAATTAAGCTATGAGACCCTGTGTAAGAAGGATGTCACCTTTCCTGGTGCCTTCTTTCTCCTTAATTGCTTAGCCTTTGTTTTCCATTCTTCATACTTCAAAGCAGTTCTAAAGAATGTACTTCTGCATATTTTGTTTTTCAGAATTTGAATACCTATGAGCTACTATTAGGGAGTGGAGGAGGAAAGTAGGAACAACAACACAGCCCCACACTTTCAGTAGGATATGTTCTAGCAGTGTTGCATCCAGCCTCCCACCACCCCATAGGCAGCATGGAACAGGTTCGCTGAAGCTGACAGTGGAAGCAATGGGCAAACCTGTAAGATAAGGCTTTACCTGACCCGTCTCCTTCAGTGCTTGGAGTTTGTGGTATGTGAGCTTAAAAGCTATCTCACTGTATCAATTCTACTGCTAAAGTTAAATGACTAAATTGCAACTTTGTCTTGCCAAATACACACTAGTAGGTACTTTGTTGGCCTCCCACAAAAAAAAAAAAAAAAAACAGCTCCAAATAACATGTAATCAATTCACAGTACCTCACCTTAAGACGAAGTCCCCTAAATAAGAAACCATACCTAAACAGCCACACAAACTTCTTGTCAAAGTCTTTCTCAGTACAAAGACATCTATACTTATCCATAGAAGAGCCTAGTTCATGTGAACACATGGCATTAACTTTACCAAGCACAGCGCAAGCTGCTATGCTAGCTCTCCACCTCCCTGCCAAAGCAAATTCAGCTAGATTCACTAACTTCATTCTCAGGACTCGAGGAGAGGCTGCCTGTGATACTGACCTGGGGCTTTTTGGTTTTTTGTTTGTTTGTTGTTTTTTTTTTTTTTTTTACAGTTACTGGGCTAGATGATCACATGCAAGTTAAAGAAAAGCTTTTACCTAGTTCTTTGTGAGAAGTAGTGTACGGATTTCTTAGCTCTGTTAATTTGAAGTGGACTAGGAAAACCATTGTCAGTTTCTGCCAGAAATCAAGTGTATTAAGTAGCATTGTAGTATTAAGCTACAATGTTTGTTTCCATTACAACCACTAGTTTGCGTGACAGTGCCAAACAACATTACATCTATTGCTACGTACCTACAGGGAGACTGCTAGTCTAACTAGCTTTTTAACTACTCTCTATGAGCCAATTGAAAACATTCCTTTTTAGTGCTAAAAGAAACATCTGTGCAAGGGGTCTTTTGACATTTGTGTAAAGTCTTTCCCCCTTTTTGGGCAACAAATTAGTCACCAGCAACAAATCAGTCATCAGAACATCTAACGTTATGGCTGAGAAGAAAGGGACTTGTACTTAGATCTGTGCTCATCTATTTCTTCCTTTGTTTTTTTGATACAGCTAAAGATTTCCTTGAAGAGTGCTTTATATTCAGGAAGAGTATTTGTGGAGCAAAGTGATTCTCCTGCATTCGTGAATTCTTGATTGTTAGCTGAAAGATCATACTGGGTATTTCCCACACTGTCTTTAGAATACTGCTTCAGTGTTTGTACAGCTTTGTGTTTCAAAGAATCTTCATCCATTTGACACTTCTTCAAAAGTTCCTCATATTTCACTTTCAGAGCATTATACTGAGCATCAACTTCATTGAGTACAGAGATTCCCCGCTGCTTCACAGCTTCAGCTCTCCTGATGCACGTTTCTTCATGGCCCCTTAGAATGTCTCCCCCTGCAGCACTACTCAGGAAATTTTCACTACTGCTCCGCTTCAATGCCTTTTTCTCAAGTTCAGGGACAGTCAGAAGCCCATCATCAGCTGGGCTCTGACCAAGCTCCCTTTCTAAAGATTCTTTAAATGAAATGAAAAAGGATTCTGGCACCAATTTCTCTGCATTGTGGAGTGTGTTTTCAGATTGAAGCATCTGTCGCATTTCAGCTACTTCCACTTCCAACTCCTCTGCACGAGCCCGATACAAGTCAATATCGACAAGCCTCTGTTCAAGGTCGCAGTTCTCTTTCACCACAAGACTGTATTCCTCTTCCATTGTTACCCTCTTCTCTTTTTCTAGGTTGAGTTGGGCTTGCAGAACTGTAACTGCCTTCTTCAAGTTCTCATTTTCTTCTTCCAGAGGGTTTAGCTGACTATCCATTGAAGTAATCTTTTCTGCAAACACGTGATCATAAACAAAATACCTGAGGAAACAGAAGCAAGGATTGTTAATAGGAAATACAGCTAAAGTTTAGAAATACAGACCACACCTGAAGTTTTCCTGTCATTGGTAAGTAATGACAGTTTAAACTCTGTGTTAACATATCTGAAAGTATACATAGCAGTCATCTTGCCAACCTAACAGCTCAGTTGATAATCATGATTGGAGTCTGTAGATACTTCACATGCCATCAAGCCTCTCAGCTCAAGCAGGATGGCAGCTTTTTAACAATCTCAAATTACAGAAAAGTTTACTGAATAAAAGATCTGTAATTTCAGTTTTAAAGGATACTGCCTCCACATATTATGTGATACTCCTTCATATTTTTACCACATCTTTCACAACTTGTGTCACCGCCCATTGTGGAAACAAGCTTCAGAATGGACAAGGCAGTTCTGCAGAGTGGTAATTCCACAAACCTCTCACAGTTTGAAATAATCCACTTATCTTTTGAATTGTCACCACATAATTCCTTGCTTGCATAGATTAATTCCTCAGTCTCACTTGCATATACTGCTGGAAGCCCAGAAACAAATCCCATTCTCCCTGTTTGCAGAACTATTTCACATCTTCTATTAGCTTCTAGCAGTAAAGACAGACTGGGACCATCCCCCAGGTGACTCCTGATGAGCATACAATGCAGTTCAGCTGGGTAGAACTGCTCTAAATTAGAAAGCAGCCCAAAGCTTCAGGCACTATTTTACCAGCTTATAAGCATTGTTTTATCCAGTTTAACTGCAGCTACTACAGCAAGCCCACCTTGAAAAGAAGGTGCCCACAGATGTCCCAGGAAAAAGTAAGTTACAGAAAATATTGTTTAGGATAATTTACTTGGTAGTTATCTGTGTTTGTGCTTTATCTGACTGAAAAGAGAAAGGTTCACATTCTTGAAGGCTTTCTAGGCTACAGTTTCACACAGCTGGAGGCTTTGGGGGAGAACCTGTCAAGATATTAAGTAGAACATACTGTTGTTTTCCCACAAAGATCAATACAGTCTGCAGCCAGAGCACACCAGAAGCAACACCACCACACACTGCACAACTGTACAGATATTTTTCTAGTTGCAAACTTAGAATGCTTTTCTGCTACTCTGTTAAACACCCATGCTTGTATCTAGTTTTTGAAACTTTGCTTAAAATAATTTTCATTTTCTGTTTGTTATGTAAGGAAAGAGTCTTACTGGCGAAGGTCGTACAGCTCCTTCAAACACGAGAAGCTGTGCATTGATCTTGGCTGGTCAGATCTCTCATGGTTCATTCGGCCTCGTCCAGACTTTTTCAGCTCTTCTACTTGCCTTTGCAGGTCATCTATGTGTGTCTGCAGATTTTCAATAGTCTCTGTCAAGCTAAAAGTGAAGGATCTCTGTTAAAGCATTTGACTGTTTAATCAAGGACAGATTAATTCCCATCTGCTCACATTTCAGCTTCTCCTCTGAAGATTGCTCTTTGGCCACAAACCACCTTTAAATAAAACTTTAAGAGTGTTGTAGAACAACACTAGACAAACAGCCATCAAAACACTGCGTTTATAGACTTAGATTACTGTTTTTTGTATCATCAGTTGAGTAGAGAGGAGAAAAGAGGATGTTGCTTAGGTTTGTTACCTTAGTATCTTTTGTTGTGATGCTCTGCTCTCTGCAACTAGCTTTTGATTAGTGTCTTCTAGTTCTCTTGCTGTCACATCCAGCTGTTCATAAACTTTTGCATGTTGATCATTCATTTGACGCAAGAGCTCCACTTGCTTTGTGAGATACTGCAAGACAACATTGCTGTTACAAGTTTATATTAGAAACACAGGATAGGGCTACTATTCTGCAGGTTTGTTCACATTCATTAAATAACTGCTATGTTCTAGAAATGTACATGTTCCAGTGGTTGCTTTGGTTACTACCCAGTTGAAAAGGTGTAATCAGTATCTTAGTTACTTCTCTTGTCTTTGTCACTGTGGTCAATGAAGGCTGATCAACCAGTCCTTCATCCAGATGACTTGGGTTGGTTTGTGAAAACTGTGTTTATCTGTTCAGCTACCCTTGCTGCAGTTAAACTGTTGCCAGTTCTACCACAAACCCATCCAGATTGGGTTTGTACTGCAGTCATCACACAAACCTGGATTTCAACACAGTTCTTCACAGAGTCCTTTTAAAAGTTGCAGTGAAATCTATCATAAGTTTTTTAATAATGTTGACCCAACAATTTTCTTAGCATTTAAACTGAAGTATTGGGTAGCACTGTCTTGTTTTTTTTTTTCTGCTTGCCTATGTTTGAATCAGCGTTAGGTTCAGCAAAACACATTTTAGGATGTGGTCACACCTGAGATTCTGAGGACTACTACGTGTCAGGAAGTAGAACCAAACTATTAGATTCAGCCTTTAATTACCTACAAGGAACTATTCCAGTCATTGTAATACTGAACAAAAGTCTCCTGTGCTTTTTTCTTTTAAATACAAGTCCACACAAAGTGATCTCATTTTAACTCCCTTTAGTTTGATGGTTAACAAAATAACCTGCTAAGTTTCTAGAATTATTTCAGAAAGCCTGGAATTCTCCATGCAAGAAGTTAACGATCACCTAAGACTCTCAGTACAAGTGCCTTGTATTGTCCCATCTAGCAAAGGACTGAGCCAGTTTAAAAAAAAAAAACCAAGCAAGAATTTGTATTAAACAGACTTGAGAACATAAAACCCAACCCTTAACTATTACATACTTAGTTGCTACATAGAAGTAATTTCAAAAAATAAGTTGTGTATTACTACATACTAAATGTATGAACACCTACTGGACTTCCAAGCAGAACTACATCTCAGTACATACTGTCACATACTCAAAACTTCTAATATTCTGCTTAACCTTTCACCTCCTTAAAAGATCGATGTGTTTATATTTTAGGCAATTTAAGAACAGATTATAAGTTAATCTAGGACTAGTAACTGCTGCATAGACTTCCAGAAGATCAGCATGGTAGCTGTTGGCTAGATCCTTTTGCAGCCTGTGTGCACGTGACAGGATTTACACTAAAATAGTATGTGGATTAGCTGCATAATCTCAGCATTACCCACTCCAGATTAACTTTTCCTACTGGTCACTCTCAGAAAGTGCTAGAGACTTCTTCATATTTTCTTCAGTTAATACAAGAGTGGCTGAACACAGAAACCAAGGTGTTGGTGGCAGAATTTGATGTCACCACTTCTCACAGTGGGCTTTAGTGGAAGTTTTAGCTGTGTGAAGATGTGAAATGCTATCTCCTTCATCTTGTGTCTTCAGCATCTTCAGTTCTGGGATCGAGTTGGCCTGGTGTAACCAGAACATCACAACAAAGTATGGCTCTGGTAACACCTTAGGAGTTCCCATTTGTTCATCCTGCACAACAGCTGAGTGCCCATCATGAAGCAGCAGTGGAGACTTCAGGTGCTCTACCACACAATGAAAGGAGAGCCAGTTCTTTGCACTCCAACTTCAGAAATACTAAGATGCAGACAGAGATAAAGCTGCCCTTTCAATCCAGCATTTATTACACCTGCAGCGATCAGTTTGCGGAACACGTGTCAGCTCAGAGGTCAGATATAATGATCCAAGGCAGTAAAACACTCAATATCTTAACTTTTAATATATCAACTGTAATATTAAGCATCCCGAAACCTTTGACCCTTCCTTGTTTTGTGCAGACAACGTTGTACCATATTTCAAAAAGGTTTCTTAATCATTCTAAGTTTGGGAGTTTGCTGCCTGTAAGATATGAATTAGGAGGAGGAAAAAAGTCATTGCTTTTTTGTTCTGAAAAGGCTAGTTTAAAGCCTGGCAAAGTAGCTACGAGAGCAGTTGAAAGAACACCTGTATTGCAGAAACAAGCACTTCAAAATTAGGAACATCGAGCATAAACCCTGGAAATAGCACTTGCACATTTTATCCTGAGCAGCAGGGAATTCCTGGTTCCCAATGGCTAAGCCAAGTTAAGAGAATAAGTCTGTGTGAACATATAAGGACGTGACCCTGCTACACACCAACTGCAGCTCACTGCTAGAAGGGCTCTTCTCACCACTTCTTGTGCTAAAGCTCTCCTACGTAGAGACAAAAGGAAACAAGAAGATCTTAGTCGAACCAAATGAGATACCACATCCTTAATAGCACTAGGCTATTTCTGTAAATGAATCCAACTTAGCAATCATGTCTCTTTCCATGTTTTAAGATGGCATTATAATAGAGCCACTGATTAAGAAGCTCTGCTCCAGGATCCAGGTTAGCTGTCTACTGCAGAGTTAGGCTGTGTTATTTCAAAATATGTCGTAACTGTGTTAAACACTTCCTTAAACAAGGCTGTCATACAGGAGTTGAACCTGGAGTAGAACAGTGTTTGTACAGCACACCTTCAAGTGTGCTATACAGTACACCATGAAGTACTCTCCAGATCTAAAGAATCAATCTTTCCTGTAAAAGCACTCATCTCAGTGAGTCAAGTCTCTGCATAAGTGAATACTAAAAAAAAAAAAAAAAAGCTGTAGCATTGGTAATAAATACAGGCCATTCCAGCCGTTGTGTCATCAAACAAATGTGGTAACAGTTTGATTCTTCCCCCTATTAAGTGACAACATCAAGGTATAAAACAAAAATGTTTTATAAAACAAACAAAAAGCTGCTTGTTTCTATCAATGTGACTATTTTAGAAAACACCTGTATACTTCTAAGTCTCAAGTTTAGGTTCTTTAAGTTGCCTATCACTACAACAGTGATGAAGGTTTAAGTCCTAAGCTGCAGCTGTACAAAAATACTCCGACTGTAACCACATAAGTAATGCTTCCACAAGTGAATGCAGACTTTGTAAGAATTTAGCACACGCCAGTCACAGCCTATTCCCTGTGATTCATACCAGAGCCAAAATGAAACACTGGACTACATTTCCATTACGCTGCCAGAGTAATGGAGAAGTACTGAATATTTAATAAATTTAATTATTAGAGGCCGTGCATTGCCCTCAAATAGCTAAAAAAAAAAAAAAAAAAAATCATTATATTGGCAAATGTTAGGTCTGCAAGAATAGAAGCACCATTAAAGAAACAGCCACAAATGGTCAGGGCTTTCCATGAAGTAACAAAGATGAGTGTTTCCAAAAGGGCAGCTCTGATTCTCCCCCAAAAAGACATAAGAACATACCCACTACAGCCTGTATTTAGGCAGCTACATGTTTTTATTCTTGTTGATTTTCATTTTTTAGCTGAACTGTATTTCCCTTTACCCCCAGTAGAAATACATATCCTCCCATTTTACTTAAATCTTTATCACGCTTTTTTGTCAAGCATTTAAATTTCAGTGCAGTAATCATTAATAGTTAAAATAATATGAAGATGTTCATTTATTCATCATATGATTTTCATATCATTTTTACCCGACAAGACCAGCAAAATTTAGCTGTAACAATCCTGAAATAGCTTGTCTGTATAAAAAGTATCAGTCATGTCATTATACAAGCCGAATCCAACAGGAATTTTGTGGCACAAAGACTCCATTAATGAGACAAATGGGTCTAACAATGATCAGAGCCTGGGTAAGTTTTTGAGGCAGCACCGGCAGTTAAAGGCCAACACTTTCAAGGAAACACTGATCAGATGTTGAGAAATCAGAACTCTCAACTTACGTGCTATTCTGCTGCACATCTACATGACTTACACCTGGATTCCTGTAGTATTTACCTCTATCTCTTGCAGTTGCTCTTGATTTGTTGCATACATTTGCTGTAACGATTCTTCTAATTCAGTGTTGCGGTCCAGTAGCGTCTTCCCAAGCTCAGCAGCAAGGTGAAGATCTAAACAAAGAAGTCATTTGCACATAAGGTACAGACCCGATAGCATGACCTGTTTTTCAAGTATTTTAACCAAATACTGACTGGAATTATTTTTTTAAATGACTGTGGTACCCCAAAATGAAGTTAGCTTACAGATGCATTGGACATTCAAATACTGTCTGTAAGACAAAGACTTAAGTGAGTCCTGAAACCTAGAAGATACTCCAAATTCATGGCCATTCCTGGGGTCCTCCTTGGATGCTGCAGCCTCGGGGCAGATGCAGGCAGCCACCTTCCCTTTGCTCCCCTCCACCTGCCCTGTACTGCATGCACCTCTTATCGCAGCATCCGTTAACTATTTCACTGTGGTTGCAACAATCATGTTTTAGAAGAATAAGCATGAAGTACTCTTTAAGTGCTCATCAGGTTAGACTGAGGCCAAAGCTGACTGCACTCTCATATACTGTGCTGTTCTTCCCTATTGCCCCTTCACCAAGGAGCTTGGGTTGCACAGGATCGGGAGCAAAATGAAAGGTCCAGGCATTTGATGGTGAACTAGTAATATCAAAGACAAAACTTAAAGAAATGCAGCTATCCTGCCTTTCAAGCTCATAAATGTAGGAGACAGCAATTGCTTTATGTGCTCCAAAACACCATTTTAAGTGTAATTTGTTCAGAGGCACTTAATCTCTATTTCGCTTAATCACCTCCGGGGTACAGTGACTGTAATTGTTTCAAAATAAGAAATAAGTCATCTGAAGACCCAGGTTCTTTCTCAAGGGAAGCAATATGAGTATTGCTAGATGTTTCATATTATTATGTTTAAAGATGCAATTTAAAATCTAACATAACGTGATGAAATCAATACGGTGTTATTGCTAAAACAGTAATTAATCTGCGTAGGTATTACATGATCTCTAACATCTTACTTTTCACCTCCTTCCCATCACCTGGGCCTGACCAGGTTTCTCCTGCATGCAGGTCAGCCTTGTTAGTTCTCATATGGGTAGGAATAGCATCACTAATGGGAAAGAGGCAGAAGGAAGTTCAAGAAAAACCTCAGATTGTCTTCAAGAAGCCTGAAATGAATACAAGACATACTGCATCACTGTATGCAGCTGTAGTTAGACAAGAAAACATTTTTAATTGTCAAGTGATTAAGATGCCCTTGTTTTAAGGTGTTTCTTGTCACTTTCCTGCCCTTTTCCAGCCCCTTATCAGCTGGTTTCTGTAGCAGACAGAAGGCTGTTCCCAGGCTGCTTTGTGCTAACCTTCACTTTGGCAGCCTGTCTGAAATGAGTACTTGGTCCAGATACATAAACCAAGACTGACTTCAGACCAAACAGACAAATGTTCCTGTTCACTTGTCTCTGTAAGCTGTAGATGTCCAGTTCGGGACAAACAACAGCTGTGGTAGTCATTACACATTCTTTAAGGTAGGCAACAACGGGCTGTAGCTGTCAGACCCTTTGAATAATGTTTGTGGAATTTATTTACAAGTCACCCTGTACACAAGTTCTTGCTAGAGCTGGGAGCCACATGGCTCTCTGCTTTACACTTACTTAGCAGTTTATCCTCAAGTAGCTTTTTTGTTGTAACACCCCTTGTTGAGAAACACAGCCTACTTCACAGCTTTTTCCCAAGATTTAAAGTGTTTGGATGAAGAAACCTTAAGTTCTTCCCATTTTAAAACAGACCTTATACATTGCTTATCCGTGGATGGCTCACCTCCTCAGCAGCCCAACACCACGCTGTTCTATTGCATTATGGAGTACTGGAGTCTTCAAACCCACTCAGCCCTCCTGTGAACCTGGAGTGACTTGAGTGCTACATAAATCTTCACCAGTACCCACAATCTTTAAAGTCAGTCAACAATAGTGGAATCATTCAAGACCACTCTTATTTTAACACAGCAGAATCTAAAGAGCTTTAACATAATCCTCAATCCTTCTCAAGACATAATGTGCAATGGTATTACTTGCTGCCATTTCCCTTCCCAAAGGGAGTTTCTTTTTATGTTTAAATACATTCAGAAGTAGGTAGTGCCACTTTTAAATGCCCCCACACCTACTAAATCAAGAGGCATAGCCACATGGTGCTTTGAATACAGTGCAAATAACAGAATTCACTTTACTGTACTTTAATAATCATTGTGTTCATCAGAATGACTGAAGCACAGATGGATTACCATGGGAGAAGCCTACTGTTTGCTAATTATGGCAATTTGGTTTTGAGGGGGAGAAGACTAGAGTTCAATAACATGCAATGAAACCCTAACTGCTACCCCTGGAACAGGTAAGAACTGAACCAATCTGACCTGTTCTGAAGTTAACAGTTTACAACGTAGAGAAACGGGTGCACAGGGAACCTTCATTGGTCTAAGAATCACTGTACGATACTAGAAGCACACAGCACTTTTATGTAAAGCAACAGCTCTACATCCTGTAACAATTTTGCTCCATGAAGATGTAAGCAAAGAGTTTTTTAATAATGCAACAAGTCAAATTAGTAAACCTGTTCAGTCCTATTTGTGTCTTCTAACAGCTCCATCAGAAAACAAAGTATGATTTTAGTGATGGATCTTCCACGGTGTTAAGCCCTCACTTACAAGCACTTCTGTGCAGCCTTTCAGCAGTGTTTTTGTAGTTGAGAAAAAGACAGAACATGGCACAAAACTTTTACTTTATGCTTTCATAACCCACCTAGCAAAGCAATTCAGATGATTTTTATTCTAAAAATAAGTCTATTCTTTTCAATAGGAGAATGCCTTAGTAATATAGGATGTTTAAGTTGAAGTTTACACTTAAACCCTTAGTTTTTCACTTAGGTACGCACCTTGTACTCCATGTTCAGCTTACTCTGCTTTGTTAAAGCAGGTAGCAGCAAGATGCACAGAAGAGCAATCACGTAGAACAGCTCTTTTCCACATGTCAGCGTGCAGCTGCAAAAGATGGACGTTGCAGGAGGGAAAGCTGCTCCCATCCTTACAAGAATTCCATGAGCACTGTTTTCACCGACATGCGCCACACAAGTCCACCTCTTGCAAAGGCAAAACCTTCTGCTGCATGCAGAGGCAATGGAAGTTTGGCCAGCTGTTGCCCTCCCTGAGCTCCTGGGCAGGCTGGCAAGGGCTGCAGGTTTGTGGTACTGCACTGCCTGGTTGTTCAAGAATGCGTTCTCACAAAAACACTCCTTGATTTCCAAATGTGCTCTGATTCTTTGAGTTCTGACAAGTTTCACTTGTGCCCTGTAAGCGACCTCACTGCTCCACTGACACGCACTGATATTGCTTGGTTTTAGAACGAGGAGTATGTTCCAGACTGTAAAAGTCCAACAGAACGTTTTACAGACGTTCCCTTAAGGAACTTATCTGCATTTCAGCTCGCTCATCAGCTCATTTTCCTCCTTTCCCTTCTGGCAGGCTGTTCTATTTGGGCTTGCGAGAAGCTCATCCTTAGGAAGAGGCGCTTCTGGTGCTGGGAGCGCACTCAGTGAGCTCTAAGCACACCGATCCTGGAAGGAGCACCGCCAGCTCCGGCAGGGAACCGAGGCTGGGCATTCACTCACGGGAGAAAGAAGCGGAGTTAAAGCAGTAGAGCAGGAGGTCCGGCACCGCGCAGCATGGATCCGCTCTGCAGGTCTTCCACCCCACCAATACCGACGCGGTAAAAATACCAAACCCTGTCTTCAAATTTTCAACTCATCCTTTTGACAGCAAACAATGGCTCCAGGATCTCGTTTAAGTGGCTCTCTTTATAACCTGTGGCCGCGACGGCATCCCTGCGTGCTGCGGAACGCCCATACACACACCGTACACACACGGAGCAGCTCCTGCCCGCCCAGCGCTGCCGTCGGACGGTTCGTGCCGCTCCGGAGCGTCGCTCGGGACTCACTGCTGCCTTTTACAGCCAGTTAGCGTCCAAACGAAGCGGACGCCCGTCCTGCACGGCAGCGAGCTCCGAAGGAAACGGCGCGTTCTTTCCGTCATCGCAGATGACTTTTAACACAGTTACATCGCTGTACGTCCACGGCTCCACCGGTAACGCTTCTCCCTCCCGCGGGGCCCCACTGTCCCTACCCGGCCATGCCCCGCCGGGAGAAGACCATGGAGCCGCCCCGCTGCTGGCAGGGGCCCGGCCACGGCTGCAGCCGCCGCTCCGTCAGACAAAGACGGCTGCGCGGCGCCGGTACCGGCGGTCCCCACCTCCCACCCTCGGGCTCCCCGCGCTCCGCCGCCGCCCCGCGTCCCTCCGTCGGCCTCGGCCCCTCCCGCGCGACCCCCAGGTCCGCCCCGCCGCGGCTCCGGCTCCCGCTCCCGCCGCCCCGCACTCCCTCGCCCACCCTCCCCGCGCGCCCCCCGCCGCTCACCTTGCTGCAGGTCCTGCTGGTCGTACCACGGCTCATCCTCGCGGATCTCGAACTCCTCCACCAGGCTGTCGGCCAGCATCGCGCCCTTCCCTAGCGGACAGGGCGCAGCGCTCACCTCGCGCCGGGCGGCGGCGGGGCAGGGCGAGCCGGCTGCCGCTCCTCGCCTTAAAAGCCGCCTCCGGCCATTGCCGAACGTTTCCGGACTTTGCCGAACCTCTCCCCCTTCTGGTCGGGCTGTGCGGAGCCGCCGGCGACAACGTGGCACGCTATAGCCGCCCGCCCACCGTCGGCCCGCGATTCAAACACTACGCCCTCACCTCCTCTGCCGAGAGCCAATAGGGAGCCGCCCGCAGGGTAGATCGAAAGGAGCGCCGGCCAACCAGGAAGCGGAGTCACGGCAGGCGGCCAATGAAAGAGAAGGAGGGGTTGGCCCTAGCCAGCCGGCCCTCCCCCAGCGTCCCGCTGCGCAGCCTCCGGGCGGAGGAGGTCGGTCGGTGCCCGCGGAAGGGGCGGTGGCGGCAGGGCTCGAGGCGTTCGCGGCGTTCGCGGCGGGGAGCGGCCGCCGTGGGGGGGTTCCGGTGTGGCAGAGGTGGCGGCGCGCCCGGGAGTGCTGGGTGTCCCCGCGGTGCCCTGTGAGGCGGTGCCTGGGCCCCGCTCTCCACGCGGTCAGCCCCTCCCCGCCTTCCCGCCCGGGGAAGGTTCTGCGCCGGGGTGCGGAGCGGAGGGCGCCGTCCCCGCGGGTCCGTCTGCCGCTCGCTGTGCGCCTCCGCAAGGCGGAGAGCCTCGCCCCTCAGCGCCGGGCGGCTCTGAGAGGGCGGCAGCGCGGCGTGCCCGGGGCTGGGATACCCGCAGGTTCGGGAGCCCTGGGAGCTCTGCGTGCGTCTGCCCTCCGCGGGGTTTCCTTTCAGCGGTGCTTCCCCTCAGGGCTTCCCCTGAGGACTCGAAAAGCGCCGGTTCTTTGCTCTGCCCTCAGCGCTGCGCTGCGGTGAGGCGCTGCTACGAGAGGCGGTGCGGCCGGTGCGCTCTGTGACTCAGGGCTGTGCGGGAGGCTCACGCGTGTTTCATTGTTGTACAATTAAAGAACACGTCTCTGGGGAAGGGAAGCGTGGAACCTCGGCTTCTCACCGAGGCGATTCACACGCGAGGCGCGGGAGCAGATGTAGCGTTAGGGCAGGAGCCGAGTCAGATCCTGTGCTGCACTGAGTCATGGCGCTGGAGGCGGGTCGGCGCATTGTTAGGAGGCTGTTGTAGAAGAAAGATGCTTGTAAGTTTTTAGGAGCGACGGGAGCAGTTTCTTATTTGTGCGTAGGAAGGAACTGAGTCAAATACGACTTGAGAATGTTAATGCTGAGCGTTTATCTCAGTGCTCTTGGAATCTGAGGTCGGGGCCCGCAGTTCTCCACTGAAAACCTACAGGGTTACAGCTGGACTGTGGTTTTCCAAAAGCCCCGAGGTCTCACACCGACATCATTAAGTACACTTAATGATTTGGGAATGACTTTGGGAAGATGTGGATACACAGTTTTAAAAAGCACACTATTCTTATCGATAATCACCTTTCACAGTTTTTGATATCCCTCTTTTTAAGCATAAACATTTCACATGGGCATCTTTTCAATAACGTAGGTTTCTCAGTTCGGTTTATGAAACCAAACTTGCTACAGAGGTGCAAAGCCTGGAATCAATCACCTGGAAATGGAAAATTCTGTGAAAAATGAATATGATGACAAGCATGACAGTCACACTCAGTTATCTGAAAATTGAGTCACGTTTTTACAAATAAAAGACCTTTGGATGGCTGTTTGAAAATTGCATGTTGGATAAAATTGTTAACGTGGTGCGGAGGAGGAAGGGGTGCACAGCTGGCAGCAGGTTGTGCAGCTCTGCAGTTAGCAGGTATTAAGGCTGAGATGTGTGCCTCCAAAGGAATGGCAAATAGCTCCTCTCAAAGAGATGTTCAGATGGATAAAGCCTTGGTTAGAAAAAGCAACTCAAGAGAAATATTTCTGTATTGGGATTCTGGAATCTAATCTGGTCAAGAACATAAAGGGAATATTTGCTTTAGAAGGTGGGGGTTCCCTGGAGCTGGCTGTCTCCACAGGGTGCTTTGCAGCACTCATACTTCAGTTACTTGCTGGAGACACGTGGAAGAAGTCAGCAACTCAGAGAGCTGTTGGCTGAAGCTCTGTTTGATTTATCACAGAGCTCTGCATTAAAGAATCTCTGTTATTTGGACATACTTTAATGCTGTAATGCTCTGCATGAGTCACTTTCTGGATTTTGTTTACATGCTGTCTCCTCTAGTATGAAAATGTTTAGACTGTTAAAAAGTGCTTGGATAGCTCCATGGTTTCTGTTCATGTCTGATTTGTTTATTAGGTGTAAGTATTGCTTCCATGTTCGTTAAGTATTAGCATTTAAAAGTACAAACCCAAAACTTTGTTTTGAAAGGAATGCTTCCTAGTGTTTGCTGCATTTGGACATTCACAGCAATGGAACGTGTAGGGCTGTGGGCTGACTCACTTCATTCCTGCACAGAGCTTCGTAGCTTTAAAACTACATAGCTGGCAAGATGTAAAGTGTGTGCAATTACTTTGACCTCTGCACCAGAATTGGTCTTTGCAAACGCTAATTTTTATGTGCGCAGAAATTATTCTCTTAAAATTTGGTCTACCTGTTCTGTTGACTTTTAGCTGATGAGGTTTAGAAATGTCGCTGAATTGATATTCTGCACCTGTGTGGTTTTGTGCTCAGAGGAAGTGAGGATGTGGAGATCTTGATGCTAGAATCCATTTCCACACCTCTGATATGAATCTCCCACATCCTTTGACTTTGGAAAATTATTTAACCAACTATTGTAATTCTTTCCTGTACCTTGAGGAAGAAGAGGCTCACGCAGTTGGGAAGATGAAGTTGGCTTTGGAAATCCACCCCAATGCTCTGGCGTATTCCATGACCACGTTGGGTGCTGGAATGATGAACAGTATCTTTAATTTCTACTACGTCAAGCTTTTCCTAAACCGATACAGAATTTCAGAAGTAGCATTTCATCAAGCACAGGTATTGTATGATGGATATGTTGGTTTTCATGGTGTGTTTGCATCTGTGATATTGTAACAAAGGTGAAGTTTTTTGGTTTGTTTTGTGGTGGCATTTTTTTACTTATTAATTCCTTTTGAATGCAAAGCAAATGGTTATGCAGTACTTCCTGTTAAGTTTTGATATTGCATATGCAAGAATATGTACAAATGAAACACTGTTTACAATCTGCAGACAAAAATCTCAAACTTTGATTGCTGGGAAGATTAACTTGAAGTAATCTTTTAAACTAATCTTGCATCTCAGCTGCAGAGGTACATTTATGGATTGTTCAAGTACTTAAATACTGCCCCAGTTCTGCAAGTCCTTAGCTGGGTGTGCAGCTCCTGCTGTAAATTCCAGCAGGCAACGAGCTGGCTCATGTTCTGCATCACTTGCAATGAGTGTGCAAGGTGGGAGCTGTCAGAGGAGTGAGGTTGTAGCCATGGGGGTTCACCAGGCATTGGGCACTGCCTACTTACGCTTTCTTTTTTTATTCTATTTCATAATCACTGTAAACCTTTAAATACTTTTGATAATTTGGTCCCAAGTCTGCTTTTGTTCTTTCTTTTATTCTTCAAGTAGAGATTCTTTAAGTAGATATGGTGTTTATTACTTCTTGCCTGTATAACCTCTGCAGAAAACTCACACTGCTAAGTTGTGTTCTGTTTGTCCCAGGTTGTATTTATGATATGGAACGCCATTAATGATCCACTTTTTGGCTATATTCAAGACAACTCCCAGTTGCCATGCTGCTCCAGACGCCAGTTTTCAATTCTGTACGGAGCTCCGTTATACGCGTTAGCCTTTTTGCTTCCTTGGTTTCCTTGGAGACATTATGAAGAAGGTGACTGGCTGAGTGGGCTGCACCTCATTGTCGCGTTGTGTGCTTTTGATGGTTTGCTCACCTTTGTGCTGCTCGCACAGTGCGCGCTCTTTGCAGAAATTTCAACAAGACATGAAAGCAGGCTTCAGCTTATAAAATACAACCAAGTAGCAACATTGATCGGGTCAACAAGCGTTCTCTTTTGTGGCCTGATATCAGATAATATGGAAAATTTTGCTTATTTTCAGGCTTTCGCTGTTTTGATTGCAGCGTTAGCAACAGCTTGTATGTATTACACAGGCAAATACAGTACCAGTCAGTATGAGCAGAGAGGAGTTCTTGCTGAGAATGCTGATCGAGGAAATGGTGACAGAGCTCTCTCCTGGTCCTCGGTGATCTCATTAACCAAACAGATTATGACAGAGAAAAACTTTTTATTTTTTGTTACTATGAACTTCTTCCAAGTTTTCCACTTAGCCTTCTGCAACAATTTTATGATGATCTTTGCGGATAATCTCATTCCTCAGGATGTCCTTTCTTCTTCTGTAAGAAGCATCATGTATGGAGCAGGCTTCATTTGTCCTCAGGTAGGCAGGATCACGTTTTGAATTTCAGAATACAAGAATGTGGTGTTTTGTCTGTCCTCGTTAGGTTAAGGTATCTGTTTACACTGCTTGTTGAAAAAATGCTGTACCCTACATGAACGATTGGCCATACTGAGAAGCAAATCCAGTTCACCAACGCTCTAAAAGAAAATGCCCATGGGTACAGTCTAACCAGGTGGAAGGCTGGGTTAGTGAGAAGGGACAAGCAGGCAGGCCAATAGAAAATCATTTTACAGGAAGGTGAAATATGAGCGTGCAGCAAGTCCTACAGGATTCATAACACCTAAGTGTAACTGAAGAAAAACGTGGCCGAGAAAAAGTTTCTGTAAGCAAAAATGTAGAATTTGGAGTACTTTTCTCTTTGATTTTGATTTGCAATATACAATGAAAGAATGATCTCTTCCTTGGTAAGTTTTTAAAACAAACTGCAGAAGGCACTGGAAAAGTTACTAACGGCACTACTGAAATATGTATCTCAGTCACAGGAACAAAACAAAACTCGCTGCTTTTGGGGGATAATACATTCCCATTTGTTTTCTGTTTGCTGTCTTTGTCAGCTGTGTACACTGGGTATGGGGAAAGATGGTTTCATGACTCCAGCAGGGATGGGAGTAGGAGGAATTAAAGGTAAAAGAAAGGAGAACCCAAACCAGTCATAATGTGTGAGCAAAAGAAAACAGCAAAAATGTGTCCCACAGAGTGCAAACACTTTTGTCTGCAGCGAATAAAAAAATTTGTTGTTTCTTCCCTTCTAATATCTTGCAGTGGATTTTTAAAACTTTCCTTGTGTTTACTGCTGGGTTTCCCAAAAGCTGAGAATGTAGACTTGCAGCACAGGTACCGATGGCACTGGGAATTTCTGAAAATGAATGTTCTTTAAGTTGTAATGCTTTTCTGTAGGGAGAACTTAGGAGAAGGAGCAATTGCAATTCACAGTTCTATTTCAGTTACCTTTTTGGCTGTTGCACGTGTAACGCAGAGTCCCTGACTTTTTTCTCTCAGGATCTTATGCATACCTTTTCTGTTCTATAAAGTGAATATTAATCATCCCAACTGTAATCTTTGCCACAGGTTTTAGAGTGTTTTGGTTGTGTTTTTTTTTTTGCTCAAACAAGTACGAACTTTGAAAGTAAATCAGAAACCTCAGAAGTAAGGAAAGATGAAATGCACTCAAGATATAGCAGTCATCAGTTGCTGAAATCACTGTGACAGTGTGAAGCAAACAATCTTTCAGAAGATGCATTTCTCTCTGCTCCCCAGACGCTTTGTCTCAACGGTCACTGAACCGTAGCATGTGCTGTGACCTTATTTCTCTCAGGTTTTGTCCCTTTGAGTTCAAGATATAATAAGAGAATTCTCTGGTGGCAATGTCCTGAGCTTCACTTACTGGCAGAGCACCCAGCCCGTGTAAAACAAAGCACCTTCTTACAGACTGCTCCAGAGGTCTGTGCTGGGATGGGCTGCAGCTTCTGTCTTAGGTTCCTTGTAGCAGCGGGTGCAAAGAGTACAACCTGCCTTTCAGGGTCAGCCTGTTGCTGAAACAAATCTAAATGTAAAGCATTACTAAGTTACTGTTTTTCATAGAAACATGCTGTTTTAGAAATGTGCAGGTAGTAAGGGATTTCTAAATGGTGCTTCCCGGGACAGGGCCATTCTCAGTTACAGAGAGAAGATTGTGTTTCTTACAATAACACACTTAACATCTTAGAATGCATCATGTAAGCACAATTCTGCAAACACCAGAGAACAGCAGGGGAATGGTAGGTTTAGTTTCTTACAATCAGATCTTCTTACTATACCAACTTCCCAGATTTGTTTTCCCTCTCTGTTAATGAGGGCATTCAATAATAGTTAGCAATGTGAGGAGCAGTACTTTCCTGGGGATGTGACAGTTCTTACCTAGCTGGAGTGGCAGGACCATTCATACCTGGTAAAGCTCACAGAGAATGATCCACTAGATATTTCTCTTTGTTCAATTCTTATGTTTTTATTTGGTTTGTTCTTTTTAGGGAGCTTTTTTCCTTCTCGTTTGATATGTAGTATGATATGTTTATTTGTGTCTTTCTGTCCTTGACAGGTCTCCTAATGCTGAAACACTGTGCTGTGTCTTTGCCTCATATATTTGTATTTCTTTTCAGTGCCTTGTTCTTCTCAGTCATGCTTCGTTGAAGAAGTTTGGTTACTACAGAATCATCTTGTTTTCCTTTTACTTTGAAGGAGTAGCTGCTGCTGTCATGTTTGTTCTAGGACCAGGACATTACTATCTCTTGGCATTTTATCTCACAACAAACATGTAAGTAAGTACCCTTCTTTTTTTCATACATACCAGTTAAATAATTTCAACAGAGTGGACACCTGTTTCTGTAGCATAAAGATTTTGACACTGCTTTTTTTTTTTTCTTTCTGGTCTGTTTCATCTGTCAGGAAACTGAAAACTTCTCTCAGCTTTCACTTCAGCTTTTAATTTCTTCTTAAAATCCAACCAAAGAAAAAACAAAGCAACACAAAAAACCCAAACCCATGAAAAGTAACTCAGGTTTGCAGCCAAATCCCTCCAGCTATATCTCTGTTTTAACATGAGACAAATTCAGATTCAAGAGAAGCAGAACCACTTTTCAACCACAGAGACAGAGATCTCAGTAGAGAAACTCTTCAGACAGTTTGCTGGAGAGCCTCAGACCTCATTTGGTACTGAATGAACCTTTGTGGGTTGCACTGCAGAACAAGTAGCAATGAGTCAAGTATCCATTAGATAACCAGTGCTAAGTTGCATTTTCAGTGATAGCGGGGAAGTATGATACCAAGAAATAGAAGTTGCATTGAGGAAGTACATTATTACATATGCAAAAATTTAATTAAAAAAGACCTGCTTGTATACATCAGTTCATTTTTCTCTCTGTGTTTCCTGTTACACTGCTGCATTTCTACATGTTCTTTCCTACCCTTTTTTTTTCCCCGTTTTCATTCTCATTTTCAGTATTTCATGGGCTACTGTAACACTGAGCTGTGTGGCCAATAAATTGCATTTCATTGCCTGCGTACTTTAAATGATGAAGATATATTTGGATTTCCCCAGGAAAATCTTATAAGGTACCTAAAGGCTGTTTAAAGTGCTAATTGTTCATAGCCTCTTGTAAGTGCAAGCTAATCACAGCCAAAATGTAATGAAATGAAGAAATTCTATTATTTGAATACAGTTTCAGTTCAGCAGTTTTACTAAGATCAGATTTGTGTATGTGTGAACATACATACATATATATGTATGCAAAATGTGAATGTGTGTAGGAATACATATAAGTTTTTTTTTTACTGTTCTCATTCTACTTTGAAGTTTGTCTTACATCTGATCTTTCCAGTCCTCTCCAGTTGTTCAGACTTCAACAGGAAATTTGCAGTTTTTCTTTCTTCTTTAGCGTTTCTTTTCTTCATGTCATTTTAAATAATGGTTGGTGATAACATCAAGCAAGTATTTATGACTTTTTTCATCAGTGTCCAGGAAAAAAAAAAAGGGGTGAAAAAAACCCCTTTTAAGTATGCCTATCGATTTCTAATTCACAATTAAGAGCAGATCTAACAGTGCTTTCAGTTTGTTTCAAGACACATTGCCGAGTTTTAGTGTCAGCTTTGTGTGTTTGAGGACTGTGAGTGTGGTTGGGTGTCTGTGCCTGCATGTTGGATTAGGCATCAATTACCATTTTTTATTATGAAAATGTATTTTTTTAAAATGTTTTGTCTTCCTTTAGGGTAATTGTACAAGCTTCGTTTAGTTTGTTCAATTTGCCTTTGGCAGATATTGTTGATGCAGATTTAATCAAGCACAAGCGAAGGTATGTCAGTCTTCACTGTTTTTCTTGAAAGATGCTGTGTGTTTGCCATGCTACTCTTCAGTAAATTGGAGTATGTCAGAGTAGAGGCAGTAAGTGATTGGGTGCTTGTCACAGAAGTGCATCCTGTGAGAACAGCATAGCACAAATAGGGAACTTGAATGAAGTTTCCTGCAGTTATTTCAGCAGAGTAACTTGAACAATTTATTAGGCCATTTCTAGTTTTAATTGCACTGCTGTATACTCCAAGTTCTTCATGGTTTTTTTTTTTGTGTGTTTATTCATATCAACTTAAATTGAATTATTTTGTAATCCAGTGCATCCATTGTCACCTTTCTGACACTGAAAAGAGTTTAGAAAGTTTAACCTGTGCTGCTCAAGGTGCAAATTTCAAAGTCTAAGTGGCTGCTGTTATCTCTCTGAAAAGAAATCCAAGATAAAACCTGCAGAGGCCTTGCATACGACAACTGATAGATCTCTGGGATTTATATCAGAGTGCAAATAACTTCCTGCTGGTTCCATCAATGATTGTATTAGTGCAGATTCAATCTCAGTGAAAGGGTATTAAAGGACTTCACCCTCAAAGGTGAGAACTGGTGCACTTCCTTTCTTGGGCTCTCAAGCGTATTCTTAAAGTGTAACTAATTTTCCATGCACTGTTCAGGTTAGCTTTGTTTCAGAGCCAACAGCTGAACTTGAGTGCAAGTCATTTCAGAACTGGGGCCAAGATGTATGGAGCCCAGAGGTTTTTTACCTTCTGTTTCCACAGAAAATGAGATTTCGTTATGATAGCTGGCCAGTGCATGAAATGTATGAAATACAGCAGCAGTGTATGAAAGACGAAGCTAGCGTTTGCATATTAACAGGATTTAAAGTATCACTGCTGTGATGTGTATTTTTACTTTCTGAAATGTCTAGATCACCGCTTTCCTCTATGGTTTTTGGTACCAATGCTTTATTTACCAAGCCTGCCCAGTCCTTGGCTCCAATGCTTGTGGTTACAATACTGAATCAATTTGGTTATGAGAGCTTGAATAATGAAGTTGCTCAGCCTGATCCAAGGTGAGTTCAAAAGGGATGCCTTAAATCAGAGAAACTAAATGGAAATAATCCTGTCATATAAAAAACACATTAATCTGCTGTTAGTTTTCACCAGCTGCACTTCAAAAACAGTTTACTGTGTGGTATTTTTTGTTGTTAGGTAGAAATAGAAATGTTTTCTAGTTTGTTGGTTTTGTTTGTTTTTAAGAATAAACCTTCTATCAAGCAATACATTTGAGGATACCTACCTAATTTTTGGGGGGGGAAGGATACGTTGCAATATTTAACCACTTTTGGTTCTCTGTGAAAAATAAAAAGAAATTACCCAATACTTCTTATTAAGATAGATGCAGTCCTGGCTGCTGTATTTTGTTATCTCATAAGTCTATTTCCTTACATGTATAATCTTAATAGGGTTGCAGCTAAGATTTTTTTATTATTATTATTTGAGAGAAAGCAGTTTAATCACTGGAGGGAGGGAATTTGCATCAAGGAGTATCATTTTGACTTCAATACTACTTACCATTCTAATGCTAATGATTTCATTGCTTTCCCTAGAGACCTTAATGCGGAGCATAAAGCTGTGGTTGCTAGCTAACACATTATAAATGCATGGGCTTTTATAAAAACAAATTATCAGGGTTTACACTAAAAAGGTCATAGGCTTTTATGACCAACAAGAAGAAGTGACAACATAAAGAATAACTGGAGTCAGGACTAAAAGGCAAAAATCAGCCTGATCGGGATTTGCTTGAAAGAACAGCACAGATATCCTAGGAACTATAGAGCTTCTCTAAATTCTGTGTACAACGTTTAAAAAATACGTAGCAGACAATTGTATAGAGACTTCTGTGGAGGTAGGCCTTCAAGGAGAAGAGGCTGATTTTGTGTCCTCTAATGCTGGGAAAATGTTTTATATTTGAGGAATTTTCCAAAATGAAAAAAGAGGAGGAAAGTACAGCATAAAAGGACAACAGGTGGTCTTCTGAAAAGCATCCTGACATAAAGAAGGCTGAAGTTTAAGACTATGCCTGAGAACAGTTCCTTTGATTTCAATTCTGTAGATAGCCAGCCAGAGAGAAGTTGTGAAGAGGACACGAATCTCATTATAATGTCAAATTAGATTACTGATTTTTGCAGAAGAGCAAAAGATGTGACTGAGTGGATGTTGGATTGTGAGAGGGCTGAATATATTAATCTGGAAGGTTCAGAGAAGTTCAGATTTAAAGCATGAAAACTGCAGATCTGATCCAACTTAATCAGAGGAATGATGCCGTAGTGGATAGATTCAAAATCACAGTGTTCTAATTTTTTGCCCAGTAAGTAGAGTCTGGACTACAAGAACAATACATTTATTGAACACAGAGTCAAAATACTTTCAATGCTCACTCTCTGAAATCTGTATTTTCCATTGAGTGATGTTGAAATTGATTTATTTAATTGCAAGGTACAAAACTGAGATTCAGGGAACACCACAAATATGCTGTCTGTCTATCATCATACCTATCCCCTCAAAAACGATTTCTTAGGCAGAAGCAGTCTGCATGCATTCTCTGTATATATGAATGCATACATGCACATCAGCCCTGAACTCCAAATTTGTCTGTCCCAGTTTGATCTCAGTAATTGGACTTTTCTACCAGCTAGTTCACAAATCCTGTAACCTCTCTGGGGAAGAATAAATGAAAATATTACAAAATATGACTTTCTGGGCTGGTCGTTATATGCTCACTTATCCAAGCATTCCAGAGACCTCGTCTGTTCTACTCTTCCTCTGTATTGAAACCTTTCAGCTGACCGTCAGCATTGCCTCCTTTGTACTTACCTGTGCCAGTATTCAGTTCTGCCTCACTGACAGTACCTTAGATATCAGAAATGCCTTCTTCCTTAGGAGGAACCCAGTTCTGTGATTTTGAATGCATTATACATTAATGTATTATGCCACATTCTTAGGGGATGCTGTAGCTCCACATAAGTTAAGCATTTTGTAGTGGAAGCCAGCTTCAGAATTATTTTTGCTTTTGTTTTTTAATGTGATATCCTTAAAGTTTGAGGAACAGTTTGTAGACAGAGTAGCTGTTGTTGCCTGTTTGTTTTGTACTTTTACTTCATCATGGTAACATCAAATATTACCTGTCTCCTATGATTGATTTTTTTACTTATTATGTTTTGTTATGCAATTGAAAAGATATGTAGTTTCAAAACGCCCTCTTCTGGAGAGCTACTGCAACAGCAGTTAACTTCTACAAACCTGCTTTTAGCTTGTCCTTCAGTGAAGGGCTCTTAGCGGCACTTTGTTGATGCATTTGTATTGAATTGCTGGACTGCATCACTTTCTGTTCAGACCGAGGGAAGCCTAGGGATAGACTGTGTGTTTTATTCCTGCATGTGCAAAGAATGACTGAAGATGGAAAACTTCATTAGGTACTGGTACAACTCATTACTGTGACAAAACATGAGCTCTGCTCTTGATTTATCTCAACCCCTTAATGAAATAGTTTTCCCATTCGTTGTTTTCTCTAGATATTTGTCATAACTTGAGGTTTTAACACAATTGATGTTATTATTTTCATGAACCAGTATTGTTCCACTGAAACCAGATCAGGATTGCATTTGTGAAAGTCAGTAATTTGGCAGATGTTCTTTCTTTTTTGTCCCTTGTTTTGTGTAAACATGGAAGAATTTAGTGTTTAAAACTGCAGTCCTCTTTAGGGTGTAGAACAGGCAAAGTGCAAACCCCACCACGCTGTTAACTGTGTCTGAGTTCTGTCTTCAACTTCAGATGGGTAAGAAATTTGTCTAAGGCATCCCGGCCAGCGCTGCTGGTATCAGTAACCATTGGCAGTTGTGATGGTGGTGTGCATGAGGCGGCCCTTCTTTATTTGTGCGGAAAATGCAATTGAATTCAGGCCAGTAAACAACTTCCAAGTGGTAAATTGTTGTTGCTGTGGACCAGTGACCTGCTAGTTAACAGTTTGCATTTCTTAAATGTGATTGCCCAAGTGATCATGTAGTTCATCTGAGAGCCTGTGGTTTTTGTTTCCTTACAGAGCATTAGCATGGACGTGATTTGGGATAAATTGTGATCAGTGTGGGTGTGGGCATGTATGTACTGAGGAATAAATCTAGGCTGTGTTGGGGTTACGTTGGAGATAGCGAGCATTCTTCTGTTAAATACAGTAAGAGATGAGTTCATTCTTTTATGATTTAGATAAACTCTTAGATTTTATTCAAAACCCTGCTCCATTTTACAAGACTTTTGTTCACAAATTTCAAGGTTTTCTGCATCATGTCCATAGCTGTTCTGGGCCTCCAATCCTTATACCTGAATGCTAAGAAAAAAGCAAATAACAAGAACTGATCTTCTGAAAGATAGTTTGGGTCCTGTTTCTCAGCTTGAGTTGACTTTCCTGATATTTAAGTAAAAATTAAAATTCGGTAATGAACAGAATGTCAGTAGATAATTCTAGTTACTAGATGAATGCCAGAATGTGTGCTTTAAGATGTCAGAAACCGTACTGGATAACACAAGAAAAGTTATCTATCTCTCATATTCTCCTTTTTGATTCATAGTTAATGATGCTTTTATTCCTTAAGATTTAGATCAAGAAATACCATTTATTCAGGAAAATGAATGAGAATCTGTGTATTATGTTAGTGGCTTCCATTATCTTGTGAAAATTTATTTCAAAACAATGAGATGAAATTAATCTTTCTATTTCAAGCAATTACACCATACCTGAGCATTAATCATAACTCCCACCTTGCATTCAGCAGCTGTGGTAACATACTATGTAGATAGCTAGTAGTTCAGATGTGAAATATTTCATATTAAAATATTTGTTTCTACTACAGTTTTTCTTTCTCTTCCAGAACATTCAGTGTCACTAAACCTTTTCTGATGCTCTGTTCTATGATTGAATCACATTGCTTTAAATTATTTTCTGTATTAAATAACACAGATGTGTAGTAAAGTAGTTATCTCATTTCCTCTCAGCAATTATGAGAGAAGTAAACACTATAAAATATATATCTGTATGTAGAATCAGAAAATATACTGGAAATATATTTGATATCCGAGATATTTCCTCTATTTAGAATTGATTGTTCACAGTAATGTGTATGTGAATATTTAAGATAAATGATTTAAAATAGTTTGTTATGAAATGACCGTAGAAATCAATTGTTTATCTTCTTCATCTTGAAAGCTGTGTTTTCATGTTTTTCACCAGCCTGTTTTTAGGTCTTCATGACGCCATGTTCTATTTGATCTGTCTGGTTCCACTTTGCATTGCAGTCGTACAGATCGTGACGTGGACTCCCTTTTCAATCCAGAATAGTCACATGGCAGCTGCACACTAATATTTAACTGTTGGTCATTAAATCGTCTGATGAACCACACCACAAAGGACTTAGCATATTTTAAATGTGAAAAAGCAAGATTGCCTTCAGTGGACTGTCAGACCAAATACAGTTTGAGCCACTTCAATGATATTGCACCCTTCTCTGTAATGAATGTAACAATCCACGTTCAGCCTTAATGATGAGCCTATATAGAGGGGTTTTTGAGTTGAGTTATTTAAATGTATTGTGCTTTGTCCATAATTACTACTGAGGTCATTTTTGATACATACTGGTCACTGTTACCTACTTTGAAGAACGGATATGGCAGATCAGGTGAGGGAATCCCAACTCAGCACTTGGAATTTGAGGGATGTATGTTCTTAACCTGACTGAAAGGTGGAGGATGAATTCTGTCATACCTGATAAAATGTCAGCTCTCTGAGGTTAGGCCATAAGAGCCCAGAGGGACATCCCTCAGGGATGGCAGAGAGATGAAGAAAAAGATGGAGCTGGTGTCCTGCTGACCAGTATCGACTCAAATCTGCCAGCTGCTACAGGAAGAGGTCCTATAAAAAATCTCTGTCAAACTAAATTAGAAAAAGATTAGAATGTTATTCAATTAGGTGTTATGGAAAAGACTCCATACTTCCTCTTGGCTTTCAAAATGTCTGCACTTGGTGGCAGGTAGATGTAGTTCCTGGCTTTTTGAATGGGAAAATTGTTTTGAGGTGCAGCGTTGTTAGCTTATACAAAACGTCACTGTGGAAAGAAGAACATATGGATAGAGCAGTGTTCACTTAGTTGGTTCAAATCCTAGTACACACATTAAGTCACACTCTACCTGCTTAGTAGTTTTAGATTGGCAAATTTGTTTGTGCTCACCGTTGAATTTAATGAATTAATGATTCATCCAGTTGATGTTAATTTCTGATTTAGCCTTACAAAAATGTCTTCAGGCAAGTTTTTGAATTGATCCTGTGATTTTTCTAGAATAAAGGTTTTTATACAATTTCAGGAACATTGAATCCTATCTCTGTTTCACACATGCTGTCCTAATACTCTTGCTATGAGGGCAGGAGAAAGAAAGCATATTTAATCACACCCATAATCAGTCTAAAGAAGTGAATAGCCAGCTTTAATTGAGGTGGAAGTCTTACTATATGAAATAGTGATAGGAAGTTGACAGTATTTTATGATTGACATAATTTGTTCTCCATTTCTCTGTCATTCATTAAACTTTGTTATCCTTTGCTAAACCAACATGATTGTTTTTGGCCATGAATCAAGTAAAGGATGATCAAATTCAAAAGCTCAGTGTCTTTTAACAGCTGGTTTGCCTGCTTTCTCTCCCTGTTAGCTCCTAGTATCTGAGTTTGAAGTCTTACTGCTGGAAAAATGCCACCATTTATTCTTGATAGTTTAACAGTGTTTAAAATAGCTTCATAATGATAATGGAAATGTAAGTATGTATGAGATAGAATAGGAAGTGTTTTGATAACTTCAGAGAATGGGAAGTGTGATGCTTTAATCTCATTACTTCATGGAGTTTCTTTATAAATTCTGAGAATTTTGATCTTAATAGAGAATATGACACAATAATACACAATAGTACAGTAATATATTTATTGAAAATTGATAAGTAAAGGTGTCTATCAGATTTAAAGTGATATTGTTTAATAGTAAGAAATGTTACTGTGTGATTAGTTATCATCTGGAAAAAAGTAAATGACATCAAAGAGTATTTAGGTAGGAAAAAAAACAGATTCTTTTTTTGTGGAGTTTACAGCTGGCTCTGTTCTTGTTTTGTACAAAATGTCCTTTTTAATATCCTGCTGTGACTTTGAAACTGCTCAGTAATTCATGAATACATTAGGTTGATATGGCTAGTGGGATGTTTACATTAGAGTACAGTTGTGTATCTTAATCGGAGCTGTCAGGAAAGACAAGAAGGAAGGGAGGGAACAGTTAAGATAAGCCACATCTCCACAGATAATTATGAGCTCTATCCTATCAGCTCAGGAAGAAGGTTTTGTAAAGGAACATACAACCAAGACTGGGGGAGTCTCAGTTGTGTCCAGCCTAAAGAGTTGGATGGACCTGCAGACACCAGGAGGCATCTGTGAAAGAACTGGATTTCCTAGCTTACCTTATCTAAAATCCTTTCTCCTAAAGGCATCAATTTTGATTCTCTTACATCCCACTTTCTAGCAGTAACTTTCTTACTTGTAATAGTAATAGAAGATGAAGTTGTTATATTTCTGTGCTCAATTGGGAAAATTGCAGATTTATGTCCTGGAATACTTAAGACTGTCTTAAAAACGCTCCCTTCTTAGGTAGGTATTCAAAACCTCTGGGTATGTTTTGGACCTTTTGCAGCCCAAGTATTAAATCAGCTATAGAAATACTACCTAAAAAGTTAAGGAAAAAGGAGAAATGATTATTTTTTAAAAAAATCCTCCCCAAGCATGCTCATTGCTTTGAATGATGTATACATACACAATGAGTATGTAACAATTCTTAGATTGTCCAGCAATTGATGCCGGGTACAGTTCCACCAGCAGATGTGCAAATAACAAATCAGAATTACTACCTGAATGTGTGCAAATAGTGCATTCTTTATGGCCTGTCAAGAGAAAAATATGCTTATGGTCCAGCTATTGCAGCAGAATATTAATGACAAATGTAACCCCGAGCAGGAAGCTTGAAATGTCTTATTAAAACATACCCAGTTTCTATATTAACAATACAAAGGTAAAAGCTAGTGTATCTCTTATTCAGTATGAAACTAATTATCTGTATTTTACATGTGATAAAATGTTTCCTTGTCACCAGCATGTAATTAACCTAAAGTAATCTTATGTATTTATTTACACACTGCAAGTAGATGTCTGTTAAATCTAGTAGATTCCAGTAGATTCAAGTAGATGCTGTAAGTAAGCAGCAAATTTAGCTTTTTTCACCTTGGATTTTGATTATAAAGCTGTTTTATTCCCGGAGGAAAAAATAAGTTGATTTCCAAGGCTGGGTTTGATCAGTTCTTGATCAGAGGGTCTCCCAGGCGGTAGATGCTGTGTCCTGTGCTGGTTTGACTTCCCACATCTTTCTATCAGGATATGAGGATGGTGGACTTTAAAACTGGATCTGAAGGAAAGAGATTGCTTTCTTTAGTGGTTGTTAAGAAACATTCTTCTGAGAGGCTAGAAGCAATAGCCCTGATACCATTCACAGATGGAATCTCAACTAATGAAAGAGGCTTTGTCTCGCTTTGCACTTATTTTCAACTGGATGTGGTATTCCTCACTGTCTTAGTACAAATAAGTTTGTTCAAACATAAGTGAGAAGAGTGGTGTAACATGTAACCAAACCTACAGGAACTGGGGCTTTTGTTCCGCTAATAGGGTAAGAGATGATGGCCTTAAGTTGTACCGGAGATGGTTGAGGTTGGATGTTAGGAAAAATCTCAGAAGCAGTGAGGCACTGGCACGGGCTGCACAGGGAGACATGGTCGCCATCCCTGGAGGTGTTCAAGAACAGCGGGGATGTGACACTGAGGTCAGTGGCAGGGTGCAGATGGTTTGGGTTGGACTCGGCCATCTTAGAGGTCTTTTCCGACAGGAATGAATCGGTGATTTAAGGCCTGCAATGCGAACCCCGCTTTTTTCCCCTCAGCTCCTTCCCGCCTCAGCGCCTCGAGCTCCGGCTGCTCCGCGCGGGCGCACGCGGGTGTGAGGGCGGGGCGGGGCCACGCACGTGCGCGCCCGAGGGAGGCGGTGCGAGCCTCGGGGAGGGACCGCCACCTTTGTGGGAGCGGCGCGGATCGAACGCCGCCATTCGCCGCTCTGCGGTTCGACAGCGGCGCCCCGCCTGCCCCGCGATCGGCGAGAGAAAGGGACGGAGCGGGTGCGCGCCGGGCCCCGGCGTGTCGCAGCGAAGCGGTCCGGCCGGGCCCCGCCGCCGCGGCGCCGCGTTCCGCCCTGAGGTGTGCGAGCGGGCCCCGGCGGGGCGCCGAGCTCGGCGGGCTGCGCGCCGCCGCTGCCGTGGAGAGGGGAGGCGGCCGCGGGAGGGGGTGACTGCGCGCCCCGTCCCCCGATGAGACTGTGGCCGTGCTGGCTGGGCTGCTACACCCTGCTCCTGTGGGCGCTGAGGAGGAGGATGTGGGCCGGCCCCGCCAGGTACCTGCGGAGCCCTCTATCCAGGTCCCTCTACGCGAATATGATGGGCAGCCACGGCCCGCCGGGCGCCGGGGAAAACCACCAGGTACGGCCGAGCGGCCTCCGCTTGCCCTGCCCCGCCCTCCCCGCCCCTCCGCTCCCCCTCCTCGCGCCCGCAGGGCCCTGCAGGAGCGGGGCAGCGCCGCGGGAGGCGGCGGGAGGGGGCCGGGCGGCCCGAGGTACCGGGGCGGGGAGCGGCCCTGTGCCGGCCGAGGGGCCGCGGGCCCGAGCGAGACAAAGAACGGCGGCGGCCGCGTCCTCCCGGCGAGAAAGTTGACGTGCGCTCCTCGGGTGAGAGGCGGCGGGCGCGGGGGGAAGGGCGGCCGGAGAAAGCCGTGTCGGCGTCCCGGGGCCGCGGCGGCGCGGCCAGGACTGCCGGCCTGCCTGAGCCGCCGTGCCGCTCGTCCCGCTGAGCGAACGCAGCCTGGGCGAAATCTGCCCGGTGCGGTGGATGCGGTGGAGTTGCGGTCGCGCGGGCGCCGTGTCAGTGCCGGCGTGTCGTGAAGGAAGGACGTTCCTGTGGGTGCGAAAAGCGACAATGCTCGCGGAGGCCTCGAGCGGCGGTAGGTGACAAAGTGGAGTTTGCAGGATGACAGAACTGCAGTGAAAGGTCAGCGCTGTGTTTGGCGGCGCGGGCACGGCGAAGGGAGCCTGCGGGGGAATCGGAGCCACGCCGAGGCCGTTCGGTGGCTCTGAGGTGGGATTGCTTTTCAGATATGGTCGGGTCTGTGCTACGGTTTGCTGAAATGCTATCGAAAATCCGGCAGGAGTTCAGGAGGGCAGTAACTCGTGCAGAGCTGAAGGAAGGTGTTTTATCTAAGTCAAATATGTATAGCTGAGCTAATGAAGATGTGATGTAAGTACTCGAGGGTTGCTCGTACATGCTAGTTCTTCAGGCTGATCCGTTACTGGAGGGTTTTCGTGCTCTGAGTGGGCAGTGACAGCTGGAGCCCTGCTGCCAGTGAGCCCGGTGCTGGGGTGAGGGAGCTCAGCTGCGTTTGGGTCATTCAGTGGGTGGAATGACAGAAACTGAGGCTGGGCTTACAGAAAGATCCTTCTTTCTGCTGAATGAAGAAAACTTGCAAATGTTTCCTGTTTAAAAACTGTACTGGAAAGATAAGTAGATCAAGAAAACATGCTGTGAAGGCAGTGGTGTCACTCACAGGTAGATTGTCAGCAGCCTCTGCTTCCACTTGACTGGATTTGGTTTTCAACTTTATTGTACTGATCATCTGGTAAGCTTAGTAAGACTTAGGGTTACAGACCTGGCATTATTTATGAGTTGGGGTTGCGTGTTGAGGGCCTTGATACAGGGCCCCCTCAGCAGTTTCACCAATTTTGTTAGTTTTATGTAAGTTAGTTTAAAAATGTTTGTTCTTGTTTTCTTTCAGTATTAGGCAGTAGTAATTTTTATTATGTGACTTAAAACTTCTCTTCAGATTTCTTTGATATGCTGTAGTTTTTCTACCATTGTGCTGTACCAGATTGATGTGCTTTCTGTTATGAAACTTGTGGCATTAAAAGAGCTGTTGAGGAATTGGGCATGGAGGAATACAAAAGCAAGTTCTATTTTGAGGATTTAGTTCCAGAATTAAGCTGTTTTTCACCACTTATTTTATTTGAATTTTGGATGGATTTTGTTTTTTTTCTCTGTAATTTGGAATCACTTCTAATACTCACAGGCATTATATAGTTATAGGTGTTTTAGCCAGTACTGTTAATTGCAAGTTTAACCGTGAAGGAATTGGGCATTGTTCACAGCCCTCTTCTAAATTCTGGAAATAACTCTTCTCACAGTTGTCACCATTGTTATGCCAATGGTTATATTAATATACATCAGTGTTCAGGAGTCTTAGGGACAGGAACTGTAGGGCAGTTGGTTTCTGTGCTTGATCCTGAAACTGTCAGTAATAGAGGTCAGTGCAGAACCAAGGTGTGTGAGTTCAGGTACTGCAAATGGGTGTTCATACCTCCTAAGAATCAAAGTCCGTGTTTCCCACAGCTTTGGTACTGGGATGCATTTCCTTCTCCATTGAAAATGGCAATGTG